CCATCGATAAATTTATTAAATATATAGTTAATAACTTAAAATCGTTCAATAACACTTAAATGTAACTAGTAAATTTCTCTCATTGTAAAAATTAAAATTCCCAACTGTAATAACTTCACAGCAAGCAACTTAGCATTTTATAACCTTATATATATATGTAAATACTTTGTTTGTATAAATATAAGAAAATTATGTTTGTATAGTAAAGCTCTCAATTATATAAATGTAGAATTTAAGTTAAACAATGTCAATGTATAGCTTGTAGACACTAAGGAAAACTTGATTTGTATAGCGACTCTAATTCTAGGAAACCACATTTTGTAAATACCCAGTGTAAAAGGAACTTTGTGGAAAGACTGTATCCAATAGCAGCATCCACAAAGTTTCTTCCCCTAAAATCTGTATATCACTCAAACACCAATACCAATGTACCAATTAAAAAAAAAAAAAAAAAAAAAAAAAACCTAACCTAACCTAACCTAACCTAACCTAACCTAACCTAACCTAACCTAACCTAACCTAACCAAACCTGTTTTACCGATTACAGACACAGATTCAGATCTCGGAGGGGGAAGGGGTAGGAAATGAGGAAATCTAATGGAGCCAAAAGACTCGCCGTGCCGAGACAAATCTCCAGAGCCCAATCTCGACGACTTAGGACCAGGATCACCGGAGTTAGATCCAGAGGGGGTGGAGTAAAAAAAAATATATGGGGGGGGGGGGGAACTTTCGTGGGGAGGCGATTGGCGCTTAGAAAAAATGTGTTGTTTTTAGAGGGGAAGGGGGTATCCCGAGCAATAGGGAAATTAAATTATTGTGGCTGAAATTATTATAGAAGTACTTATAATTTACTAAGATTTTAAAATGTTGGAAAAAAAATTAAAAAAGAGGGGGGAGGGGGAAACTAGTGGGGTCAAAATATTCCTCTCTTAAAGACGAACAGTTTAAGCCCAAACTCGGGGCTGTTAGGACTAAAGGGATGGTTTCCGGTTTTGAGGGGGTGAGGGGTGTCTTTTTGCGGGGGGGGGAGGTGTAATGCACAAACGTAACCTAACCTAACCTGTTTTCCCGATTACAGACACAGAATCCGATCTCGGAGGGGGAAGGGTGAGGAAATGAGGAAATCTATTGGAGCCAAAAGACTCGCCGTGCCGAGACGGATCTCCAGAGCCCAATCTCGACGACTTAGGACCAGGATCACCGGAGTTAGACCCAGAGGGGGTGAGGTAAAAAAAATATTTGAGGGGGGTGGGGAGGCGAATGGCGGCTCAAAAAAATGTGTTGTTTTTAGAGGGGAAGGGGGTATAATATTTAATTATAATAATTTAAGTCCAAATGAAATTTAAAAACTATATTCTATATGAGGAGAAAAATATCTATCAAATGGCGATATATATGTATTATTTGGCTTTTAACTATCGATGTGATATTTTCATTTGTGTATCCCAAACCGTTAACAAAAGATGCTATGGCTTATATCTTAAAAACTATTACACGTAATTTAATGAAAATTTAAAATAATATAAACTAAGACGTTCTCTTGACATTACAATATTTCGCTAAGGCGTGCTCCAGAAGGTTGACCCCTGATGAGGACTCGAACGCTCCGTCTGCTTCAGCTCGACCGCAAATAGATGAAGACGCTGGTTTCATATGATGTTGTTATCGTAGGATAACAAACGAAATGTCGTTAGAAAGCCTAACAAAAGGGCTTTCTAGTGCACTTACATTAATATTAAGATCGTATTCGTAAACTAAATCATTATGACCAAAATTGTGAAAAAAGTTGGTAACTCAAAAACTATATGGCCAAAAACTTTATGTTTTTAGTTGTATCTTGATAAGCACTTTTGAATTCGCAAATAAAAAATATTGGTCGTCGCTTTAAATTTCGAGCCGCATTCACTTTTAGTTTTTCACTTCACAAATTTTACTATATCTCCTGACTCGAAAGTCGTAGAAAAGAACTAAAATAAACTTAAGGTTATTTCTTAAACTTAAAGTTCTTTGCTACGATTTTTGTTCTTTAGAAAATATAGCGCCTGATAAAAATATATAGCAAAAGTGCATGTAATTGAATTTGCTTTGTAGTGAAAATGAAAGGAAAGCCTTAATTTAACTTAGAGTTCTAGAGAACGAAGCCACATAGATTTGATTAACAGTTTTAGAAAGTTTAGTTTAATATAACACTTTTGACACCTAAACACAATCTATGAACTATTTTTGTTCTTCAAAAATTATAGCGCCTGATCTAAATATATAGCAAAAAAAATCTAAATTGAATAGTGTTTAATACAAGGCAACGACTTTTACATTCTTGAAAACTATTTATTTCTTTACAAAAATACACGTCCGTCTTACGTCGTCTTCAGTTCTGTCTATCTATTATTATGCGCCTGACCAATCGGTCACGCAAAAGCCACCTCTTAATGAACGGCATCGGAGCCAAATTGCATTATCGAATCATAATAACATAACTAACAATTTTACTTAATTCATTCCTAGCTCCTACAAAATTTGAACCATTATACCAGAACCACAATAAATATAACGTGGTTTACCCCTTCGAACTACAAATCTTTTTAAGGTTAATATAAAAGCTGCCGTACTTAAGTCACTGACAGCTTCGAGATATCGCTATCTATAAAAGTTAAAAATCATTTTCAAATAAGTTTAACTAATACATCACGTTTTAAACCGTTAAAGTGTTTTATTTAAATGGTTTGCACCTACAATTTTTTGCAAAATGGCCACTATTTAAACAATTAATACATAATTTATGCTTCGATACTAAATTATGACGATTTTCGATATTCATAGAAATAAACTTATGACACTCAGATAAACGATGAGATTGTTGACAGAAATCACATTTTATACGTTTATCGGAATTATTATTTTTAAACGTTTGGTTAACTATAGCAACATTAGATTCTCTATTTGAAGAATTATTTAATTTACCCGTTTCTAAAAAATCGGCCCGACTGCGTAAAAAAGTCGTAAATTGAGAGTGGTAGTTCACCTAAACTACTTTTATGCTCTTCCCACAAATTATAGGTGTTCTGGTCAAGTCTAGATACAATTACATAAATTAATTATACGTCCCAGTGCTCGACCGGCAACCCTAAGACCTTAAGAGCTTGCACGTTCTTAGAAATAGAATCTAGAATATACCTTAAAGATGTGTCAGAATTCTTCGAAAAAATAGCCTTAATATGATTATTTACTAGCAACCGTTTATTATTGAATCTGTCACATAATACATTCCACGCTTGGCTATAGTTATCCCCCGAGAACTGTATCGAGTTTATTATCGATGACGCATTCCCCTCTAAAAAAGCCCTTAAATAATGAAATTTATTTATTTCGCTTAACTTATCATTGCTTATCGAGAGAAATGTGTCGCGATATTCCAGCCATTTATGGTAGTACCCATCAAAGGTATTGTATTGTAGGTAGGGCGATATCACTTACACTATTACTATTACAATTACTACAATGATTATTGTCTTCGTCCATACTGGACTGCCCCATGCTACCAAAACTAACGGAACGTTTATTACCCATACTTTTGTTCACTGAATCTAAAATCGATTGAATACTAGACATAACTGTGAAAAAATTACTCTCTATTAATTCCCGTTCCCGAAACTGTTCAGAAGCAACTTCATATAGTATTTCAATTTTCGTTTGTAATGTATCGAAACGACTTAAATTCTTATCTAGCTTAGCTAATTTAAATAAAACACTTTAACGGTTTAAAACGCGATATATTAGTTAAACTTATTTGAAAATGATTTTTAACTTCGGCCCGACGTTTCAACATAATTTTTACTAATAGTAATTTGCCCTTTAGTACTGCTCCTTTTTAATTATTAAATATTTGATCTTAAATGAACCTACGTTGTGTTAATAATAATGATAAAAAACAAACAAAAAAACTATTGATATCTTTACAAAAATACACGTCCGTCTTACATCGTCTTCAGTTCTGTTTATTTATTATTATGCGCCTGACCAATCGGTCACGCACAAGCCACCTCTTAATGAATGGCTCCAACACTTGATATAAACACAAAGAAAAACTATATTGAGACTTGCCTTTTACGCAATAAATTTTACATTTTTATTAAGCAAGGCAAGCTAAGCAGTGTTTACTACATACACATACAAGTTTTACATATTTAATACACGTTTATCTGTTAAGACTAATTACCTGATTTCGATTCAAACTAGTATCATTACACATCAACGAATAAGAAAGATCTAACCTACGTTACATTATATACTTAAGGTCTATTTTCTTTGCCTTATAAGCACACTATCAAAAACATAGTTTTCAATATTCAAGTGTATATATTTTATTTTTAATATGATCCCAAACTAGGCATGCCTGTCTTCTGGGCACAAGTTCGAAACCGTGTTAAAATTGTTGTATTTCCGTCAACCATGTATATATATGTGAAATTTTAGGTCTATTTGTTTAAGGTTTCAAGTAATCTGTTGTTTTGTATGTGACTGTTTGTTTCGTTTCTAAATGAAATGAAATAACAAAAATAAAAAAAGAATTTTGAGAGTTTAAATAGGATTGAACTAGAGATGCGCCGAATACCGAGTTTTACTCGGGTAATTTTTTTTTCAACCGAGTACTCGGCCGAGTGACTATCTATATACACTATATACTAATCAATAACGAGTATATCGTTATCAAATAACAAAGTATAACCGAGTTCTTCGGCCGAGTACGAGTATCAAAAAACTCGGCCCATCTCTAGTTTAAACAAATAATAAAGCGTCGAAATGATGTCAAAAGTGTTTTCGAAGCTATAGAACAATTATTTTCGCGAATCACGAATATCTTACGCAAAATTTGGAAATGAATATCTCAAAAACTAAGTATTTTAGGATTATTCTTATATCCATGATCTATCTTTGCCTAAAATGCCAAATGATTTATACATATAGTAACTATAGAATATTAAAGCTGACGGAAATAAAGACTAGCCCTCGGCTCGAAGGGCCTCAGCGACAGCGCGCAACCACACGTCCCGCAGGCGCCGCACCCGGCACGCGCCGGACAAGAGCTGCAGCGCCCCGCACCAGATGCGCGCGCTCTCTTGGAGCACTGCGCCTCCGCCGGGCGCCTCCTTCGCGACGCTCTCTACCTCCGCCTCTTCGCAGCGTTGCAGTATGCCCGACCAGGGAGTGCAGTGCGCGTAGTGCATACGAGTTCGGTGCTCTCGCGGCGCCAGCTCGTCGTGGGTGGAGACGCGAGCTCGGCCCGTGCAGCGTATGCCGCACTCGTAGCTCACCCCATACTCCCACGAGCTGTAGTTGCTCACCTCGTCTTCTATGCGCCACGAGCCGATCCCCAGACGCGGGTCGAGACGCCGATGGTTCGAGAAATCGGCGAGGAAGTGCGCCAGCCGCGTCGGAGTACAGTGTGGAAAGTGCGCTTCGACACGCGACTCGACGGGCACGCGCAACCAGAGAGTAGCCAAGGCGCAAGCGGCGACCAGACCCGCCGCGCGCCACCGATCCCAGCCGCGGAGGCGACTCCACGACCGCATTGCGAAGCGAGCACTGACGCAGCGAGGCGCCCGCGAGAGCCGGAAGCTGCGATAGCGCGCGTCCTGTGCGCGCAGATATATTTGGAGCGATTAAACGAGTACGAGACTCGACCGATTTCGTATTAAATGTTCGCGTATTCGAGCGAGACGGAAAGAAAAGAGTCACGTATTTCCAAAGTTATTTATTAGTCAATATTTTGTTTTCACTCGTCGACATCGAGTCTTAGTCTATTGTTCGTTCTAATTTACGATCGTCAATAATGATTAGAATCGGGACGAGGCAGTTTACAATTCAAATAAATAACACACACCTATGCTTCGAATCAAACAAACTTCGAACGCGCTCGCTCTGTGACCTCACTATTTCTCTTCTCATTCGCGTCCGCCTCTCGAAACGAACTCGTCCGTTAGATCGCAATGGCGACCGGGAAGTATCGCGACGGCGCTAGAGGGCGCCGGGCGAACGCTACCTCCGTCTGCGGCGCCCCTTGCGGTAGCCCTTGCCGTACCAGCCGCCTCCGCCGGCGTCCCCGTCGGGACCCGCGCCCGCCCCGTCCGGCCCGCAGCACGCGCACAGGAAACGGCGGGAGCGGTCGCGTCTCCACGCGCGCCTCTCGAGCGTGGTCAGGCGAGGCGGTCCGTACCACAGGCAGCGGCGGGCGGAGTAGCGACGCGCGCACCACTCGCATTCGGGCACGACGGAGGCGCGAGGCGAGGGCGGCGCGATAATGGTGTGCAGGCCGGGGTACAGGTGGGCACGACAGAGCAACACGGCGCGCTCGATGATCGCCGCCGCCACCGCGTCCGGCTCCGCCTTCGCCTCGCTGGCCTCCGCTTTGGGCTCACGCGACAGGAGATCGCGCAGCTTAGACTCGTCCGGCCAGTCCTCGCGAGTCCATTTTCGGAAGCGGCGCAGGGGCGACGGCGGGGCCGGCGGCTCTGGGACCGCATGCTCCGCGCGCAGCAAAATAGTCGCCTCGCCCGACCGCATACTCACCTGCAACCGAACAAAGTGAATAACTTACAAACGGCTAACGAATTCGATCGACGAAAAATCGGTTTAAAGTTACCCTAAAACTGTGAAGGAGCGGAGGACAGGGCAGGCGGCGATCGCGCAGGCGACGCGCCAACTTGTACAGCGGTACCTCCTCCTCGGAGTCGGTGGAGCAGGGCGAAGCCGGAGAGGAGGGCGACGACAGCGAGTAGTAGTCGTCCGATAGCGAAGCCGAGGCGGGCGACGGAGGCCGCTGCAGCAGAGGTCGGCGTGTTGTGTGCGCCTCCGGGGGCGCGAGGGGTTCGGCGTGAGCGAGCAGGGGGTCGGAGCCAGCTCGATATCGGGGCACCCGCAACCGCAGTCGCCGCGCCACCGCTTCCATTACGGCATCGCAGCGGGCGTTGATCTTGAGCGCCGCCACAGAGTCCTTGGGCGTCCACTGCAAATTGACGATGTATAGCGCGGGGCGAGCGTGCGGCGCGCGCTGCATTCGCCAGAGGCGCGGGTAACGCCTCAGGACCTTGAGGCTCGAGCCCAGACAGAGGACCACGTCGGCCGCGGCTGCGTGGCGCAGCGCCCCGGCCCAGTTAAGCGGCCACGAGGCCCGACCGCGTTCGCCAAAGTGCACGATCGAATCGCGCAACTCGCGGCCGCACTCGTGGCAGAGTCGGCGAGTCGCGTGCGCGTGTCGCGCGGTCCGCTCGGTAGTATCAAAGGCGCGCAAATAGACGCGGCGACAGCCCGGGCAGCGCTCGGCGAACATGTCGCCATGCAGTTCGGCGAGCGCTCGGCGCGGCAGACCGGCGCGCAGGTGCAGTCCGTCACAGTTCTGAGACACGACGAACTTGAGCGAACCACGGCGCCAGAGAGCGGTGAGTGCCATGTGAGTAAACGTGGGCTGAGCGCGGGACACCTCCACTCTGCCCACGCGCTCTCCGCGCTGGAGGCGTGTCCAAACGCCGCTTGGACCACGATAGTCCGGGATGTCTGCCGCCGTGCTAATGCCGGCTCCCGTGTACACCTGCAAGGGCCCAAACAAAGTCATTATTCATATTGAAAGGAAATATACACATAAATGTCATTTTATAATTTATATTTCTGTGTGTGTGTGTATACTTCCACTTAGTGTTTGAATTTAAATTGTTTGTGTGGTTACTTTTCATAGTTTTAAGCGATTTTAGTTTGTACATATTACTTAAAGAAGTACTTTATAATATATCAATTAATTAGTTTTTAATGTAAAATGCTAGTTCTTTACAGTTTTATTTAAATGACTTTTACTTTGCATTCTTTTGCACTTGCTCTTTGCTTTCTGCATATATTTTGTTTTGTTTGTGCACAGACCAGAGAAATTAAGGGAAACTTTAAAAGAATCAAGGGAATACCACTAGTAAGTATTTTGTTCAGTATTTTACAAAGGAACTTGTCAACAATTCACAACAGTTTTTTTGCATTTGACCATAAATTATTTTTTTTTTTTATTAAGAGCATTACATCCGAATGGTTTGTTACTAATAATGGTAGTCTGATGATCATGCTGAGGCATATTTTAGGGACCACCTTATCAGTTCAGGGTTACCACCTTGTGTTTGAACGTAATTTATAAATAAATAAATAATCATGTTTCACATGTTATTGCACACTTTAAAAGTTAAAACTTGATGGCTCGGTTAGGATTTTAACTGGCATCCGTAATAATTGTATTGTAATGTCTCGCCAACCAACATTAATTTCCTTAATCCCTTAGATAAATGCATCTCTGACATACTTTTAATTTTGTTTTATTTATTACAGCTTTATTATTTATTATATACATAAATGACAAAAGAAAAAAAACTCGATATCTCCCAGGCAACCTGAAGTACAGGAGTAAAGAAATAAAAAAATATTATTAAGTAGGTAGGTGTAAGAAATAAAAGCAAAAGTACTTCGTAAAAATATACACAGCAAGTAAGAGGGAAACTAAATTAAGAGTTGGAAAGATAATATTTATAAAGCATAGTCTTAAAATTACGGAGAGATTGAGCTTTTTTGATATTAGTAGGGACAGAGTTCCAAAGGCAGATAGAATAAAGTTTATACATAATAATGTATACACTTTCATTTTTGTGTGAAATAGCAAACATCTGTATGTAACATATTATTATTATTTTTTTTTGGTGCCAGATAATTGCTATAGAATTTCTACAATAACAAATTCGGTATTTGTACATCTACAAAATATTATAATATTTATCAATTCAAATACAAAACTTTCATCTTATACTAGCTGTGCCAGCGTAACCCAGAATAATAAATCATTTTCACATTTTCCTTGTATTTGTTACAGAGTGATGGTTTATAGCTTTCTTCGATAAATACTCTAACAAACACAAAAATAATTTTTAATTTCTTGTTTTGTTTTGATTGTAAGTTTTTTGTATTTTTGTCAGTTAGCCTTTGATATATTCACAACTTCTGTTACAAATTTGTAAGTGCTCAGCCTTAATAATTAATGTAGTTAAGTAAGTAAATCATTGGATGGTGAAAAATATGACTATATCTATGTTATTTCCTTTAAAGCATAGTTTTTATCCCCTAAGCTGCAATCCTAATGTTAGTGGGAAAAGCACCATGTTATCCTCATAAAACATAAATAACTAGGTAATACATATAAAAAAAAATTTCTAAGTTAGTCCAAATCAATAATGAGTAATGTTATTGTAGTATCACTACAGTTAACTACCTATGCTAACAAGTAAGAAACTGACCACTAGGTGTTTCGCATCTTGCAGCGCCTTAGCCAACTGTCGGCACTTGTCTCTAAGAACGCGTGGACTATCTTCTACTTCACGGGCACGTTCTATGGCTCGAGATCTTCTTTCGGCTGCCGCTAAGCGCGCAGCCGTCGCAGCTGCCACACTCATATCCGGAGGGGCGGCTGCCGCTGCGATGACTGTAGTCGCAGCTCCGCTGAGCCGCGCGCTGCTGCGAACACCCTCGCGCCCACTCATATTTTTTCCGCTATTCTCCACCGACACTCTGTTTTTGAACCGATATACCCGGTCTATACTTCTCGATCATGTCGCGACAGCAAACACTACAGCGCTTTAACAAAAGTTCCTCTTATCATTCATACCATGGCTTATACTCCTGCTAGACTTGAAAAAAACAATTAAAAATTTGCCGTCTATGTTTACCCTATAAACGATCACAAATCACGAATGGCATTAGTAGTTAGTGTACTATGTCGATTCGTTTATTTATTTGTTAGTGTCACTGTCAATCATCAATCACTGATCACGTTGCATTCAATTTCAGCATAGGTTATATTGTTTCTCCAGATTAATGTAGAATATTTATACTATGGTACAGAGTATACAGACAATTGGACCAAATTTAAGAATACCTGTACAAGACCAAGTTGGAACGGATTAGACCCATATTTTTAATTCTTTAAATTGTTGAATATCTCAATTCCAGGAAATATCTCAATTTGTTATTCTTCGACATTTTTAAATGTATTACTTTTCATATAACTAAAAACCTTTGAATCGTTTTAAACAGGAAATTTATAAGTATAACGCAATACCTTAAATGAATACAAGTCACGCTGTAAAGCGTTAAAAGTGTTTTATTAAAATGTTTTCTACTCGTATAAATTACAGACAGTATTTAATTGTTTTTCTGGTAAATAAAACAAAATTTCAGTTTAGATGTTCTTCTTCTTCTCAAATCGGCATTTATTTTTTACGACATAGTGACATTGACTGATTGTCAATTCTTACGGGAAAATCTACACATAAGTCTTTTAGTGGAATTTGACAGGTGTGAAAGGTTTGTTTTTGTGATTTTTTAGAATAAATCGAGAAAAATCTATGTGATAAATTATATTTTTATATATATTTGATTTTGTTTTAAACTTAAATTAATATTATCGTATGTTTCAGTGATTATTTTATATCAAATTCTTTCATTTCAGCCGGCCCTTAACTAAGTCATCATGGTAAGAAATTTAATCCTTTTGTTTATATTTCATAAAAATTGTGTTAGTTATATGACTACCTATAATTTTTATATTTTTACATGCATGCAATTGGGTTATCACATTGTTTATCGCTTCTTGTCAAAGTTTACTGTATTTTTGTGGGTGTATAAGAATTAACTATCATATTATCCAAAATAGCAAGTGCAGTAAGCATAAATCCTTTTTATTTCCAGCCGCGAGAAATTAAAGACATTAAAGATTTCCTGCTCAAAGCCCGTAGGAAAGATGCAAAATGTAAGTAATTTAACATTTTAACACAGCACAGGATTTGACTCTGAGGAAAAGATGATGATGTTTCTTTTATTTATTATTGATAAGCCTTATTTATCTTTAATACTATTTTAAAAAGATTAGGGTCCACTGCACATTTAATAATAAGTCAATACATATACAGTAAATACAAAATTAAGTAAGTAGTAATCATACAAGGCTGTCTCAGTCATTCTCCAAGAATTTGCAGAAAACTAAATTTATTATTCAAACTTTTGTATTCATAAATCTTTAACTAAAGTGGGTATTCGTACCATTACAGCGGTGAAGATAAAGAAGAACCCAGAGAATGTCAAGTTTAAAGTGCGTTGTTCAAGGTTTCTGTACACATTAGTCATCACTGATAAGGAGAAAGCCGAAAAGCTCAAGCAAAGCTTACCTCCAGGTAAAATAATAGAAAAGAAATTATTGCACAATCTGGTTTTTAATCAATTTGTAGGGGTAACATAACATAAATAACATAATTTGGCATTTTTATCATCTTGGTTATGAATATGAAATTTTAAGCAAAAAACATTATTACACAAAATTTATATGTATGTGTATGTAGCAGTTCGCACAGAAAATTTTAGGGTAATCAGTATAAGTATGGTAACTAACATTGTGACAGGAGAATTTTACATATTAGAAGATATAACAGAGTGCCATAATTTCTGATGAGTGCACATATGAGAATTGCAATAACATGTGAAGTAATGCTCTAAAAAATGATTTTAGCATGAGACACCATATTCTTATTGAGCAAAGGATTCTTGAACCAAATCACACTCAAATGGAGTATGTGACTCTGTTCACAGTGCATTAGAAAGGAAGCTTAAAAACTGAGAGATTATATTTCTGTCACAAAAACATCTCAAACACATCCCTTCTTTTTGAAGCTGTTGATGTTGATTGTAGATTTTTTTAGAACTATGCAAATGTTCCAACTTTCTGGTATTCAAGTATTCGGCCTGGTCACATAGCAGGGGATGCAACGGTAACAACAAATATTTGAGCCATCAAGTATTCTGATGTCAGAAATATTACAATAAATTTGATACTGGATCAATTTGTCAAGGAGGCCTAGAATTTTAGAAAGTGTTAATTATTTGCACCCCTGCCTATAACAACAATAAAATTTTATCATTTGCAAAGTATGAAATAAGTTCTACCTTCCAATCTCCGATTCTGGAAGTCCTCAAGACACATGGATGAATAAATAGATTTTTCCCACAATTTCTTTTCTATTGTTGGGAGGCCTCAATAAATGTCCAACCAACACAACAATAATTTTTCAATGTGAACCAGTAGTTTCTGATATACTAGTGTGCTCAAACTAACTCTTCCGCGTGTATGGCGACATGGTCCTCAATCCATGCATAGTCTACATGTAGCGGCCTTCAGTGTCCCTATAGAAAAAAAACACTTAATGGCTTTGTAGGGAAGATAAACAACAACCCCCTACATTTAGGCATAGTGATATTGTCAGAAATTGATATTACTTAAAAATAACAATTTTAATCAATGTCACAACTTCATAAAATGGTGTATAACTTTAAAAATAAGATGTTTAACTCTCCACTCCAGAAAGTGAAATAAAAGAAAACATATACTTCCTTTATTTAGATTTAATTTTGAATTTCAAATATAATGTCATTGGTCTAGTCAGGAAATTGTAAATGTATTTTTTTAGGTTTTTGTTAATTGAGAAATTAGCTTTTTCAGTTCTTTGTAAATAATTATAATGTATCCACTATTAAATTACATTTAACATTTTACAGTACACAAGACAATATTTGACATTGAATTAGTCCTAAAATTACTGAAAAATTGTGAAATCAAATTAAAAATGTCTATTTGAATAGCAAGAGAATTAGGTTACAAAATTATAACAAGAGTGCGTTTTTGGTAGTAATCATAGAGCCAAATTGTGATCAACCATCTATTTGTAAAGTGTACATCATTTATCACTTCTTTCTGTTTCAGGTCTCCAAGTTAAGGAGGTGAAGTAATAACATAGGCTAAATAAAAAAATATTATTAAACAAACTATTGTATTATTAAAGCCTTTTTAGGTTTTTGGAAAAATAGTGCTATTTCTTTCAATACATCATTTTTAGTAATCACAGCGCTATAGACCTTTGCAATGAAAAATTCAAAGCTCTGGTGAGAACGATAAGAAACACTTGAATGAGTTAAAACACCCTACACCCTGCACGCGCAATTCGGCTTAAAACTCGGCTTTTCAAACCTGTTAATATCATCAACCACGTATCGTACAAACATGATGATTACTTATAAATTTTAGTAATCGCGATATCTTAACACATGTTTTCTTAAATCTCGTTTTAGCATCATTATCGAGGTTTAAAATATATGAAACTAGCATGTCGCACGGGTAAACAAATATTTAAATTATAAGCATGCTAATTAAAACGACGATGAATCACTAAAAGTTATTGCGCGTCCTAATTATTAACAACTTGCGAGCGTTCAGTGTTAGTGTCCCGTGCACGCGTTCGCGAGTTCCTAGCTCTATTTCCTTCAAGTCGCTGCGACGATCTTGCATCTTGTTCTGCAAGACGAAACTGAACGTTCGACGATAGATTCTCTGGCTCGCGATGGGGACGCGTACAATTTAACACTTTCCAGACGATCATTTCAGGAAGAGGACTCTTCAATACGACGAACTTTTGCTAATCTCGCTTGGAAACTATTCATAGATAGCTGCGACCGTCTTCTAGGCATATTGCTATTTTAAATCAGAGAAATTAAGAATAAACATAATGATACAAAAGAAAATATTCAAGTCTAGTAAGAAAAGCCATGTGTTTGTTGTTTGCCGACGACAAAAGCTCTTATTGGCAGTCAAGGACAAGGGCGACTGCATTAATCTTTAGGAAGATAAAGACGAGGAGCGAAAATAACAAGCTGCAAATTAATTTATCTAAGTCATGCGTCATAACATTTACCAAAGCAAAAGCCCCAATTGGGTACGAATACAAATTGGCAGGCGCACCTTTGGAAAGAGTGCAATCTGTGCGTGATCTCGGAGTTACAGTAGACGCAAGGTACATGTTTAGAGACCACATAGTCAGTGTCTGTAAGAAAGCTTATAAGCGACTGGGTTTTGTCCTTCGGAGAGCGTCCACATTCACCAGTACCAGAGCCATCACAGTGCTGTATAACGCATTAGTAAAAAGTCAGTTGGAATCCAACGCCGTTCTGTGGGCGCCACACGAAGTTAAGTATAGCAGTATGCTAGAGCGTATTCAAAATAAGTTTACGAGACACTTATACCAAAGGCATTACGGGGTGTATCCTTACTACCCCTTAATATATCCGACGTTATTCGTTTTAGGCGTGGTTGGATACGCTAACCTCGAAGCACGGAGGCACCTAGCGTTGGCCACGTATGTGTTCAAGGTGTTGAGAGGCATTACATATGACCCCATGGTGCTGCAGTCCATCAGCTTCTGCGTCCCAGATGCCTGCCTACGACGACGTAATAGATCACTGTTCGCCATCAGTCCCGCGAGAACAAACTTAATGTATTATTCCCCGAATATGCGAGCACTTCACATTCGTAACAGTGTAAATTGTAAAATAGACATTTTTAATTGTACATTGAGCGAGTTCACAAAGACTATAACGTATATGCAGGAGTGTTATATGTAATATGATAACCATTAATTTTATTTAACTGATTAATTGTAACTCACTATCATGTTGGAATGGTTATTCTGTAGGTTAATAAATAAATAAAGTGCAAAGCGATAGTTCTGAAAAGAACATTGACAAACATTATGCAAAGTGTGATTCCTAATACTAATTAGTAGGTTTGTAAAGAACTAATTTATAATTGGTATGGATACCGCGGTCTGATTTCGATCGGCATTTCTATTAATTTGTTAAATGTAAAAAAGTGGTTATAGCGACGTAACTACAATAGTTAGACATATTATGCTCTCGCGATGTTTTTTGTAGATATTGATGTATTATATAATATTGTCGAACTTTTTACGCCTTCCGTTGGTTTTAGTAAGAATTTCTATAGATTCCTATAGTAATCAAGTACTAAATATAGCCTATGTTACTCAGTGATAATGTAGCTGTTGAGTTTATCCGTTACATACAAAAATACAAATCTTTCCTCTTTATAATATTAGTATAAATTGGCAAAATCGGTTGTTGCGAGACGAGATAAGTCCTCATACAAAACCTAACACTCCTTTTAGATTTCACTTAAGATTTACAAACAGATTTAGTATTCAATTTCTTAATATGTTCTGCTAGGTGTAACAAATGAAGTCTAATCATCATGATGTGCTTAAAAAAGTATAATATTCTTGCATGTTGGATCTCGCGTCCTGTACTAGAATTAGTAATTTGGCCAATTTATAATGTTCATAGATTGCGTCATCGCAATTTGAAGAGAAATCGGATTTTATTTCATCCAAATAATATTTAGTGCGTCATTATCGGTTCCGTTTGTTTTAGAAGTTTAATGCAGTTCTGTCTCGCTACTGAATCGGATGTCGGTAGCTAGTTCCAGAAGTTAACATTGTAGCGGTGAGTGTTAACCCTTACCATAATTGTATTTGTATTTTGGTGTCGCCCCGTCCACGGCATACCTAAATAGTTTCCTTTTCAAATATATCATGAAATTGTGATTTTGGAAATGATTAAATCATTCAGTCATTAATGGAATCAATTTTCCGTATTTTATTTCCAGTCTTATCCCTTTTTAGAGACTTACTTAATACTTAATTTAACGTGAAAGCGTAGTCATAGAAAGAGGCACAAGTTTTCGAAGTAGTTTTGATTTTCTTATTTATTGACCGTCATTTTTGTTATGATTATTGGATGACCTATAGACCATTTGCAGAACGATAAAACTTAATCGTACGGTCATTGAAGTGAGGCATCGTCGTCTTTACTTTTACCTTCTGTTTAGTCTTAAATAAGTCAGGCCACACCAGGAATGGACTCTGGCAAAAGGCGTAAATAATACTACATAACCTGTCTAACTTAATATTGTTGTTAAACATGATGGTTCAAAATGTTAAATGCCTCGATTCAACACTATACATACGCTACATAACACAGCCCTCACCGCCATCGGCATATCGATTTGAACAATCAGGATGCGTTTGCTAGAGAAACTAATTTGTTTATTCTATTGTAATAGGATGTGGTAATGAGAAATCACTTATTAAAATTACTCAACGAAGTAACCCCGATGGGAAGCGATCCGATACTAATTATTAACTCGTATCTTTTAGTATTTACGCTCAGGGTATACTCGCGTCTAATAAATATACGCCGACATCGGGCAGGCGAGCGAAGATGGAGCCCGCGGCGATCGTGGCGCAGTCCGTCGGCGTCCAGCGAGCTCTGAGCGTGGTTGCGACGACGCTAGCGCTCACCGCCTACCTCTTCCCTCCGCAAGCCGTCGTCTTCGGTCCGTACTAAGTGAGAATTTGCCATCGGTCGTTCGAGCTCAGCTATTAATGTGCATTCGCTCGGTACAGAGAACGAGGAATTCGACTTCATCGTCGTGGGAGGCGGCTCGGCCGGGTGCGTGTTGGCGGACAGGCTCAGCGAGGGCGGCCGATTCTCCGTGCTCCTGCTCGAGGCCGGCTCCGACCCGCCGCTCGAGTCGTTCGTGAGTTTCTCTTTGCACTAGCGAGCTCTTTCCGGTTCGACTGGACCGCTCTGACGAACTGCACCTCCGTTGACATTGACTCGTACGTTTCTTTCAGGTGCCACCGCTCTACCCTTACTTGGTCCGATCGAGATATGATTATAATTATACCTCTGAGAATGACTTTTTTTCTTTTCAAACTCATAAGATTCGGGCGCTCAATTTGACGGCCGGCCGGGTCCTCGGCGGCGGCAGCAGCGTCAACTTGATGCTTTACGTGCGCGGCTGCCCGGAAGACTACGAGTATTGGGCCGAATACGCCGGGGATTCCACTTGGAGATGGAAAGGAGTCCTTCCGTACTTTATCAAGAGCGAGAAGCTGGAGAGCGCCGAGATCCTCTCGACCGCGTACGGAGAGTATCACGGAACGCAGGGTCCCCTCAAGGTGACCAGGGAAGGCAGACCCGATATCGATAGATATTTGGAAAGCTTCGAAGAAGTCGGAAAACCAGTGGTGATCGACGTGAACGGTCCCTCCAGTCTGGGCTATACGCCGCAACTGTATACGATCGCGGACGGTGTTCGCCAATCGACAGCGTACGCTTTTTTAAGGAACAAGCGACGTTCCAACTTGTTCATTAGAAGGAACAGTTTCGTCACCAAAATTATAATCGACGACGACAACGTGGCGAGAGGAGTAGAGTTCGTCACGGATCGCGGCTTAGTCGAACGAGTGTGGGCGTCGCGCGAAATTGTGCTGTCCGCGGGCGCCATCGGCTCACCGCGTCTCCTCATGCTGTCCGGCGTGGGGCCACGGAGTCATCTCGAGGACCTGGGCATTCAAGTGAAAAGCGATTTGCCTGTCGGTTACAACTTCCATGATCACATCAATTCCATGATTTTGATCAGAACCGAAACGTCGTTTGCCCCGCCTCCTATCATCGATCCGACCCAGTTTCCGTACCCATCCTTTTGCGGCTACGTAGCGGACGCAAGAACGGGTCCGTGCGCTGCCTACCAGACCCTCAACTTGGTGGTCCAGAACGATTCAGAAGGACCTCTACAGCTGTGCGCGTTCGTTCTCGGCTTCGATGACGATATCTGTAGCAATCTCGCGGAGGCCGGCAAAGGTCGCAACACTCTGTATTCTGTATTGACTCTACTTCACCCCGAGTCCCGAGGCAGAGTGTCGCTCCGAAGCTCGAACCCTTTCGCTCCGCCCATAGTACAGCCAAACGTGTTTTCAGATAGACGAGATTTGGACGATTTGGCCTCGTACCTGGCAGATTTCGCGAAAGTTTTGAACTCAACATATTTCAAAAGCGTCAATGCCGATCTAGTAGACTTGCCTCACCCACTTTGCAGTAACTGGAGACGAGGCAGCGTGGAGTATTGGCGTTGTTACGCTTTGACTATCTCAACGACCATGTGGCATTACGTGGGCACCTGTGCGCTCGGCTCGGTTGTAGATAGCAAGTTGCGCGTGCGCGGGGTACGAGCGCTGCGCGTGGTGGACGCCAGCGTGATTCCCCGCATTGTCAGCGGCAACACAAACGCGCCGGTTATTATGATCGCCGAGAAAGCCGCCGATTTTATCAAACATTCACACGCCTGACGAGAATACTGTTTTGTTTGCTGTCATCATTTCACCTCACTAATATTAAATGCTTTGATAAAATACTTTAAATTGAGATCAGTTCATTGGTGGATTCGGTCTGAAACAATTTGAATAAAATAAAAATAAAGTTTTAAACTTTTTTATAACTAGTACACCCTTTTTTGAAAGGAAATATTAGTTTTTACTTCCTTGTAGGCGCTTTATTTTCGCTCACAAACATCGTGCAATACCGCCGAAACATCTGAGTCAGCGATTTCGTACTAATAAATAATTTTCCCCGTTTTTTTTGCATATCCCGCTGTTTCTTCGCTTTTATTAGTCAGCGATATGTTTTATAGCCATGCTCAATAAATGCTCTACCCAATCCAAAAAAATAATTTCTCATTTCAAACCAGAAGTTTCTTAAGCTTTATTTATTTATTTATTTACTAGTTATTATTTTATATATTACTAGTTGTTATTTATATATTAGTATAGATTAAAAGTAAAAGACAAAATACACGATATCAAACATTAGTGCGCGGAGGAGTTATTTTCCAACGAGGTAAGGACGTAGTCAGGATCGTAATAACGCTGCTCCTCTGTGGTGGTGACCGCGAGCACATCGAGGCACAAGAGTTGGTCACGCAGATCGCTCCAGCCGCCTACGCCCAGGACGGGTGCCTTTGCCCTCGCTTCGATGCGACCTTTTGGACCGAAAACGAAGACGCCCTTCACCGCCGCTGGAAACCACGTATGAGCGGTGAGAAATCGGTCGATCCGGTTTCTTAAATCCTTCTCGTCGATCTCTTCGGTTGAGATGACGCGCGGCGTAAGGCAGGCGACCGTGTCGACGTGTCCACCTGCAAAGCTCTCGAACAACTTCAGAAGTGAGTAATTCCAATTGTAGTCGTCGTACGTGCAGTACTCGCCCGAATGCGACCTGATCTTTTTCCACGTGGTCGCGTTAAAAGAGACCCCTAGATGAAAGGGTGGGCCCCACGGCTCCACGATCAACAGATCGTCGCTTGAGCCCTTAAGGAACGGGTTTCCAAACGATAGCATTTCTACGTGGGGAAAATAAACGCGAGACTTGTGTAGGAAGCGAAGCATGTGTATGAAGTCTGGAACTACGTAATTCGCCTCCTCCAGAAAGACGACCGCGCTGTCGGCCTCGACAAGGTGCGCCATTCTTTCAAATACAAAGTTCGCCTTCCACCACCAGTGCTGCTTTTTCTCTATGAGTCGCACATCCCGTGGTCGGCACGGTTCGCCCGACGCATTGTAGTCCGCCGCTTCAAGACCGGGAAACCTGTGAGGATGGAGCTGGAGCGAGTGGGGGAAGTATATCTGCACCACTCTACAGAAGCGAATGGCTCCGACGAGGCGGTCGAGGCTGTCGTCCTGATAGGCGAATGAGAATATTAGCAATGCGGTATCAATGTCTCGCACGCGCGACAGTGAAGACAGTAGCAGTTTCAGCCGCGGCGAGTCGCCTTGCACCTGAATCACCACGACAGGCGAGTATGAGTCTCGCAGCCTGTCGCCAAACAATTCAGCGTTTAAAACTGTCGGCTCTTTATTGTGAGCCACTAGTTTGGCGCGTAGTGAGTTAACGTCGAGGCGATTCCTATTTTGAATAAGATAGGGGTCCAAAGTCGTATCTTGGTCTGTGGAAGCGCGCTCTTGCAAAAGTCGAGACAGGCACAGGCATCCGAGCGCAACACCGCTCAGGCGACATAAACTGATGAAGTGCTTTTTAAATTTTATTTTATTCTTGGCTATAGGACTCATCTCATTAGCTTGTATAACTGGTCACTCGTCTACATATTAGTAGTATTATTCGAGTACTATTCTCGTTTCAATAAGAATACCTATAAAGCACATCATCATAATTATGAAGTTTCAATTGTAGTATCAAAGATAGTAGTATATTTCCAAAAAGTTTTTAATCTAAAACGATGTACCTATTTCAAAAAATCTTTAGGTCGGTAGTACTACACTGATCACCCGGGTTTGTATTGGTGTTTCCAACAGTGGTTACAAATTCAAAATAATAATTATTTATTTATACAACTTTCTTCTACTGAATGGGTTTAACAAACAAGTGCGCCGATTTAAAAAAAAAACCCTCATAATCTTCTGGGAAAAAATATAACCATTAGGTTACGAGAAAAAATAATTTATAATATTATTCCATAAACTATACGGGAAAACGTAAAAAATGAGCAGAAACATAACTGTACATTGTATGTTATTACAAATCTGAACAGCATTATATAAGTATTTATTGCTAGTGGAACATGATAAACAATATTTTAACTATCTTAGTCTGTCGTTGCCAATATAAACCGTGTAGATTAAAAATGTATTCATCTGTGGAATAGAAGGTCCATAATAGCAAGTCTGTAAGAATTGTGCACAACTCTACTGAGATGTTACAACGTAAAACAGCCTGGCAAATAGTTAATTCTTCTTGCCATAAATAAAAAAAAAAAAAGTAAAACAGCTGTCATCGTCCTAGTGGCTAATGTCTAATTTGTGTCCAATGTCAGACGGTGAATTGCTGTCTGCTGTAGTGGAGCGGTAGAGCTAAATATTAACAAATATGAGTTTTCATTTTTTTATTACACGCATGAATAATCGGTGTACCTGAGATTAGACTTACGGGTAAGAAGGAAGGGCAGCGAGGAGCCCGCTGTCTACAAAATGAGCTCTAGAGATAGGGACACCAAGTCTCTTCACGACAAATTGAAAGTCTTCTTCAAGAAGGGAGTATCGGGTAGGTATCAAAGATCGCATAGCTGACTCTAAAACCGTTGGACATTGATGAATTTGATTGTCGGTATAGCGCCGGTCGCCACACATGAGCTGGTGGTGAGCCAAGAGATACGACGAGAACTCGGGCCCGAAGCACCTCTGCACCGCCGTATGCGCGCCATAAAGGAGTTAGGGGAAAAAGTGCTGCATATCAGAGTCCAGGAGGTACGCCTTTAAAATTTTACTGTTGCAAACTGTTCTATTGTTTATATTCTAAAGTGTTTTAAATTCAATAAAATGTTGGTAGGGAATACTTACACACATAATAGTATTGTATGCATTTGTTTTAATTGTAAATAAGTAATATTACATGTCCATGTATATATATTATAATATACTTCATGTATAATCACAACTGTTGTAGTAATAAGCCCTTATTATTTGACCTGTTGGTGTAATGGCAGCAATGCATGGCTAATAATGAAGGGGTTGTGTGTCTAACATGTTTCTAATCAATTTGTGATAGTGCATCTTGTTGAGATGTTATATGTTCCTGTTAATATGTAGTTACCATTGCAAATTTCAGGGAGGTGTAGAAAAAATCTGGTTGAGTACCAGAGACCTGTTGGAGGATTCTAACGTAGAAGCTCGTCATGCAGTTCTGGGTCTCCTCCGCTGTATTGCAGAGGGGCAAACAGAATTACTGATAATGAGATCTATATTTTTCCGATATCTACAAGAGATGGGTATCTCACAATGTCCCGAGGATTACCATCTGCGCTTCAAACTGCTCTATGCATTGACCAACACGGGAAAGGACATAAAGTGCTTAGAAGAAGAGGTATAGTTATTCTTTTTGATTTTAATTCTTTGTAGGTTTCTTTGAATGAGATACTAAGACCATAATCCAAATATAAAACATACATTTTACAGGTGAAAGGCACTTAACATAATAAGGAACATTCTCACTCTAGACTTAACCTTCAGAGTCCTTATAATAGAGTCATTGTTATTATTTGATTTTATATTATTGTTGTATATTATTAGGTATACAATACCTTTAGTTAAAACCCACATCAGATTTCGAAGCAATCAGAATGTAACACCTGTTTCCAGCGTACTATGATTTCATGTAAACTAAATTACCTTCAATGCTCTCTGATAACCAGTTATCTTAAAAACTTTTATATTTTTCACACATTATTGCACAAGTTGGCACAATATGAATTAAAAATCGATTAGAAATTGAAAAAAAAAAGAGTCCCATGTCTTACTCAGGTCATAAATTTTTCAATTTATAATCTATTTTTAATTTAATCTTAACAACAAATTTTACTTAGTTTCTATATCAATTTGTATGCGTGTGAATTTCACTCAGATCGGTCCACTGTTAGTGGAGTGGATGGGACAGATGAGTGGTAGAGCAGAACTGGTGCAGCTGGTCCAGCTCGCCACGAATGTAGTGAAGTTCAACGCGGCCTATCTCGAGGAAGCGGTCGTACACGGTCTAGTCGGGCGAGCGTGCCAGCTCGCCGTGCATTCGCCGGAGCCGCCCGCCGTTCTTGCCTGTCTAGCCCTCCTCGAAGCGGTCGTGTCGTACTCGCTGCTGCCGCGCGCCGCTTTGCGCACCTTTGTCTCCGCTCTCTGCAAAACGGTCAACCACGAACATTACTGCCAGAACAGCTGGAAGGTAATGGAGAGATCGGTTCTCCGACAAGGCTTCGCCTACTTTGCGCCAATGATGTGATCTCCGCTTTCAGCTGATGCGCTACGTGCTAGGCGCCGACATGGGCCACGCGGCGCTTCAGGAGATGGTGGATCTGGTGAGAGGCGTCGGCGGCGAAGGAGGCGGTGACGCGGACACGGGGACGGCTCGCGGCGCAGTGTTCTACATGAATATGGCACTGTGGGGGCCGCGGCGGGTACACACGCTGCACGTGTCGCATCTCGCCGTGCTGCCGGCTCTCCGCGCCGCCTTACGCGCTCGTCAACCCGTGCTAACCTACGAAATGTTGCTCGCGCTGCATAGCCTGGTGGCGCGCTTGCCTCACGATCTACACGAGGTCTCCTGGGACGTGTTGCTACATATCATCCGCGACATCGTCGACCTAGACAGTGAGTAGCCCGACACCTCTCGACCATACGAGGTTACAAAACGACCCATAACGCTACCTATTCCCCGCCCAGGAAGCTGCGAGCCGCCGAACGAGCTGATCCATACACGACTGCACGCTCTCATCACGTCCGTGGAGCAGCTGCAGGAGGCCGGCCAGTTTCAGGGCGACGCGGAGGCTCTGCTCGAACTAATCGACTACTGCGGCCATGATCGCCCGGTCGGTTTAGCTTATTTATTTATTCGATAAATCTTGCAAACCTCTTTTATAAAGAAAAGTTTTTATAAAACAATATGATACATCAGGTCTCAGTCTAATATCTATCACAATTATTTTTAACTACAGATTGTAGACCTGATTTATGGCCGATCCCAATATTCAGCTAACATTTAACTAGAAGTGACTATCATAACTGACAATTAAAATTCTTGAAGTTCAATATTCACAGATAGATTGACATTTCAATAATTGGTTGCAACTGACTGTTGAGAGGGACAACTTCTTATCATTGATAGGTTACTTCATACAAAATAGAATTTAGGCGTTTCAATAACACACTGACTGATAACTATTGTTTACAATGGCTGTTACAGATTTGGCAACCCGCCGATTTTGATGGATTGCCGAAAGATTACGAAATTCAGAAGCTATTAACAGGCGTTAATAGCTTCTGAATATTTCTTGCGTTGTTTTTTTTATTAAACGTAAAAAAAATGAAATCGTTTAGTGACGAAAGTGACGCTGAAATATATGAGGTCAACTTTATTGTTGTATATTTAAGACTATTTAAAAAGATTTTTTACAAAATGATACGAATTAGTATTATTTATGTTATTTTTAATTTAAAATATTCTTTATAAGGCTAACAAAGTCATATTTAGATTATTTGATAAATAAATTATATTAAAATATTTATTCAATAATTATTATCGCCATTCAGAAACATCATTGTTATTAGTAGAACGTGTAAAACGGGACGTTAGAGAGGGACAGGTTAATCTATCACAGCCTCTGTATCTACATTTAATCTTTGATAGGCACGTCAAAAAATAATATTGAAACACCAGTTCAGCTACTTTAACTTTTACTGTTTATCAGGGATGGCTATCCATCATTGACTGACAGTACGTTATTGGGACCGGCCGTTAGGCATCTCGTCAATAGAGTTAGCCTTTAACTTCAGCACGTCTTCGCTGTGGCAGCTTATAGCCGTGAAATAAGCCTTCACCAGCATGACAAGAAAAGCATGTCCCAGATGTTTTTTCGCAGGAGGCATCGACGATGCGGCTGATATCGTTGAGGGGCGCGGCTTTGGGTGGGTGCGGCGATGCAAGCGCAGCTCTCCAACTGTTCGAGCGGTACTTGCGCCTAGAGCCCCGCCTGCCAGTGCGGCTGCACACGCTGCAAACGCTTCTTGCGTATATGAAGCGCAACAGGTGTGGTGGAGGGGAGGAAGTGGTAGAGCGCGTAGGCGCTGCGGTAGCGGGCGCGTGCGCGACCGATGCCGAGTGTGCGGTGCGGGCGGCGGCAGCCCGCGCCTTGCCCGAACTGGCCGCCATGTGCTCGCCGGATGCGTGTATTGATCTCGTCGATCAACTAGAGAAGATCTTAAACAGACCCTACGAGATGTACGTATCGGAGGTGCCCATACCGGCCGACGCCGACACCGCTGATCTTACGGCGGCAGCCAGCGGGCTACTCGAAGTGCTGCACGATAAGTTGCTGCGCACGCCCGCTGCGCCCGCTGCTCGCGCGCTTCTCGTGCTGCTCGACCACCTCGACCACCACTACCGACGGCCGGCGCTCTTTCACCACCATCCGCACATCCGACTCAAGGTAATAACAATTTTTTTTTTACCTTTTTTGGACGAGATATAGTAGTATATTGTGTGGTATCATCATCCTTACTTGTTACAGATTTTCGACATGCTGTTCGGGCTGAGGGCGAACCCCTTCAACTGCGTCGGGTTCTGCTACGACGCTAGCGGAAAGCCCGTGTGGGGGGCCGAAGCCGTTCGCGTGAAGCCTACGTGCTCCCCCTTCCTGCTCGCCGAACCCGCCGCCGCCCGGGCCCAGCCCACCCCCGCCCCTCGCGAGCCTCCGCCCGGCGCCTGTCTTATCCCGATCGGAAGGGCGGCTCGCGTGCTTGTGGCGGCTTTGTCACGTGAATCGGAATGGTCGGTGCTGGTGCACGTGTTGCGCGCTCTGCCACACTTGCTGGACGCCCGAGCGCCGGCGCTCGGTCGACGCGCCCAAGACATCGACCTGCTTGCGTCCACGCTCTGCTCGATGGTGTCGGATCGCAGCCTCTCGAACCCCGTAAAGCTGTCGGTGTCCGAGTTCCACGCGGCCGCGCTGCCACCGCTCGCTTCCATGGCCTCGTACAATGCTTTTCTCGAGCCGCACACGCAGCAGCGCATCGTGCGGTGCCTACTTAAGCACGGCATGGTGCTGCGCACGCCGCAGCCGTACATAGCTGCGCTGACGATGTTCGCTTTGGAGACGCGCGAGACGATGGTGCGTATGCTGCCGGAGGTGCTTCTGGACCTTTCGAAAATCTCAGACACGAAAGCCATCGCCAGCCCCATGTTGGAGTTCCTCTCGAGTAAGTCCGCCTCCCTTCGATCCCCGCGGGTTCTCCTAGCCGGCACTTGTAACCCGACGCATTGTTCTAGCTCTGACCCGCCTGCCCCGCGTGTTCGCCTCGTTCGTCGAAGACCAGTACATGTCGGTGTTCGCCATCCTGCTGCCGTACACGAACCCGTCGCGTTACAACCACTACGTTGTGTCCCTGGCGCACCACGTCATCGCCGCCTGGTTCCTCAAATGCCGTCTGTCCTACCGCAGAAACTTCGTACGCTTCATTATCCACGTGAGTCCGCCGAATCGAGTTCCGAGTCGCGTGTCCTTTGTCGTTTCCTTAACGTCATTCACCATTCGTCCTCCGCTCCGCAGGGCTTGCACAATTACATCATCATGCCGTTCGAAGAGCAGCTCCAGTACAAGACGAACAGCGTTCAGAACTCGGTCAACGAGGATTCCTCGAACAGGCAGCGCAGTTCCAGCCTGGTAAGTCTAGCTAGCCTTTACTGTATGGAAAATTGCAGACACTTACAAAGCGGTATACTTACAGCTAGAGTCTGCAGAATAAACTTGAATTTATTTGGAAATATGTCCAGTCGTTAGGTTTACACGCACCTGTCCTGAAAAATTCTACTTTTTAACGCATTAGAGCGAAGACATTTAGTTTTATCTTCCATTTGGACCACACTAAAATAATTTTGTTATGCATTTATATCTCAGAATGAATGGGTATATCCATTTAATGTACCCGACTTCTTTTATTTTTATTTTATGTTATTTAAACACCTCCGAATATAATGAATTGAAGATACAAAGGAAGATCTCTATGTCAATATGTGAATTGATAAAATCGTCACTTCTAGAGATATGTTATTTTGTGTAAATCCATAATGTAATCATTTAGTCATGTATTTATCACATTAGAATTACTTTGTAAAGGTTGAATAAGTGGTTGTACTCTCCTGGCAGGGATCGAAGGCGGTGTCGCGGCCCTTGTCGGGACGGAGTGGAGGAGGTAGCGCGGGCGCCGGAGCCAGCGCGCCGGCTGCCTTCCACGTGGAGCTGACTGAGACCTGCATCGACCTGCTCGCCCGATACACGTTCACGCCTTGCAGCGTAAAGCCGCAGAGGTGACGATCGATCCGATGTTGGGCTCAATGTGACGCTGCCGATTAACGACCGATGATATCTTTCAGAAGCGACACGGCCGACTTCCTGTTCGAGGGCGGTCAGGCGACGACGTGGCTCGTGGGACATAAGCTGGTCACGATAACCACCTCGGGCTGTTTGCAAAATTCCATTAAACAAGGCCTTTGCGAGAGGTTACCTTTTTCATTTCTAGAAATTAAACAGAAAAATAACAATTTAAATCAGGCTTCTGTATCGACGTTTAATAAGCCACTGTTTCCTTCATAGTTTACCATGTCTATATATTGACAGATGCGCAACACTGTGCCGCCAGCACGCAGAGAGCGCGGACAGCCCGCTACCGACGCAGCTAAGCGGCGCCCCGGGGCCCGTTCCTCCCGGAGCCGAACTCGACCACGTTGTCGAGCCCTCGCTTCAGTCGCAGAAACAGGACAGCACCGACAGCACCTCGTCCTCGTCGGTGAACCACCTGCAAGTGAGCGCGCCGACGCAGTGCAACCTGCCAGAAGTGAAACGGTGAGTGGATGCGTCGAGGCGGAGAAACACTCTCGGAATTTGTTGACGCTGTGTCGGTGTGCGTGTGCGCAGGTACAGCAAGCGATCGCTGCAGCACAGCCGCTCTACGGAGACGTCCTGCTCCTCTCTGTCCGCCTCAGAGCTGCAGCCGCCCTCAAGCTCGCACGTATCCAGGTCTGCGACCTATCCCGTTCCGCCCGCTTATTTAATACGCTGTGCTCTTGCGTTTAGCGCCTGCCCTGTTGCTAGGTTATGTTGAACGGTTCCGTGATAATTTCGCAATCCCGCTCGGTAAAAGATACTTTCGCTCGAGCCTCTCACGACCGACGCCGTGCTTTCAGGCAAAATTCGTCGGACGGGCCGGCGGACCCGCTCGGACAGTTTACGCAGCGGCTAGAGAGGATATCCAAGGAAGTGGTATGTGGAATGAAGCGACCGCCGGCGGCGCCCCTCGCAGGTGACGCTTAATGACTATCATACTCCGCAGGAAGGCGAGGAGAGCGGATCCTGGTGCCGCGTGGGCGGGCTGGCAGAGGCAGGCGCTTGCCCGTGCTGGTGTGCGCGCTGGGCGCAGCTCCACGTACGCTCACCCACCGGCGACGTTTCGTGGCTGCTGCGCATGCAGAACCATGTCGGTTATTTCGCCTTGTTATTTAGACTTTTTAAAGTCTCACCTGCCTGAACTGATAAATAAAACTATTCCGTAGATCAGCTCGGCGCAACAAGAGTGGCCTCTGCAGGACGTCCTGGCGCTGCTTTCGCCGCCGCCGCCGCGGGGATCCTCCGCCCCCAGGGCGGGGACCGCTCACGCCGCCTCCGCCACCGACTTGGTGAGTGACGACATTTCTCGGCGTCCGGACTTGGTACTGTATTACTAAACTTGTCGTGTCTCGCAGGCTTCGGAGGAGTCCCGGTCGAGTCGTCAGTCGCACGCTTCCGACTTGCATAAATCGAGGTACATATATCTTGTTTATCGCGGGTTATTTATAGTGGGTTAGCCTCAATATAAGAAAATTTAATCGTGAACTAAATTTGCGCAGTTCCGATTCGGTGGTGGCGAGCGAGAGACGTCAACCGACGAGCCATTCGACCGGCTTGAACTCGCAACAGACACGGTGAGCTTTAGTGCCATATAAAGGTCGTATCGTTTCGTCACCCTTGAATTTAACGGCTGCGTATGCGCAGGATGAGCACGCAGCCTATCAACATCCCGCACTCGCCGCAGCGGCAGAGTTCTTCGAGCACCGTCGCAGACGACGACTTGCTGCTCATCGTGCCCGAGGTATAGCGTGCGTCTGTAGGAGCGAAGATGAAGGACTAGCACAACTCAAGACTTTCGTAACCGATTGATTTTCGCAGGGGAAGACGAGGCACCCGGTTCGGCGCTCTAACTCGTCACCGGAAATGTCCTCTTCGTGGAAAGTCGTGGCGAGAGAAACGGAGGCCGCAGGGGCGGAAACAGAGTCGATATCTAGAAACGGAACCGGCGCGACGGACGAAGAACTCGTCGTCAACGTGGACGACATGATCCTGTTGCCTGTCTGTGAACCGACGTGAGTCCCGTTTCTGTTTGACCGATTGATATCGGCGTCGTTAGGTCATTCAAAGTCGTTCACTCCCAACAGAAGCGCATCGATGACTATGCACGCAACCAAGAAGGCGGCGAAGAAGAGCGACATGCGAGTGTCGTGCGAGGCCATCCCAGAGGAGACGGGCACCTCGCCGCAACCGCACTCGCAGCTGCAGCATAAGCACCCTCACCTCGTCACCTACAACTCGGATCCAGGTGAGGGAGTCTCGGCTCTCTACGGTTTAAACGGCGACACCGCACGTTGCGGTTTTAATTGTACGCTTAACGGGTGCCAACGTGTATCGACAGGTGCGGTCGGGTCGGACGCAGAGGCGGAAGGCTTGTCCTGCGCGGAGCCACCGTCGCACCATCGCCTGCAGAAAGTGAGAATCGGCCGCTAGCTTTCGAGAGTTTGCGCTCGGACCTGACAGTTTGAATTCCTGTTGCAGACTAGCAGCGACAGCACGGTGACAGCGACGGCGGGCGCAAGCGCGAATACGGCCCTCGGTCGCGGCAGCGCAACACGTGACGAGCTGCCTCCGCTGGCGCGCTCCAAGCGCTCCAACACCATCTCGGTTATGAGTCCCACCGAGCGATCACGGTATACCCCTTCCTTATGACCGACATATTATTATCAAATAATTGTTCTTCTTTCGGCCACCTTTATGCTTCTCAAAGCCGACTAATATACTTCTCTTATTTTGAAGTCGGTTGAAATCGACTTCCAGGGAGGGTGCAAGTCGTACGCAGCCGAGCGCGGGCGGCAGTGTGGGGGGCGGAGTATCCCCTTCGTTCGTGTTTCTGCAGCTGTATCACAACATGAGCACTTATCCGCTCTCGCCTCATGTACCGGGCGAAGCACCGACCATGCTGAGCGTGGGCTGCGAGAGGCCTCTCAAGGTGAGCGGGGCGCAACACGAGCGCACGCTCAAGCACATCGACCTCGTGCCCCCCTTGGAAACCTACAAGGTGAGTATTGCCCTCTCCCTCTTAGCTCCGTCAGCCCTCGGCCTACATTCGATGTCCGTTGCAGGTGGGCGTCCTGTACGTCGGGCCCGGCCAGCAGGATGATGAAGTTGCCATTCTGCGAAACGAGTACGGAAGTGTCCGCTACTCCGAATTCCTGCGCGCCTTAGGCACGCTCGTGCCCCTGGAGGGCGTCGAAGAACCGAACCTGTTTCTGAACCTGGAGACGGGCGGCAAGGATGGACGCTACACGTACGTGTGGACGGACGACATCATGCAGGTGCAGTTCCACGTAGCCACAGCGATGCCGAGCTGCGCGCGCGACCCTTCGTGCAATGAGAAGCGCAAGTACATCGGCAATGACTACGTTTCAATAGTGTACAACGACTCGGGTCGCGATTTCAACATCCACACGATTAAGGGCCAGTTCAATCTTTGCGTCGTGGTCGTGGAGCCCGCGGAGCCGGGCATGGCGCGCGTGCTCGTTAAGACCAAGAGCGAGCGCATCCGTACCAAGTTCCTCTCGCACCTTCCGCCGTCGGGCCACACGCTCTCCGATCAGAGCGTTCCATTGCTAGCGCGGCAACAGGCGCTTCACTGCGCACTGGCCTCGCAGATCAGTCAGTCGCTAGAGCGTCCGGGCGCCCAACCCTACGCTTCTAACTGCCTCGAGCGGCTACGCCTTATAAAAAGACTGCGCGCGCGCATCGAAGGCGAGCGCAGGGCTGCGGCCGCCCGCGCCCCGCCACCGTACCACGCTTCACCGCACTCAGAGCATGCCCAGCGCCGCGTGGCCATCGATGATTTCAATGACTACACGTAGCGCCTTCCGGTCGGTTCGCTGCATCCATCCTGCCCACAGATTGCGTAACACCGACGCACCTGCCGCCTCGTTTGATATGGAAACGAATAGACAAACAGAAAGACAGATGGTGATCGATTACATCATTTTTTTGCTACTTCCTTCCACTTTGCAGCGTAGTACCTAAATATTGGTGCACTAAAACAAAATGTTAAGCAAAGCCTCTGTAAGAACTGAAAAAAGCAACTAAACAGAGCAGTATTTGTTGGTTTTTAATAGTAATTTTACTTTACCACTCTTAAGGTACATTGTTGCTGTTTCAATAAATTGTTAAGTTCTACTTGTATGAAGCACACCACTATTGTCGATGTCAATATCATTTGCTGTATATACAGACAGAGCCAGTAAAATGGCAATACCGCTGAACAATATTTTGCTCATGTATCTTAATATAAATTTTAAGCTAAAGTATTGCCGACAGAAAGTTGCACAGTCTAGATAATTGTTGAGGCATTTCCTGTTCATATATTATTTTATGTAGCAATTTATTTCTGGACAACAAATTTTGTAATCATATAAATGATGGCTATATTCTAGTTGTTTCACTGCCCTCTATGAATGATAAATAGGGACAAATTAAACAGCACCAAAGTAACTAACATTTATTAAGTCCTAAACTATGACGGCAGTCTACTCTTTATCCTGCGTATTCATATATCGTTTCCACACCTTCACCTTGCCACGCAGGGCGCGAAGACGTTTCATTTCCTCCACAAAATCCTGGTGCTCATCTCTGAACAAGCCGTACTCTCGCAGTTTTAATATCAGCGCGTGCGTCTCCACGTGCCGCGGATAATAGTGAAGTATTTCCTCGTTGGTGTGCATAGGTCTCGCCGAAAATATCTTTACCACTTTCAGTGAACTGGGGTTAGTCGGCGTCGCCACTTCTCCGAATATCTTGTCAGACAAACTCTTCATTCTACGCGCGTAATTGCTACTTCCCTTTATGAGTTGCGCGTACTTTATATAATTCGTTGCCATTGTTTATAATTATTTCAAAAATAATGCTAAATGACATTACATCTTAGGTTTTTACAGTATTTAAAGAAATGCTCTGTCGTGACAGCCGACAGATAACAATGTTTTTAAATTCGACCACAGACACTTAACATGCTTGTGTGGAATGGAATTGAATGTCCATAGATTCGCCATAACGGTTGAAAGTTTGTAAAGGCACAACAATAGTCTTGTGTTGACGTAAAAATACCTATTAGTTTCCATTTTTTATTCATTCATTCATCAGGAATGTAAATAGCGGATTACAATGTACAACGACGTTATATATTTTATCTACAAGACATGTTTTTCTTATTCTGGCGTACTTCAAAGGACACTAAATTATGTACAGAATTTGAACTTTTAACTGTGAAATTTTGTCTAAAATCATTGGATTCACCTTATGGCCCTACACGATGGCGAAGATATTGGCAAAGATTTTTGCCCAGAGATTGTGATAGCGTTCACACGTTGAACGGTCAATCAGTTTGGGCCAATGTGTGGACGAAACAGTGGATAATATATTTGTTGTTGTATTTCACACCCACAAAAGATCCTTGTTTGACTCTACTGTGTATTTGTACTTAATAGAGTAAATAAAAAATAAGTAGAATATAATAATCTTGTTGTTTTTATTTTTATGATCTTTATATTTCGGATTCCATAGACAGTTTTCAGCTTGATAGAAATCTATGAAGCGAAAAGTATCTTCATTGCTCATACTTGCCATAATCGTATTCGATATCAATAAATCCTCATTAAAAAATACGTCCGCACAGAATGGGCGCTCGCTGCAAACTGGACGTGTCGCCAACGTGTAGACGCTATGTCACTCACACACACGCGCTGTGCCACAATCCCGCCATAACCCTTTGATCTGCGTAGAAAAACCGGCACCAGACGGATCTTGCGCCAATGTGTGGGCCAAGAGTCCAATACCTACCAAATAGATCACCAACCCCCCGTTCTACACAATGGCCAATACATTCGCCAATATCTTCGCCATCGTGTAGAGCCGCCATTAGACTCTTTGAAAATACTAAAACAGCACTAAATTGGAACTAGGTCGCTCTATGCAACATTTTAACAATAGTTTCACAAGTGTTATGATTAAGCATACAGCGATAATTACTTATAAACATTAAAGTGCTTAGTGCTCATTATGAAAAGCACTGGTTAGTTAAAGCACCTGCCTTCGAAATCGACGACTACTAATTTTTCTTACTACTAAAATTAAATGAACTTATTAAGAAAATATTCTGCATCGAAATGAAAAATGTGATATATAATATTTTGATTACTGTCGTTATTTGCATTTGTAAGGAACTACTCCTTTTTAGTTTAATAATTCTTATATTTAATATACCTATGTTGTCCATATCATTCTCAATCTAAACCTCTTATATTTATAGATGCTTGAACACAAAAGATCTCATCAGTCGACTTAAATCCTCATACAAATCTGAAATGATCTTAAAAGAATCGACTGGAGCATTTTTAAGTAAGAGTGACGGATGCGATCGCCTTTTTCTACCGCATATGAAAGTGCATAAGACCGTTATCGAGGCTGCGGCACACCTCGTCTCCTTCGAGAACGGCGTCTGGAGAGCATAACCAAGGGTCCCGTGTGTCCCGCTGCCAAGCGAGCAGGCGTACTCGCAATCTTGACTCCGTCTCAGCCGAGCCGCTCTTGCCGTGCAGATTGTTTAGCTCTTCAGGGTCAGCAAGCAAGTCGTAGAGTTCCCACTGGGGCCGGTAATAGTGCCGTTTCAACGTTTTGTACCACGGCAGCGGCTGCTTGCTGCGTGTGCGGTTCAATATATCCTGGAACGTCGGGGACATGTAGAGGTCCTGGTCGATCGGAAATGGCATCGCGAAGTTGAGGTTATGGATTAATTTATGGCTACTCGTTCGCACCGCCCTCATGGGGTAATACATTGTGATCTCGTGATGCGTCTGGGACGCGAACACCGCTTCGTCGTTAGAAAGCGGCGGTTCCCTTATTAAGATTGGCAAAAGACTCTTAGGGAGATCGCCGCGACCATCGATGTCATTACTGACATCCATTTCTTCAAGTATTCCAAACCAATCGAGTACGGTTGGAAATACGTCTAATAAACTGACCATTGTATAAGAAGCTTCATTCTTCCTAGCACTCATTTCTGGAGACGAGATAATTAAAGGTTCTCTAAGTCCAGGATCATAAAAATTTGTGCGACCAGAAGGAAAGGGAATCCCATTATCTGATGTGTAGATTACCAAAGTATCATTAGTATGTCCCGATGTGTCTAATTCCCTCAGTATCAATGCAACGCCTTGATCAAGCCTTGACATTGTAGTATACTGTGCTGCAATGTCCCTTCTGGCAGCTTCAGTATCCTGAAAAAAATCTCAAGTTTCACCATTATTATTCCTACAACAACATAGACAACAATAAAATACTCAAAAATATGCTGGAGAAAATAATACCTGAATATGAAATGGCAGCTGCACCTCATCCCACTGGTAGTACCAGGGCTCCCAATCAGGAATGGATCCCATTCCTGGCTCACCTGAACCAAATCTTTCACAGAATGCACCATACTGGGGCTCACTATGGCCACACCGATGAGGATCATGGAAACCCACATATAACAAAAAAGGCATCTTATTTTTATTCACCAGCTGCAAGAACTCTCTTACCAACAATTTTATATGAGTGATATTTCTTCCCACTTGATTGATGTGGTTATTTTCTTCCGTCTGCTCAAAATCAAATTGGTACACAGCATTAGGTCCTACATGCTTCTTGCCAATTATCCCTGCGGATCATAGGACACAAGCAATAAGATGAATAATGAATGGCCAGAACTTAATATTTAAAACATACACAAATGGTTACCAGTATATACTCCGTGACTTCTCAACAAGTTAGGCAAACTGGTGACATTGTTGAACGAGTTGAAATGGTGAATGCCATGGTGCAACCCGTACATGCCATTTTGGTGACTCGGTTGTCCAGTCAGTAATGCGGCACGGCTGTCGAGAAAACATGTTTACCATTGCCTCTGGAATATGCCTTAGGGCATCAATTTTGAGAGAATGAATAAATACCTAGGCGAGCAGCTGCTCACCGATGTGAAGACATTATTAAAAATGACGCCGCGGCGAGCAAGCGCGTCGATGTTCGGAGTTTGACATATTTTGTTTCCATAAGCTCCCAACTCAAATCCACCATCATCCGCTGTATGGGAAATAAATTGATTCTAATTAAAAAGAAGTTAGCATTTAAAGTATTAATCATCCCGGCGACACTCACCCAGAAGAATCACTGTATTTTTTGATTTATGTGATATTGCACATTCTGCGAGAAATAAAAACATGAGCGCATAAACAAACTCCGCTTTGTGGACCACTTTTACTAGTAAGCGCATTTTTCCTTAATATGCCTATAAAGTATAAATAGTGATTATTTTATATCCGCTGTTCTTGTTTATATTTTGTGAACTTCACCCGGGTTGCTAATCAACCGTTTACCGTTAAAACCCGTAAATATTGTAGTTTATTTCATTGGAGAAACTTTATTTTAAAATATTTTTTTTTTTGTACATAGATAGTATAGAAAATAAAATATGCGACATTTGGATATGCTGACAATATTTAATTGAACTATTAATCGGCTAAAAGACTCGTATCCGTAGGTAATGAAAAAAAACGTCACTCTATTTTGACGTTTCCAATTTCAAATTCAAAAGCAAAGAACATTGCTCAGAGGCAAAGAATTTCAAAAGGTTTGCGATAGTGGAGGTCGTGGATACTTTGCGACAATTTATAATATCTTATTACATTATATTCAATTGTTGTGATAGTTCACGAATATTTGAAGGCGCTCAATCGCTTACTTGAAAATGGCAAATCGAAGAAACATTTTATATTTATTCGACGTGGATGGAACCTTGACCCAGCCGAGACAAGTTATTACAGAAGAATTAAAACAATTCTTGCTTCACGAGGTGAAACCCAGGGTGTCCATAGGTCTCGTCAGCGGATCAGACTATTCTAAGATCGTGGAACAAATGAACGGTGAGGATGTGACGAATCAGTTTGACTACGTGTTCTGTGAAAATGGCGTAATGCAATACCGGCAAGGCGCTTTGCGGAGCCAGCAAAGCATTCTGGCCTACATCGGAGAACATACATTGCAGAGAGTTATTAATTTTGCTCTCGGATACATGTCCAGACTAGAATTGCCTGCCAAACGTGGCAACTTTGTGGAATTCCGATGCAGTATGATTAATATATGCCCAGTAGGCCGTTCTTGCACTCAGACAGAGAGGGAAGATTTTTCAAAATTTGATATCAAACATGAAGTCAGACGTAAATTTGTAGAAGCTTTACAGAATGAATTTAATGGCACCAAGTTAAAATTTGCTCTTGGTGGACAGATAAGCGTGGATGTGTTCCCTGAAGGATGGGACAAAACTTACTGCTTACAGCACGTCGCCAATGAAAACTTTAATGAAATACATTTTTTTGGAGACAAGACATTGGCAGGGGGAAACGACTATGAGATCTACAATGATGACAGGACTATCGGCCATAAAGTGACATCCCCTTATGATACCAAAGAACAACTTCAACGCTATCTTAACATATCGTAATTTATTTATAGATATATAGCAAATGTACATATTATATCAAACAATAACATTATAATAACAAAACTGATATCAATTAATAAACATAAAAGATTGTTTTCAATTCATATAAAATGAGTTTAAAAGGAAGTTAAGCAGAGATTCAGACCATCAGTGGCCTTGGTACTGTGGTTTTCTTTTTTCCATGAAAGATATCATGCCTTCCTGTCTGTCTTTGGTGGGAATGTTTAGTTCATAGCACCTCTGCTCTACTTCATAACCATCTTTCAATGGTAGTTGTAATCCTTCATTGACAGCTTTCTTTGCGCATCTCAATGCAATAGGAGCATTCGTAGAAATTTCACGAGCCAAACTTAAAGCTCTTTTAAAGGCCGCATTATTCATGCCATCTTGTGGAACCGAGTGGTTGACGATACCTAAAACACAGTATTTGTTATATGACAAAACATTTTTTTAGCAAAGCACAGAGCCATGTTAGACAGACCAAGTTGTTTGGCTTCTTGGCCACTAATGATTCTAGATGTAAATATAAGTTCCTTTGCTATGTTACTGTGGATGACCCTCGGCAGCCTTTGTGTGCCACCAGCTCCAGGAATAAGGCCTCTTCCTGTCTCTACAAGACCAAGCTTTGCGCTATCTGCCACCACTCTCATATCACATGCTAGAGCCAGCTCCAAACCTCCGCCTACAGCAACACCATCAATAGCGGCAATTGTAGGCATAGGCAGATCTTCCACTCCTATGAACGTCTGTCGCAAGCCTCGCACAAATGATGCGACTTCATCATCGTTCATTTTGAACCGTTCTTTTAGATTGGCCCCTGTGAGTAAAATTCTAGCTTAATTCAAATATGCTCATATTTTCTATCCCATTAAGGGATAGGTCAACTCACCAGCGCAAAATATTCCTGGGACTAGGCTATGTAAAATAACGACTGAAATTTTCTTATCCTCCTTTAGAATAGAGTTAACTTCCCTCATAGCATTTACGAGGTCGAAACTTAAAGCGTTTTTGTTCCTAGGACTGTTGAGGGCGTAAAGGGCGATGCCCTGGTCCCCTCCTGAGAGACGCTGGAACACCACGCTGCCGGCGCTCTCCACACTTTTTGCGTCGGTTGCGAGACATCTTAAATGATGAGATATAGGAATTGCTGAGCGCCAACTCGCCTTGAAAAGCATTATTTTGTTTTGTTAAGTTTTTAGAATATTAATATTAGGTATACGTTGAAAATATAACTTTATAGGTTAAAGGATAAAATATGCAACGTTCGCAATTTCAACGATTGCGGTTGACATTTATTAATATGTTGACTTTCATTCAGTCTTATAAATATTTCTTTATCAGCTTATCATTTTGATGATTTGAGTAGGTAGGTATGTTAATCCCGCGTAAACATGGACCACAGCTAACAGATCCATACAGCCTATAAGGTAATCAAAAGATTAATTATTGATACAGATATCAAACCATTTTGTGAACCAGATATTATTTTGTAGATGTAAGGATAAGGAACCCTAGAAAAGTAGTATTTTTGAAGTCTGATACATATTTGCGGATACATTAAATAAAAAGTCTAACATTCAAAATAGCACGCCTAAAACGCTAATTTTGCTAAATAACGTTGCAATACGGCTAGTGACGTCACGAGTCAAGGCCTTATATCGGCTGACTTCAAATCAAGTATTGTCGGTTGAAATTTATAATAGTTCCTTCCCTTATACTGTCCAGTCTCTGCCCAACCCTTATTCCATGCTTCAAAGAGAAAAATTGTCGGCAATGAAAGGACGTCATACCAAAGGCTTTGAACTTATAATACGGCCGACGTAACTTGGCAAGTTTGATCTTAGCGTGAAACGCTGCGCTGAAGTGTTCCATAGGATATTAACGGTGGTAAGAGCGAGGTACGCGGGGCGGAGATTTAGGCTAGAGATTGACTCAATGTCAATACAATTGACCGTTTATTCTATCCAAATCTGTAATCGACTTCTATTGATTTGGATTATGTATTTTAAATCGTATGGGACATTGTAGTAAATGGATTAATGAGTGAATGGCGTTATTAATAAACGATACCATGATTACTTTTAAAGGAAAACGACATCATTAAAAACTTGTTGTTCTTTATTGAACGACGTGATTTAGTTAAATAGGAGTTATTATTTATATTATTACATTCTTTAAAGCTTTTTATTATATTTTTATTTAATTAATTATATTTTTATACAAATATATTTCTACGATCCAATTTTGTCTATTTCAATAGGAATCGATTAAACGACACTATCAAGGATCGCGTATGGACATCTCTATTTGGTTCGTTGGCGTTTATTTCTTTATCTCTGTCTTGAGCGCATTCCGATAGAAAAGTATTTGTTTATTGTTAAATTGAAAATTTATCTTTTGTTATATTTTTGTTTTGTCTCTGTATTTATGGTGAAAAATAAGTGTCCGTAGCCCTTATTCTCTTTGAATGAATTATTGGTATGTCACTTTTGCTTACTATAGGTAAATTCTTACATTTATCCCAGTAACGAAAATAAATGGCAGTATTAGTTTTCTTTACGAGTGTACATGCGCCAAAGTTCGTCCAACCTTTGTTCAGACTTGCCAAGTTACGTCGGACGTATAATACAGTCTACAAGATGGCGAAGCTGTCAATTGTCACTTTAGTTCCCAGTTTTGCCGTGGGACTTCCAGTTCCTTCGTAGCGCGGACGCGCGGCTTAAAGTCGGCCATATTTGTTGTAGTCTTTTCCCAAGTAAAAAATACATTATTTGTGATGTTTATGTTACATTTACACACGAATTAATTTTTTTTTCTTACATATGCTATAAAATGAAACAATTTTATTCATGTGCACTTGATCCCATTACACAAAGTACTTTAAAACTATATCTTTTCAGAAATGTTGATAATGTGGATGTTATAAAAGAGAACATTAGAACTGGTGCGTGGAAATGTGCTGCCATCAAATCTTCCCTTATACTCGATCTATTTCAATTAGTCGTCGCCGCTAACCGCGCTGCTGTAGCTCAGACTTTGGGAAACATGGTGACGAGGTCGGTTTACGGTGAAATTCTATACAATCTTTCTCTCACGAGAAATATTTCGCAAAGCCTCGCCCTATTCGGGGCCGACGGGAACAGTCCTTTGCTCCTGTGTTTCTTAACAACAGCGATGACTGATCACAGTGAAGACATTGTGAAACAAGTAAAAGGAGATGCGTGTCCTGTTTCCAACCTACCTGAATTTAGTGATATAAAACTCATTAAAGATGTATATAAATTGAAAAATTTTGAGTGCGATGTTGATATATTAGATAATATTATAAGCAGAATGGTGACCAAAAACTTTGTTTCAATTGCTGATGTTTCTATGTGAGCCACTTTTTATAATAGTCTATCTATGGAAGACCAGATTTCTATATTCACTCATTTGTCACACATCAATGTGCAATTAAAAGCAAATGTAAGTTTCTGCACTGTTTTATTTTAACAACAACAATATCACGTAAAGTGTACAATTACTTAACAATATTACCAGTAGAGATGAAATCATCAGTTCTTTCAGAGATCCACTGGTTTGTTATGTTTATACTAATTGTTTGGTAGATAGGTTTCTCAGAACATTATGCTTAGAAGTGTTTAATGATTAAAATAACAGGGTACTGTGTTGTGCATACAAGTGTAAAGACCTAGTAAGGTGAGCGAGCATACTAGACTAGGGTAGACCACAATATCACTGACATCTGTTTAACCGAAATGAAATAAAGAGGCATCTTAACTATTGAGACTTAGGAACTTTCTGATTTCTAATCACAACTTTATTTACAGCATATAACTTAAAGTAGATCAAAATAACCTCCACATATAAATTATAAATTACTTAATCATTTAAGGCTCTGCAATCCTTGGACATGAGCGTTAAGATATTTTGAGCTGAGTTCCATGCTAATAATGGCACAAAAATACACAAAATGCTAAAATCCTCAGTCTGCCAAAAACTGGGTTGACTTACTTGTAGTCTGCATGTGTATCAGCTTATCTTCAAATATTGCAGAAGTGATGCCATTGTGCAACACCTTTTGAACACCTCAGTACTACACTTGTTAATATTCTATACATCCCTATATGATTGCTTCTAACCACTCAAAGCTTTCACATTTGTTATTGTTCAATATCTACAGGTTGCTATTGCTCTGGTTCTATTTAATAATCGTAATATGTATTATGATGCCGTCATCTGCACTAATCTACGTACTCATTCTTGCGATGGCAGATATTTAGGAAACAATCATCGTGTACTGTAAATCGTAAAAAAAAAATTGACCAAAACCCATAGCAGGCGTTTAAATTTTAAAATGATCAATTATACTTTTTCAACTTAGAATTAACAGTACGAAGTTGATTTTTGTGATCGAATCGGCAGCTGCAGTCTGAAATAAAATCAAAATGTCAGTGAGGGCGACGCTTTCGCTATTTCTAATTAAGTAGAAGCGAAGGGGCTCACTCGCTTGCGTCAGTGCGCGAAGGGAAGCGCCAGGCCGTAGAGCGAGGGTCACCGGCGCGCCTCCGACAAGTACACGGACACCGACGAGTCCTTCGAACCGACGCCCATCGCACACCGCAACGGATGAAAAGTGAGACACGACACGGGCCCTATGCGAGGCCCCATGAAGCCCTCGTGGTGCTTAATCGTATTCAGGTGCTGCCCGCGCAGGTCGTAGATGCTGATGCACTGGTTCACCGAGCCGCAGGCGACGAGTTGCGCGCGGGGGTGCACGTCCACCGCTGCGAGGGGCGCCGTCGCCTTCACCACTACCACAGGAGACACTTTGCGCGTGTCATAGATGCGCACCGCCCCGTCCACACTATTCGTAACACGAGTGAAATTTTACAATGACAGTTTATTCGGCCCCAAGTAAGGTGTCGAGTGTGAACTCACCAGCCGGTGACGATGGCGTGCTGGTCGCCCCGCGGGCTGGCGGCCAGCGCTGGGGAGGCGTGGTCTCGCAGCGTGTATAGAGGGCGCGCGGGGGTCCGCTCGTCCCAAGCGCGGATGCTGCCGTCCGCGAACCCGCACACCGTCAGCCATCCACCACGCCACAGGCACGTCACCGCGGACTCGCTATCTGCGCGGACGAAAAGACGTAGGCGACAAATGGTACCGAACCAGATCTTTCCAGTTCCAAAATACTCATCGCTCACCAGTTTCGATGTCGCCGTGCAGCATCTCGGCGGTGGCATCCCAGAGGCGCACGGTCGGCGCCGGTCCCGCGAGGGCGAGGCTGCAGCGGCGCGCGCTCCAGCGCAAAAGCGTCCCCGGTGGGGGCGGGGTCCAGCCGCCGCCGCCGCTTCCCGCGCCCACTGCGCACGTATTGAAATATCAAATCTGGTGTTTTATGCGAACCCAGCGAGATGAAGTAGAATGAAAAGCTCTTTAAGAAGGAACAAAGGAGTGCACTCACGGTGTGAGTCCGCTCGAGTCTTGCCGGCCGCAAGCCGCTCGTCGGCCGATGCGAACTGCTCCGACACCAGCTGGGCCAGACCTGCGCATACGCACGCCTCACGCACACATTTCACAACAAGCTATCGAAGCGTATCAATGAAAAGCGATGGAACTTTGCACGACGTCGACGAGGACGAAAATGGAGACGTAATAAAAACACTCACTGTAGAGGGGCTGCGCGGGGGGCGGGCGGTAGTCGGGCGCGGGTCGTACGTCCAGGGCGCGCCACGCTGACACCAACTGCGGCTCCATGCCGCTGCCCGACGGCCTGCACACGCATACACGTGATCATCGCGTCCAAGGGCAATCGCGGTGCACGGCGATCTACTCACCTGTAGATGGCGAGGTTGCCCTGGTGCGAGGCGACGGCGAGCGCGGTGCAGTGGTGCGCGTCGAGGTAGGCGAGCGAAGTGATGCGGCCCCATGCGCGCCGCCACGTCCCCACGCACAGCTTCGCCGCCGTGCCCCAGTCCCAAATCCTGCCACAACGTACACGTCAATGTTTATTGCTTTTTGCAACGAGGAACGCTCGGGTCGGGCCGAGACTCTCACCCGAAGTTGTCCTTGGAGGCCACGGCGGCGTGCTGCTCGTAGGGGTGGAAAAGCACGACGGCGGGTGGAAGGGGACAGCGCGAGTAGAAAGCCTGCGTCTCGAGGCGGGCGACGCGGGTCGTGCGCAGCGCTATTACACGATAGGCCATTGTCATGTTAGGAAGACTATAGAGTTTTTTTTTTAATTTGTTAAATCGTAATTAATTTCGAGGAGTTGCGACCCGAAAGTGCACCTTTAGCCTCGCGGCGTATATTGGCGTTCCTGGTGCGGCGCCAAAGTCGCTCGTGGTAGGCGCGGCACTCCACGTCGTCGACGGGCGAGGCGGGGGCTCTCGAGCATACGCCTTCGGCGGTTGCGCCCCGCTCGGGGGCAGCAAGTGATCCCCACGTGTCGGCGTCACCCCTCGCGAACTGTGCGCTCGCCCACTCCACGTACTGCGTGCTCACGATGGCCTTTTTCGCACTCTGACCTGCAAAGCATCGACGGAGCGACTGAGCCTCCCATTGGGCACTTCTCAATTAGAATAGGGAGAAACGTGACGCGCGACTCACTGGAAGAAGAGGAAAAAGAGTCCTCCGAGGTGGTGTGAGGGAGTCCGGATCTGCCTCGGCGATGACCTGCAGACAGATGACAATCTTTACAAAATCCCCTCACCCTCGTCCCTTCGTACGGCCTTACGGTTAAACTCACCGAGGGGCAAAGTACGCGTATCGTGGTGCGCGGGGTGCGCGAGGGAGGGGCGCGTGTTGGGGGAGGGGGGTAGCGAATTAGAGCCGCTGCTCGTGTGCCGTTCCACTTCGCGGCTTACATTGTCCACCTGCAACGTGAACAATACTTTCTTCAACGACAGAAACAATATCAACAAACAGAAGGAAACGAAGCGATTGTTGTTAGTTGAACTATTTTACGAGAGACAAACGGGTGGTGAAGTACCGATGTCCGAACCATATAGAAACTTAATAATAAGCAATCAAATATAAATTAGAGAAAGGACGTTGAAACAAGGAATGAGTAAAGTAAGGGGCCCAACATTCACTCAAATTACAAAAAGTATTCGAAATAGATTTTTTAGCATTAGAAGAAATACACTTTTTTCCAAATCGCAGTCAGTACAATCCGTTAGAGAAAAGGGCAAACAAACACGCAAACGTTTCGGCCTACGTTGCTCAGATTTTTGCTGATTTTGGGTGGATGAGAAAAATAAAAATTTGACTTAACCCGTTCATATGAAGTCAAATTTTAATTTCTCCCATGTATCGTAATAACGGAGTAATTGTTATAATACTTGGTTAGCGATATATCCGATGATGTCGTTGGCCATCTGCGCGAGGGTGGGATGGGGCTCCCTGCACATCGCGCAAACGCAACTCCACAGCTTCATGTATACCGACCCGAAGCCTGAAAGTTCATTCACATCATTGGATAAAAAACAAACAGAGGACACACACATATCAGAAGTCATAAACTTTTACACACGCGTTCCCAAATATTTTTTTAATGCGTTTCCATTTACATAAATGGACAGATTAAAATTTCTTTAGTTTGACATTCGCGTGGGGCAAAGTAAAGTCGACGACAAAATGAGGTAGATTTCCCACTCCTGCACGGTCACTGACAAGCGTTACGTAATAAAATAATAACAAATTTGTTTATTATTATTATATATTTAAGTGATTTTGAATATAGAAGTCGTTTAGTCTATATATAATCGCTTTTTCTTTATCCCTGTGTCATCTGCGGCTTCAACTTCACTCTATAAAAGGTCATCACGGGGTCTCTATGGTATAATTGACCATATTTGTCGTGGTCTTTTCTCAAGTTAGAATAAATATATAGAGCTACTTGTTTATCTAATTCGAGTACCAAATTTCTACCCACCGATAGCGGGCAACGAGAGGGAGTGGTGCGCCGGGGAGGGGTTCCTCGCGCCGCGCCCGCCGGCCAGCGCCTCGCAGCCGGGTTCCACGTGCCCGCCGCCACTGCTCCGACCCTCTCTGTCGCTGCGCCTCATCCTCTCCTGAATGTAAACGGCGATGAAGTGCTGCTCGAATATCAACACCACCCACTGCAGAGCTGCAAATACGACGTCGTCGATTAGACTGTGAGACACTTGTAAGGAAACGTAGTGGAGGCAATTACCCGCAAGAATCTCCGCACGCAACAGCGGCGAGGCGTCGGCGGCGAGCCTCGCGGCCAGCAACACGGCCACCTGGTGGTCGAGCGCGTTGGCATGATCGGTGCGAGCCGCGAGCGGCGCCGCGCCGAGGAAGCAGGCGAGGGCGAAGGCGCAGGCGGCGCGCGTCTCGACGCGGCGGTGAGCTAGCAGCGTGGCGATCTTCTCGTGCGCCAGGTCCCTGGCGCCGGCTCCTCGCGCCGCCTCGCAGCCCCGCCACAACCGGCCGAGCCCGATGCACGCCCACTGCTCGAGGACGCCCTCGCTCCGGGCATTGCCCTCGCCGATCTGCTCCAGACACGCCGAGATCATCGAGCCCTGCGAACAGACGGTCGTCGTTGAAGCTCGTTTCGCGACCGCATCAGCCAGTCGAGCGAGAAATACCTGCAAGGCCGCTTCCTGTCCCGCCGGATAGTTGTCCACGATGCCGGCCAACACGAAGGCGGCCAAGGTGCGGTGCTCCGTCTGAAATACGCGCGAGTATTGTATTCGACGCTTCGCTTGGGCTACGTTAGAAAAGCAAGGACGTTCTCACTCACGCTGACGGAGGGGTCCTGCAGAATCGCCAAGAAGTATTTGTGCCCCTTCGCGTTCACCAGATCCGCTTGGCAAGTCTGAAAATATCGTAATATTATGTTAAATGCCGGAACTATTGAACTGGCTCGCTGTGGAAGTGCGAGCGACGTACCGGATCAACGGCGACGATCTTGGCCCAGATGTAAAGCATGGCCGGGCGCAGGTCGGGCGCTGAGGCCTGCAGCAGCTTCAGCATGTAGGGAAAGATGCCGACGCCAAGGACGGCGCGCACCGCCCACTCGCCCAGCGCGAGGAACCGGCACAAGATGTGCAGCGCCCGCACGCGGTGTAACGTGCTCAGCAGTACCTGCAGCACCATCGGCAATTGTTCTGGAGGAGCGCGCGACACCGACCCTGAAACCGTTCCGGGCGTCATCGATGGGTTGACTATTTTTGGCAAAGCACTCTCGTTTCGTTCTGCTTATTACTTACACTCGCCCAGATCGAGCCAAAGCTGGAAGGCGGTGAGCTGGTCGCGAAAGAAAGGCGAGTGCTTGTAGTGCAGCGAACGTTCGGCGACGAGGCCGGGCAGCTGGGCCAGCGCTAGGTCTAATGTGTGTTCCCAAGCCGCCCACAGCGGGTGCCTCGCCAGGGAGGGCAGCGCGGGGCTCGAGACCGGGGTGCAGTTGTAGGAACGCATTATCCTGTCGGCCAGTAAGAAGTTTCGGCAGAGGCTCGCCGTTAGAAGGTCAGCACGAAACAGCTGCTGGAAAAGGTCGGGGGGCAACGAACTCCACGCGATCGTGTCCGTTATCGCCGTAAAGATCCAGTTAAGCTCGCCGAGCATCGTGCGCCGGTCCGTCACTTGCCCCGGGATCCTGGCCACGAGATTTCCTTTTAGTTCTGTGCAATTGTAAACATAAGTACAGAAACCGTTTCCATCTTACTTGTCGATGAGATCGATGAGGCCTTCGCGGGCGGAGCGAAGCCGGCTGCGTAGCACAAACCATTTCATGGCCATCTTGACGGGAGTTGTGAGGCACGAAGTGAAGAGGTCGGCGGGTAGCTCGGGCGACATGGGCAGACTCTGCCCGGACGCGCACGCCGCCAGCTGTATACAGTTCTTGTACGACACGGGCGGCCCGATCGCCTCGGCGCCTTTGGAGCTCACTTGAAGCTTTGTCGTAGTGAAAAATACCTATTAGTTTTTATTTAGTGGGCTAGAGTGTTATACTTAGGCCATTGTACAACGTACATGGCATGGTACCACACTGCTCTCAGAAGATGAAATGCAACTACTAATGCAAAAATATTGACTTTTCTCAATTTACAAAATTTCTGTTGTGTTCTACATTATCTTAACTGAAAGCAAAATACACACAGTTAAGGGTTCCGTTTCAAGTATCACCCGTGTCATTATTATTTTTTATCTGAATTGATTTTTTATGTATATAATGCCATCATCAAAACATGTTATATAAAATTTCCATAAAGAATCAAATAAACCAGGTTTTTAAGTAAGCAGATTAAGAGTTATGTGGAAAACAAAGGGTAACACATAACAATTATTATAAGACATATATCAACAACACACAACCATTAACAGAGCTTTTATAAATTTCTTATGCACATGGCCTCCATTAGAAAGATGAGAAACTTTTTGAGGCACGTCAGTTGCTGTATTTGGCACAACACCAGATTTCCTAGTATTTGCCCATTTGTATTGGACATTCACGGACTGAGTGAGTGTGCTTTAATGACGTACTGATCCTTTTATTAAAAACCTGCAGTGCAGCAACTAAGATACTACGATATAATTGTATTTCTAAGGATCAAGTGTAGAATTCTGGAAGAGCAAGCCGCTTTATTATGTTGAAATATTTTGTGTATGGTTGAATATACATCTATGTCTTGTCTTACTTGAATCTTTTTTTTTTAACTGAAAAAAGACTCACTGCATAATCCTTCTCATGCTGTTCCGCAAACTGCTTAAAGTTTTCCACAATGAGGCCGGCATTGGAGCAATCATAGACATAGAGAGAAGGGGCCCCCATCCAGCTCTGCAGGTCATACATGGACAGCGGGATATATTGTGTGTAGGCCTGTTTGGTGATATAAAAAAAATATATATCTTATAAAACATCCTTTAGAATATATTCATGCAACAAATAAGTTGTGCTGTACCTTATTGAATACCCAAATCTCTCCTTGTGCAGTGGGCTTGGGTACACCGTGGCCATTGTAGTGGAAGAGAACTCGCTCCTCCTTTGCATTGCGCCTCAATGAGCAGCATAACTTTTTTATCTATGTGATAAACAAAACTATTTATTTCTTATAAGTTTTATTCTATTTAAAGGCTTTACTGAGAATGCAACAAAGAATAATAAAGACAATATAACACAGAATAATAACCTCATCACAAGTGGGGTCGAGGGACTGCTTATATCTGGCTCGAGGCTGCCACCTCTCATATTGTGTCTGAAGAGCGTGTCCGATAGATTCTAGTGCTTTAGTTGGAGATAGTGAGTTTGGATCTTAAAAGAAAGTAGTGCTTGAAATATACATTTACATACACAACATTAAATTTATAATATACATTACAGTAATATTGTCTGTATCGTTGTTTTGCATTTAGAATATAAAGACAAAGGTGACTCTAAATAGGAATGTGTTTAAATAAATAGTAAATGTACAGTTTACCTATCCAGCATTCTAGCCGGGCACAGGGCTGGGTTTTAACAACATCTGGTGGGTCAACACCTACATTCAGACACAGCACCAGAGCTACGCAGTGGGTCTTGTACTGTTTGGACAAACCAATCAATTAAAAAAACAAGCAAACTATGTGCATACTAATAAACTTAACCTAAGTTTAATTAGTTTCTACTCAATGTTATAAACATGATAATTCGAGATATGATTTACATTAAAATGTGTTTAGAATTCATCCAATTAGAAGTCGTCATCGTTCATACTGATAAATATAAAGTGTAGCAATTGATTAGAGAAGCTCATGTGAGTTTGTTTTCATGACATCGTGAACTTTCGTGATTTACTGCGCAGTCAAAGACATTTTTTTTACAAGCACAAACCTTCTCTTTTACTCTCCACGTGTGCTCCTCACGATCAGCGCCTTTGATCGGTTCTGTGTGTCGGGGCTGATTAAAACATAAGGGTAAATTGTCCTCATAGTCTGAAGAATCACTGTCGGAACGATCGCTGTTATTCTCCTCGTCGTTAATTGCGAGATAAGGAGGCATATCTGTCATTTTCCCTTATAATTTCACTACTAACTTTTCCGTTTACAAACTTTAATGAACGATATCCACGGGGACATTCATTTCCAAAATATTACAGAATGTTATGAGCATCCATATTTCTCACATGGGAATAAACAAATCACAAACTGCTTCTGTATATACTAAGGAATCATAGATGTAAAGTATAGGGCGTACAGGGATTCCACAGAGCATGTTCTATTAATACTGTATCAGTGTATATCGAAACCACTTTTATTTATCTGTGATAATTGTTGTGATTCGTATCTAAATAAACGTGAAATATGTCTCCTTCCGAAAAGGCTACAGCACTATGGACCACATACACACGCTGCGGCATTTGATACAGAAAACTGAACCACTATGCTTAGCGTTTGTCGACAATAAGAAGGCCTCATTTCATCGAGACCTGGGCCGTGTTTAAATCTCTCCAGATCGATACGTCGAGATGTTTGTATAAGAACGCCAATATGTCAGTCAGAGTACGAGATCGGTGAAGAAAAAGGTGATGTTGTCTCACCAAAACTTTTTACCGCTGCTCTGGAAGACGCTTCAACATTAACTGCGAGTACCAAACCCATCTGCGTTTTGCCGACGATATTGTGATCATAGTCAGTCTTTGGAGGATATAAACACAATGCTCGAAGACCTCAATCCTTTCCATCCGACTCGGCTGGGCAGCGTTCGGGAACCTAGAAAAAGTCTTTTCATCCCGTATACCTCAGTGCCTTAAAACTAAAGTGTTCTAGCAATGTGTGTTACCAGTGATGACGTACGGTACCGAAACATGGTCTCCTACTGCGAGCATGGTACACAGACTTTGCGTCGCTTAGCGTGCAATGGAAAGGGCTATGCTCGGAGTTACCCTGCGTGATCATATCAAGAATGAGGAAATCCATAGGAGAACTAAAGTCACGGACATAGCCCATTGAATTGGCAAGCTGAAGTGGCAATGGGCTGGGCACAATGCTCTTAGAATTGAGGGCTATTGGAGCTAAAAGGTTCTGGAGTAGAGACCACATACCAGACATCGAAAACCTGGAAGACCCCCTACCAGGCGGACTGATGACCTGGTCAAGGTAGCAGGGAAACGCTGGATTCAACTAGCGAACGATCGGTTGTACTGAAAGTCTATCGGGGAGGCAGACACCTAACGGCTGAATCAATGTCTCCTTCTGTTCTGTATTATATCACAAATTCACTGTGACTGTACTATTTAGTTAAACAATTTAATATGATATATATGCTAGTCTTGGCTTATGCTCAACTACTAGGTACATATGGCTTAAATTATTTTTGCATCTATTTACAAATAATGCATTAAGTAGGTAAATATATAAAAATATAGTATAAGGTTGAAATTAAAAATTTTGCATTTATATTTGTTTTTATATCTTTATTACAATGGTAATTTCTTTCGCATTTTCTCACCCTTATATATTTATATAAAAACATGATTACGTGGGAATAACTTATTACAAACTTAAGGAATATTGCATTAATAACAATATAAATGAATCTGATATTTTTAGGGTAGGTTAAATAGTCTTAAATTATAATTTGGGATGTAAACAGATTACATTTTAACAGCAGTACAAATGTTGCATCCGTCGCGCACTCCTTCTGGCAAGCATTCTATATGGAAGGAGTGCCGGCAATTATAGACAATTAAATCAGACGCACTAGAAAGATCGCGCATTATAATCCTGCCCTGACAAATACTGCATGACAACTCATCTGTAACTGATACACCGCGTTGTTGAGTCATTATCATCTTCTCATGTAGGTCAAAGTAGTTTCTTAGAGTTATTACTTTGCACGCTTCCTGCACAGACATTTGCAAATGGTAGTCACACATCATTTTCACAAGTGACTCCTTCAGGTCTTTTATTTTGCAACCTGGCTGGATGTTTTGTATCAGCATTCTGGGATCAACATAGTTTCCTATTCTCTTCAACAATAATGTAATACACTCGGGATTGTCAACAGTCTGTCTGATAAGATCAGTCCACAATTCCTTGTCATTGTGCTCTTGGCAGAAGTTTATGGCCTGGTTTATGTCTTTCAATTTTTCAAGTATGATTTGCAGAGCTTCTCGTGTATTACCAATTCGGGCAAGCAGAAACACCATCTCTGGGTAGAATTCATTACTTTGACAGATATCCAATGCCTCCTGGATCGGATAGTTGTCACTACATTTTAGAAATGGTAATAATTTTTCCCTAGCAAACTTTGCATACAACTTAACTAGTTTTCCGTGGTAGGATCCATTGGGCTCTACTTTGCTATAGGCATCTAAGTACTTAAAAAGGTATAAATCATGACTTTTTAACTGTCTCTCAACCACTTCCACTGGGACTTTTGCTTCTTTGGATAACAAGAGAGGAATGGTTGTATCACAGTCGAGATTCATCAAGTCAAGGATTTTGTCATATATAACAGAGTACATTTTATGTTTAGCAATTAATTTAAAAACATCTTTGTGCTGAATTTTTAAGTAAGCTGTCAAAGCCTTGTCATATTTTTTTTGGTAGCAATAGAGTAGGGCCAAGGCTTCCAAATAAGTATTCTTTTCTACTTCAGTTGTCAGCAAATGCTCCAGTACTTCCTTGACAATCACTCCAGTTTTGTACAAGGCGGGGTTCCACTCTTGCACCAATTTTAAGAAGCCTTGAGGATCAACTTTTAAATATTCATAAAAAATAAGTTCATATATGTGAGAGCTCAGTGCTCGATCTAGGTTTCTCGGCACATAGTTACTTACTGTTCTAAGTTGATTAACTTCTGCAAACTTTAATACTTGATTTTCCCATAGAACTTTATCATTTTTACAAATCCTTGCACATAATATTGCAGCTTCTTCAAATTGATGTTCATGCATTAAATGGTCTAGGTACTGCACTCCAACTGTGACAAGTGAATGCTTTGTAGTTTTCCCTCCCACATCTTCCAATACTGTTAATGCTTTTTCAAATCGGGCATGTTCTATTAACCAATTTACTCTATCGTTGATGTCATAAGGACTTGCTATCACAATATCTTTTGGTGATACAATAAAAAACCTATTCTCTTCTATAAGAATATCTAAATAGTAATCGTTGCAGGAATATTCCTCATAACCTCTAATGTTAAGGCTGTCTGTGGAGACTTCACAGAACTCACAATCTTTATAATCTGCAACAGACAGTACAGGTCTTTGTGCTTTACCACTTTCAGAGTCTAGTTCCTTAGGCACTCCCAACAATACAAGTTGGTCATCTAGTGGACCTAATCCACTTATATAATAGTCTGTTTGAAAAGTATATACAGGGTCTACTAAATATTCTGTAACATCCCGGCTTTGTAGTTCAATATGGCTTCTTTTTCTTATAATACAAATCCTAACTGTGTCCACCCATCCTATCATTAGAGTCTTAGGGGCCGACCACAACAAATTGCAGCGAAAATCTTCAATAGATCGATTGTAGGCTTTTTCCCATTGTATTAGGCCCAGAGAGCATCTAGCTACTAAATCATAGACTCGGACACCCACCTCACTTGCCCAAGCGACAAATCTCTCATGCCATGAAATAGCTTGCACATATCCTTCACATTCACATAGAATAGTGCTACGAAGACGATTTAAAAATGTTTTCTCATACAATGTTAACTTATTATCACCTGAAACAAAAATAATTCACAGAAATTAGTCTCTTTTATTTACTACCTTCTATAATTTAGATAGCTAACTCAAAACAGAACATTAAGGTACCTGTGAGGAATCTTCTGCCAGAGCCTGATTTAAAATAGTAGGGATCCAGGGCTACAGACTTGACCACTCTTCCTAAAGTCAAATTATGGGTGTTGTCTCCAGTGTACAGACCGTATACGAGAACTTTACCATCATCTGAGCAGCTTGCAATGTAGTCTCCATTCTGATCTACAGATATTTTGTTAACAGCAATGGCATGAGCCTGCAAATCTTTTTGGTCGTTATCAAGTGATATCGGAACAATATTACCTTCATGGTCCAGAAGGTGTATCACTCCCCATTGCGTACCCAGGCATATGAACTTTGTGTGCACACATATGCAGCTCACAGCATCTTTTAGTAAAATATTTTGAACATCATTTCCCATTCTATCGTACTTTAATTTTGGCTCCTCGTCGGGAGGCAAACTGTCGCAACTTTCTAAATTTAACGTCATCTTGCAAAACGTCTGGACATTAAAAAAACATAGTCACATATTATTACACGGAATTCATGCACTGGAAACTGAAAACCAGAGCATACCGTCTTGCTGTGTTATTGCTCTGCTTTTGTTCTTCAATGTTTTCAATTCAATACAAGTCACTGTTGTTTTCTCTCATCATTCATTTTATTGTGAGGCATATTGACTTTGACATTATACTGGTTTGACAGTTTTCCGAGACAAGCAACTCCATAACATTTGAGTCGAAGACGGTTGTCTGACGCGTTGTGTGTACAGGCTGAATTTCATGTTAAAAACAGCCGTACAATTAATTTGATGGTGAACAAGTTAAATAAAATAATTAATGGATTAACACACGTCAGTAGAGTGTGTTACATTTAACGATTTCATATCCCCTCACAAAGCGCTCATACACAATCAGAGTCCCTCCTGAATCCTGATGCAAAAGATGAGCAGCGCTTTAAAAGTGAAAAAGCTTCAATAATTCATTTATTGGAAAGAAGAAATGCTGACGCATCACGTCTCATCAGCCATATTTTAAATAGGCCTTGAGGAAATTTCTACCTAAAATGACAATAGCTTGTTGTGTCTTGCTGGATAACTATAATTAAGGTTCAAGGATAAACGATTAAGCCGTACATTACAAGTAGGTATAAATTAATATTTATACTAGTTGTACACAAAAAAACGATGTATAATAACAGTTGACAAAAAAAATGCGGAATTTAAAAACTACAATATACAAAAATATTATATATATGGGTTAAAACACGAGAACTGATGTTGTAATGTTCGATGATTGATCAATGAAGATTCTTTTTTTTTTCCATTTGTGGCAAGAAGAATTAACTATTTGCCAGTGTCAAGTTAAAATGAAGATTCTTCACAACGTTCCTTTTACATATAATACAGTGATTAATTGGTTAACCGTGACCTATTATTATCTGTAGTATACGGCGCTTAGCATAGGTAAATATAATATCTACTGGCGGGTAAATCGAATTGAAGAGTTTGCCCTGTCAACAAAATCAAGTTATATAAAATATTATTTAATATTAAAAATGGACAGGGAAAGTGACGCGTGTAAAATAAAGACGCTTTATGACAATTCTTTAACACCACTTGGACGTAAAGTTATGTCAGCACTAATTAACATACAGTTAGGAAAGTATCATAATATCTCTATGTATAAATTCAAACAATACTTAGCGCTCGGCTTAGCTTTTATGTAACTTGATATCATTTTTATAGGTACTACTAGGAAACACAACATAAATAAGTCTAATCCAAACAAACTCGCAGATAAAAGCACAATACTAACGTGAGTTAGGAAAACCGTTTTATTTAAAAAAATAAGATGTTTAACGGTTATTTTTATTTATTCAATTTATTTTAAACAGTCTATAAAATATAAACAACTAATAGATTTTTTTAACGTCAATCGTCTTGGTATAAACGACAATAATAATACTATTTAGTGTTGAGGTTCACACTTTCAGATTGACCGATGCTCAAACAAATAGAATGTTACCGTTTCATTATGCCAAACCAGAAGTCAATAGAGATGAAAATTCGTTACTGATCCTATCGAATAATATTGAAAATAATTTAAGTGTTCAAAATGGGATATCAAATGTCAACCAAGTAGATTGGAATAATTTCTTAGATGAAGGTCTGCTATCCACTATTTCAAACACTGGTGAAATCAATGTTAAGAAGGGCACTCTGTCTTTGAAGAAAGCTTATCAAGAAAACAAAAAAGTAGAAAAAAAAAGGAAACACAAAAGCACTACTGCCATCAATAACCACAATAAAGATACTTCAGGGGAACCATTCTTACAAAAACCTAAATGCAGTTTTAGAAAAGAAAAGTATACAATCACAGTTCAGAACTGGCTAAAAGACAACTGTTAATGTTGCTTTCTTTAGTGAGTACTTACCGTATAAACCCAATCATAATTAAAATCCTAGTCTTAACAAGTACTTGTTAACACTAAAATAAATTGTGCCATTGTGTGTGTACTTTGATAGCTTATACATTTAAAAATGGAGTACTTTTATTAACAATATTCTCTATTGTAATAATGTTAGTAAAATTTTAAGTTAAAAATAAAAGTTGCTAAATTTAATTGACTACCAGTTCTCAAGATTTAGAATGATCGAGAAATAATAACAATTGTTCTTTATCACCAAGTTTAAATTTTAATTAAATTAATGATATTACAAAAAGGTTTTACTCTACCATACCATATATTTTAATATAAATATCACAATAATATAATTTTTTTATAAATCCACTATAGATTAGAGATGCCAATAACATGTAAAACAACAATGTGACTCAGTAAAAAAAAAATACAGAAGAGTGATGCAATAACTAATATGTATTTCACTAGTTATACTCTAAAAAAGAAAACAAAATTACAACTAGATTTCCTATCCTTCCAAATTTGATAAATTTTTATCTCTGGTATAGTTTTATTGATAATTTTCAGTTGTAACATTACGTTTGCACCTTAATTAAAGCGAAGAGCCGGTGCGTATGCTGTGTGGTGATATGAAAAGGCATAGCATTGAGTCCATCTTTTTCTGGATTGGGGTTCACTAACATTTGGTGACGTGCCACATTCTTCTTTTCTTGTTTGTGGACAAGCATTGTATACCGCGATATATCAGGAGGAAACCTACAATAGGTTAAGTACCTCATTTATAAAGAACTTTAAACAGAAATAGTGTTGGTTAGTTTTATTTTCAAATATATCATGTTGGGGTGGAAGTAAATAAAGGAAATGGGATTAAGTAAAGGAATAAAATAAAAATCCCTTTTCCCTGTACTTCTCAGGAAATCTGATATTTTTGTATTTAGTGCTCCAATAGCTACAAATGGGTCACACATGCGGGCTGTGCCCGACTAAAATATGTCTCTACTGGATTTTTGTTTGGGCCTATACACTTCTACTACTAATAAACATTATTACTTACCTTAAAATATTGAGCCCATGTTTAGTTATCCTCAGCGCAAACTCATCATCTTCTCCACCCCACCCAAGGAATTTGTTAGAGAAACCATTGATTTTAGTATACTGATCTGTCCTAATAGATAGAACACCTCCTGTGAGAGTTTTGTAAGGCAAATTGAATCTGAACTTGTCAATACTGGCGCTCATATGCCTAGGCTGATGAAGACAGGAGTAAAGATTTGCTGAATTCAAAGGAAGTAGGTCTACATCATGCATTATGAGGCAGGGGAACTTATCGGCCATTGCGTATTGAACGCCAATGTTATAAAGTAGACCTTTGTTAAATAATTTATCATCTTGTTGCTCAATCACATACAGCCTAGAATGAAACCACATAGGTTAATGCAAAGAATGCGTCCTCTATGAACCATCTTATCTGTCATCAATAAAACTCACTTGTAATGAATATTTTGCTTCCTCAAAAAATTGTGAATAAAGGGTACAAATATGTCCAACTGATTCTGTCGCTTCCTATATGTAACTAGCAGAGCCACGCTGATGAGGGGTAGGCAGTCGGTGGGTGTGTAGCTGCCGTTTGCGATGCCTTGAGGGACAAAGTCGTTCACGCTTTTCTTGATCTCCCAATCATCGGGAAATACCTTCTGGTAAACATTTTCGTATCTACAGTCCGCTTTGGACGATTTCCTGACGTTAGGGCTCGCGTGTAGATAAAGCTTCCTCTCTATCTCATCCCGTGGAATGTACTCGTAGTCGAAGACACCGAAGCAAGCAATAAACTGTATGATTGCGATAAGACATAGCACGATCACAATGCACGTCTTCACGTCGACTTTCTGAAGCCTTTTTAGAGGCAACCATCTTCGCATTGGACGGTTTGCCACTATGCCTCGCTCTTTACGAATCGTTTTTCGTCATATCACATTGATCTGGAAAGACTTAAGGTTAAATTTTAAGCCGGTTCATGTACTTTCCATCTAACCTACACAATTTTTATGAGGTACAGAATCGAATACAGAATAACACACCTAAACAGACTATATTACTTTTTAGCTGTATGTCTGTGGTTTTGTTGATGAGTATAGTTCAATGGCTTGACTCATGTTTAAGGTTTGATGTTTGTCAATAAACAGTCTGCTTGAAAGGATAAAGAGAAATTTGCAAAACTTTGAAAATTATAAATAAAATGAAAAAAAATATCTTTTAATAAAAACACTTGTCCTATTGAAATCACAATTTGGGACATAAAAGGATATTGACATTTTATATGATTTGGTAAGTGTTACAGCCTGATAAGAAGGTAGTTATGGTAAATAACTATAATAAGAATAGTTTTATCACTGTTTTATGTGAAATATTGAGTGTAAAACAATAGTCATTGTTGCAATGGGCTTATCAATGCTATTACCTACATACATCCTCAATTCTTATCACAACTAGGACAAACTAGTGTAACTAGTTATGATACTGTTTGTGATAGCCTATTTATAATAATAAATAGCGCTGGATCAATGTTTGACACAACATCATTCCAGTCCGTTCAACTGTAGGAGGGTGAAGAAAGAAGTAAGTAATTACATATATGTATTTATTTCATTGTGTTTTGAGTCTTTGTAGATAAATCCTTGAAAATAAAATTGCAGCATTTAATGTAGGCATATGTATTCTAACAATCAAGATAATTTAAATACATAACAACAATGACCATAAGCTTAGTTGTTGCTCTACATTCATAATTACTTGATGTTTATAATTTTAATTTACTCGGAGTTTGTCTCGACTGCACCTGTGAATATTCAAGTCTTTTCAAGCGAAACGGATTGTTTTCGTATTCCCTATATTGCCTCGACTTTCTTACGTGTTAATGTCATTATTTATCTATTTTTCGGCATTCGATGACCGGTACAATCCACAATATTCACTAACACACCTCCCTAAAGTATCCAACGTTAAACGTTAGTTTAATCGGTGGCGAAAATAAATAACTTTATTCGAGTTTTACAGTCAAGCGATGGGAGAAAAGAAAATTTGGATGAAAGAAGAGCTAACCTGCAAACCGCTAGATACCTATGAAGAAATATTAAGATTCTTGCAAGATCCGCCAGCTTGGAGAACACTTTGTAGAGAGTTAAAACCGCATAGCAAAAGTGCCATTAAGAACATTAACGTCAATAAAAGCTTCGGTGAAATACTACTCGAGAGCCCCCAAACGTTCTGTCATCTCGAACCGGACGCGGAAAATGTCAAACGGGACGACAGGAAATTGTTACCAAAGACAATAGTCTGTCATGACATGGCCAACGGATATCACGACGATAGGTTCGATTTCTTTACCATTTCCATATATATTTTGTGAGTGAATCCACCGATCTGAGAAAAAAAATAACCGACTTCTAACAAGTAAACACATTTCCTACTGTTGCTTCGCTCCTATTTGGGCAGCAGCCTAATGTTTTATTGCCTAAAGCCTTCCTAGATAAATGGTCCAGACAACGCAACATTTTTCATTTCATTTCACAAAACAAACAAACTCTAATATATTGTTTAGTTGTATAACTAAACAATATTAGAAATCATTTAATGAGTTATTTTTAAGATAATTAAACTACGTATTACTTTGTGCGAAGCAAATTTTTTTTTCTTCTTATCTTAAGTCTTATCTCATATCTATATAAATTAATTAGGGTCAAGCGTAAGATGTTTATTAACAAACTCCCCAAACATTTCTAATTAATAATGTTACCTTATTTGACGACTTTAGAATGTCTCTTGTGCACTGTTCCACGTTCAGCATGGCTTACTCTCGTTGCAGCATAATCGATGGGACTGGCAACTACGACGCCTACACTTTCTACAATTGGGGTGGAGTCGACACCTTCATATACTTCAGCCATCACTTAATCACCATTCCACCACTGGGATGGATAAACATCGGTCATGCGCATGGAGTCAAAGTTTTAGGTAAACCGAGAGGATAAATTAAAGCAATTGCAGCGGGCCGTTGGAGTGAAACTCAGGCATAGGGACGTCGGTAATCCCTTCATTAATAAAACTATAATAGTATTTTCCTGCCAGGGACCGTGATCACCGAGTGGGCGGATGGAGTGTCGTTCTGGGAGCGCGTCCTGCAGTCGGAGGTGGAGTGGCGCAACTTCGCGAGCGCACTCGTCGCCATCGCAAAGACCCTCAAGTTCGACGGCTGGCTCATTAACGTGGAAAATAAGGCGAGTACTTTCTTTCCATATGTTCCAAGTGAGACTATCGAATAGAAAGTATACTAAAGTTAAACATATATCTGTCCCAGATATCGAACCCACGCGCGCTGCTGCAATTCGTACAGTTGCTTCACGCGACATTGCACGCCGAGCTGCGCGACCCCGAACTTATCTGGTACGACAGCGTCACAATCGATGGACACCTCAACTGGCAGAACGGACTCAACGAGAAGAACAAGTCAGTGCTTAAACACGGTAGTACAGTTTGGTACAACCGTGTGTACAATATACGAGAATAAAATTATATTTATATATCGAAGACTCTTGGTTTCTGATACATCCGTGTACCATTTCCTTGAATTTCGCTACTTTATTTTGTTTAACAGGGATTTCTTCGAAGCAGTAGACGGATTCTTTACGAATTACTCATGGAGAGAGGAAGACATCGTGACCAGTGTGAAGGAAGCCGGCACACGCTTGACGGATCTTTACATTGGCATCGATGTTTGGGGTCGTAACTTTTACGGCGGTGGCCAATTTAATACCCAGGAGGTAAGTACATTATTTCAAACTCAAACTATTTAATTCACAAAACAGAATAAATAACTTAAATATAAGCTTAAATAACTAACATTTAACAACAAAAAAAAAGTGAAAAAAGAAAAACTGTACGGACAAACGCCCGTACAAATTTACTGTATTTTTATAATAATATTATTTTATAGCATAGCTAGTATAATTCTAAATCTATGTCAGCGTCGTGCTCACTTCAATGTTTTTATTAAAAGCAAATTTACAAGGTTAGCTTAGTGTGCGTCCTATTTTCTACTTTTCTTGTAAATTATATTAAAACAACTATCATAGGAAATAAATCAGTTGCACTACAGCACTCATTGGGTTTGGTTACTTCGCCTCCCTCTTAAACTTATCTTTATCTTAATCATTGCTCTTATAACTATCTATCTACATTCACGAATACTTTTCCGAACTGTTATACGCAACAGTCTCTGGTACCCGAAACTCGGGAGTATACGCTAAACTGTTCTACACTACAAAAACAAACAAAAAAATAGAAACTTGGACGAGTGCTTGTGAAATGGGGAAAAGCACTCGGCATGTGCTTCACCAAGAGGCATGTGCAGAATAATGTATGATATATAGTGGAATGTGTGTTTATTAAAACATATATCGTTTTGCGTACATGCGATTAGGAGTATGACTCTACTAATAAAAACTTTTTATAATGAAGTGTAAAATTCCTTACAGTTTTAGAGGCACGTATTGGTGGTGGAAGGTTTTTGATTTTATACTTATGGTTTTCCGGATGACGATAAAATATAGATTACGTCATTATGTCGTTAGGCGGTTCAATTGGTCCACGGATATGGTTGCTCTTTGGCCATCTTCGCCCCGGCTTGGACTCACGAGGCCATACCCGAGGATCGAGACAATTCAAGCACTGTGGCGGAAGCCGACGATCTGGACAAATACGACCGGTTTCTGCTGCGAGATAGAGCCTTTTGGGCCAGCATCTGGCCCTTTTTAAATACGAAGCTGCCCAGCTGCTTACCATTCCAGACTTCCTTTTGTAGAGGTCAGGGGAAGAAACGGAGAATGTACGGAGAGGTAGATGTGTTATCTGCATTCTGTACAAAATTCGAGTTACCGTTTATTGTTATGTAATAAGAGCGTATTCTATATCCAGGTCATATGTCCGGTGCCGTGGTTTAATCTGCGGCACATGCAGTACCAGCCCAACAGCTCGCACGGCCCCCATGGCTACATCTTGTCGACAGTCGACAACATTGCCGGACTCTCCCGCCTCGGTCTGCTCAAGAATAGAGACGGTATATTACGGTGCAGAAAGAGCGTCGAAGACAGTCGGCTCGACGTCGACCGAAAATCGAGTAGAGAAATGTTATTCACATTAAAAACTGACAGGCACAGAGATGTACAGGAGACTGTTCGAGAAGATGTCGAAGAGAGCAAGCGGAGCGAAAGTAAGTCTGTCAAGAGAAAAATGTCGAGGGTATTGCGCCACTTCTTCAAGCCCAAGTCGGCCAAAACCGAGCAAGATAGCCCACAACAGCGAAGGGACGAAGCGGAATACGACGAGCCGAGTTCGAGCGATCTCAAGGTGAGAGATCGCTCTATGATGCAGATGTCTATCAGTTTGCGCTTGGGCAACGAGCGCTCGAAGACTAAGTACGCGCTCGGCTACGTGCCCGGCGAGCTGGAGTGCCTGGAGCCGTTCTTCGAGGACAGTTTCGTTGGCGGATCTTGCGTCAAGGTGAACCCTTCGGACGAAGTGTCGCCGGAGCACCGACTGCCGCGGATGTTTTTCAGCGATTTTCGCGTCGAGAACAGTCTGATCGCATGCACGGTGACTAAGAACTTGGCCGGCCACGAGTACCAGTACCTGAACGTGTCCATGGAGATCGAGAGCGGGGAAGGTTCGGGTCGAGTGGTGCTGGTGGGACGGAGCATACCCCGCGAGGAGACGCTCGAGGAGAGCGGACGCGACTGGTGCCCGGACGAGGTGGTAAACGTTTACCCGATCACGGAGGGGGCCGAGCTGCGTCGAGTGCAGACCTACTTGCTGCTCAATGAGCCGGCCTTCTACATCCCCGTCGAGAACCCTTATCGGTGGACAGTCAGGTAACCGCCGACGACTACGAGCGAGGCTCAATAAAAACGATATCGTCTTTCACTTTGTCTTTTCGCAGATACTACGAGATCAGAATGGCGGGTGCGCGGATTACGGGCGTCGACTGCCGCACAGGACTCGACGTAGGACCGATTCTATTGGGTCATTTCGGTCTTTGCGACAGGTACATCGGGCAGTAGTAGCGATGATTATGACGAAGCTATGATTATGACGAAGCGTATTGTGTGAATACTTTATATCTCTGACCAATAAACATTATATCATCTAATTCTCTTTGATTGCTACGAAAGAACAAAAACAACGTCTAAAAATATAAATAAACGTATTTTGGAAACTTCAATATTTAAATAAAACACTTTAACGGTTTAAAACGCGATATATTAGTTAAACTTATTTGAAAATGATTTTTAACTTCGGCCCGACGTTTCGGATGCTTTGGTCTCCCCGTCACCACGGCTGCTGCAAAGCATCCGAAACGTCGGGCCGAAGTTAAAAATCCTTTTCAAATAAGTTTAACTAATATATCGCGTTTTAAACCGTTAAAGTGTTTTATTTTATCTTTGTGTACAAAGTAAGTGTCAAAGTAGAAGTAAATTAGGCCTTCAACTTTCCCCTATCGGCCGTTACGCCGATCACCTGTTTATGTGAAATCTATAAAAAACTGATAAGATTATGTCATTTAGCATTCGTCTCACTTTGTGATAAAACCGAAGGGCATAAGTAATTGTCAAAACTTCTTAAGCATGTCAACCGGCTATGCCTACATGAATCAATTACGTTACATTGACACACTTTAAAAATGAGCCGCTACAATTAATGTTTATATCTGTAAGTACTGAAACACACGCGTCATGGACGAGTTTTGAGCCAAGGTCTTTACTATTGAATGCTTATTCTTGATATTAAAATACTTGCCGAGAGGTAATGTTCGCTGTGTTTGAACAATTGCCAATGCGTTGACGTTTTGAAATAAGAAATACCTTGTTTAGATAAGGATGATAATATTTCCTAAGCGAGATACGAATGTTCATTCGCAGTTGCATTGCGGCTGTATCCGTTTCTGCTGCCCGGCAGCAGTCGAAACGCGGGGATAGCACTTCTCCCATCGGGAGTCCGGGCCCGCTTTCGTGCGCCCCGTCGCGCAGTGAAGAGAAATCGGTGAGTAGTCGATGTGAATGCTTCTATGTTTCAAAATACTCCGTTGCTCAGAAATAGATTTCGGTCAGGGGCACTGAAGAATATAAAGCCGTAAGCGAAGTAGCCACGGCGGTGTCTGCTGAAGGAGGATTACATCTTCGAATTAGTTTTGTTAAATTTTCTAGAGCACCTATTCAAAGAATTTAGTTTGTAGTGATTACGGAGAACAAATTGTCGACGCACTTAAGGCACACAAACAGTGCGAATACTGCTACAACATAACTCATTTACGTGAGCGATGAAAAGTATGGAACCCGAATAATCTTGACTCGCATTGACATGACGGCAACATGATGTAATGACGTCAGGTCATAGATTTTCAAAAAGAAATAGCTACATTTAAAGTGAAGTTAACGCAACGTATGTTGATTTTTGAATGTTCCACAAGGTGACCGAACCATGGATACGTGCTTAAGCCCCGGCGCGGCCGCGACGACCATAGCGGCCGCGCTGCAGTTCTTCGCTGCCTCTCAGTGCTTGCTGCGAGAGAACTGGCCGAGCCAAGCGAAGCTAGACAGTATGTATAACTACATCATTTATGGTTTATCTTATAAACCGAATTTCATAGTGTCGTTTTGACGTTTGACGAGTCAACTTAGCTGTTCAAATTTAACTGTATTAAAAATAGTAAACACAACGAATAGTTTATAAAAAGTAGCTAATTATGTCCTCCTAAGGGTCCTAAATCACCCATAGTGTAGTTTCTTAACCCAGTGAGATACTCCTAAAATAATATAAGTGAAAAAAAAAATCAGCTTCAAGTTTGAGCGGGTGGAGGGAGGAGACAACACGGAAGCCCCCCCCGTCCCCCGTCGAGCAACAAATTCAACTCCTCAGGTCAGATTTTGAGTTTTAGAGAGGACATTCTTAAGCTTATTGACAAGTTCGAAAAACGTCCCATGAAGCTCGAATCGCAGGACCGAGTGCAAAGTCCAAATCCGGAATTTGAAACTCAGATATCCGAACTCCAGCGGCGTCTCCACGACGCCAAGCAACATCAACTGTCCAACGACGTCGAAATATCCGGAGAATACGGATACCTGAGAATAGCGGAGAAAATATAACCCACATTGTGATTTCCTTGGCGCAGAAGGTAGGGTTCACATTAGAGGAGAGAGACATAGTTAGTGCGGACAGAATGGGTTCTCGTTTACAGAGAGAAATCCAACATATTAATGATAACACCGCGCAACCCTTTCGATCCCGAACCATCGTCGTAAAACTCACACGCAAGCAGTTACGGGAGGATTTCTTGCGCGAAGCTCGGGTACATCGCGGAGCGGTTACTTCGGGAACTAACGTAGAAGGAGGTGTAAAACGGTTCTACGTCAACGAGCGCTTAACTCGAGTTAATCGTCAGCTGTTCCAAATGACGCGTCGTGAAGCGAAGACTAAAAACTGGCGACATGTGTGGACCCGAGGAGGACGTGTATACGCACGTCGTGATCAAAATTCTACCCTGTGCAAGATAAGATCTGAAAGCGATGTGCGTGAGATGTTTGGGGGTGTAAGCGTTTGATAACAGAATGTTTTGTTATATTTATAACTCTTAAAACTATATTGTATTACAATTTATTTTATATAATGGTGTGTATTTTCGTAACTACTATCAACATGTCTTTGCAATATGTGTATATATACGCCGGATAAAATATGACTAGCAATTTTCAACGAGAGCGTGTTCTTAGTTATAATTGTATCAGTAAATAGGATGCGTTATCGAGTGAAAATTATTTTTAATTGTAATCTAAATTTTATCAAGAAATGTTTACTGCTGGTTAATAATCGAAACTTAGTTTTCATTTTATATTCATTAGTACTGTTATTCACACAGAAATACAATTTTCTTTCAAAGTTCTTGTTTTCTATTGATGATTACATTTAGTTTTAGTCAAAGCTAAGAAACCCCAAGGGCAGTTACATATTATTATTTCGTGTATTATGTTTGCATGTATCATTCATTTATATTTTTTATACTTTATAGTAGTTATGTGTAGATGCTTTAAGACACTTTACATATATTGTGATGGCATGATATCACACAATTATCATTTTTGTACACTTTTTATTGTAAAAGTTAGATCTGGCCTATACTTAATGTTTGCATCTCTCGAATCAATCGTCATGTATAGTATGCGTTCAGACACAGATAATTCAAATCGAGTATATGATGGCTTACCTACATTGAAACTACTATATTATAAAACTATTGCTTTTCTATCAGATATCAAGTAACAACGCCCATTCTCCTGTGATAGTTATATTATATAAATTGTGCCATATATATTGTGTGATGTTTAGTCAAAGTAAACATATTATTTTTAATATATATTATATTAAATTTGTTCTTATAGAAGTGTATAGAAGCATACCTTATCTAGATGCATTATTTTTGTATTATTACATTCTGGGATTCCTATATTACCTTGTGGAATATGGGTTCCCACTAAATAAAAACAAGATTCACTTAATTCTAGGTTTTCTTAATGTCCGTTCTATAAATACTGGATCAGATGAACTACTTGCAAGTATTAAAAAATACTCTCCCGATATCCTTGCGCTAAATGAAACCTGGACGAAGGAGGGAATGGAGAGTTTAGCTTCTAATATACCTGGATACATTTTCAAGCATTCGCCTAGGCCAAAAAATGCAAGGGGTGGTGGAGTGGAGTTTTATATTCGGAAGGGTCTACGTGTTCGTGTTATTGCTCAGCTCTCTTCTCCTTTAGAGCAAATGTGGTTAGAGCTATCCCTTCCTAAAATAGGTCGCCTAGCGATTGGAACCGCCTATAGACCGGAGTCTGTCAAAATGGGGATAGCCATGGATGCACTCAGCGAATGATTTTTCGCAACAGAGTCACCGATACATCCTCGACCATTCTCGATTTCGTTATTACGGATCCATCGGATCTGTGTAGAAAGATAAGCGTATTTCACAACCCATCGCTTCGTGACCACGCACTAATCATTTCTAAACCTAAACCCCTGTTACAATATAGAACATTTCGTCAACTAAATAAAATAAATGAGATAGATTTCGACACATCTGCGGGCGTCGTCGTGGAACAAGGTTCAATATGCAAAAAATATTAACGAAATGATGCACAGTTTCAACGAGATCTTATTACAACTTGTTAATAAACATGCGCCGTTAAAACGTATTAGGATATATGATTCCTTGGATAACCGATACGGTCAAAACCATGATGAGTATCCGTGATCGGGCCTTAGCTAGGGCTCGGAGCACTAAAAGCGACTCCCACATGCGCTTCTACAAGTACATGAAAAACACTGTAAACAGTGCTATTAACAACGAAAAGGCAGCCTTTTTCACATATTACGTTAATAATAATAAAGGTAATCCTAAAGCCATGTGGAAATACTTGAATAAATGTTCTATCAAAGGGACCTCGCCAAATCTTGATGCGTTACCTGACCATGTTGCGCGAATAAAATTAATCATTATTTTCTTCAGTTACTGACTCAACATTCTATGGACAAACGCTATTTTGACTTTTACAATGGAAATAAATATTCCTCTTCTAAATTTAAAATTTAACCCTGTACTACCAGCGAGGTCTATAAAATAACTAATCGTATTCATAAAAACGCCTCAGGCTATGATAAGACAAGTATTGATATGATTAAGATGACGCTCTCTGTCACTCTTCCAACAATCACGACACTGGTAAATCTTTCTATTGACGAAAATGTGTTTCCGGATGCCTGGAAGTTAGAAGGATCGACGAGCTATTAGCCTCCTTCCTGTTTTGTCAAAAATATTAGAAAGAATAGTTTGCAATCAACTTACGAAATACATCGAGGAGGAAAACATACTACCTGATGTACAACCGGGCTTCAGAAAAGGTTATGGAACCGCTACTGCCCTAGCGCACTCAACTGATGATATCATATCGACGAATGATGCGCAAAAGGGTAGTATATTAGTTCAGCTTGATTTTACCCGGGCATTCGATTGTTTAGACCCAGAACTACTTGTTGCCAAGTTAGCTTACTATGGCGTAGAGAGAAGCACATGTAAATGGTTTAAAGCATATCTGTCAAACCGAAAGCAATTTGTTGAACCGGAGGTGCAAGGTAGGGACGCTATTTCCGAAATACGGAGTGTGGACCGAGGATGTCCTCAAGGATCTATATTAGGTCCTCTTCTTTTTGTGATCTATACAGCAGATTTAGGGCATCTAAGCATTCATGGCAGGTTGCTTATATATGCTGACGACACGCAGTTGCATTATCCCATTGACCCTAAAGACACGAATGCAGCAGTAACTCAAATAAATGAGTACGTGGTAAAGGTCCTTACATGGGCTAATAACAACAGACTTCTTCTAAACAGCTCCAAAGCTAAATACACAGTGTTAGGTTCTAATCAGCAGTGTAAGCAAATATGGCGCTAAAATATAAATATCTGGCTGAACAACTCTCCAGTTGCCCGAGAAGATACGCCGAAAAGCTTGGGAGTACTACTCGACCCACTGTTGCGCTATGAAGATCACATAAATTCGCTTATAAGGGTTGCCTTTTTTAAGCTCAAAACTCTATATGGAATTAGGAGATACCTGTCCCAGGAGGTCAGGGTGATTGTCACAGAAGCAATAATTCTTTCACATTTTAATTACTGTGATACTGTTTATGGACCCAGGTTATTCGCCAAACAGCGTGTTCAAAATGCTTGTGCGCGTTTTTGCTTAAACGTACCGAAGAGGGCTCACATCACGCCGTTTCTCATAAAATCAAACTCACTGAAGATGAAAGATAGAAGAAATCTGCATCTAGCTGGACAGGTCTTTAAACTCGTAAAGGCTCGCAGGCCAACATCCCTTTACAAAAAACTAGAATGGCAGAAGGACTCCCATTTACTAAATACTCGCAGTAAAGATAAGCTCCAACTGAAAATCCCAAAACATAAAACGAGTGGTTTTCAGGGTTGCTTTAAGTACGCTGCGAGTAAGGTGTGGAACACTATTCCACCACCAATAAAAGAGGTCAAATCCTATTTACCTTTTTAACGAAAAGGGTATGTGGGCCTATACCTTGTTCCGCAGTTTTAATTATGTATTCTGTCAACCATAATTTAATTTTGTTTTTATTTTATTACATAGTTATATATACATGGTTAATTTTAATATTTTACACTAATTTTTTTTATTTCACCTTACGTAACTCACACACACACACTCACATTTTTAATTTGTTACAAAACTTCGGCCAGAGGGAGCAGACTGAAAAACAGCGCTGTGCGATCCCCTTGGTGCAGCATTCAGCTGAGTCTGTATCCCGACGTGCCACAAAAGTTTTAGGTTAAGAATCTAGTTTTAAGTATTTTGTGTATTTGTATTTTGTGGCATTAAATATTATTTATTTCTTTCTTTCTTTCAGATGCTACCGCGTTTGACTACATAGTGATAGGAGGGGGCACCGCCGGGGCCACGATCGCAGCTCGCCTTTCCGAACTAAGAGACTACACGATCTTACTTGTCGAGGCCGGGGGGGATCCACCCACCGAGAGCATCGTGAGTAGCCGGTCACTGCGACTTCATTTGATAACTTTAAGAAATAAACCAAACGATTAACAGATTCCAGGATTCCACGATGCGATGAAAACGAGCAGTGTCGATTGGAACTTTATTACCACAAGTGACAACTTCTCAAGTCAGGCTCTGCTTAATGGGAGTCAGCGCCAACCCCGCGGCAAGATGCTGGGCGGCAGCGGGTCCATAAACGACATGATTTACTCGAGAGGATTCCCCGCAGACTACGAGGAATGGGCTACCGTGCTCGGAGAAGATTGGAGTTGGAGCAACGTGCTCGAATACTTCAAAAAGACGGAACACCTCACAGACGAAAGGTTCGTCAATGACGCTCATCTGACGCGGCTTCACGGGTTCGGGGGCGAAATAGAGGTGGCAGGGATCTCGGAATCGCCGAGGGCCACAGACAAATTTCTCGACGCTTTTAAAGAGTTGGGTTTTAAGTTAGTGAAGGACATGACGAATCCCGACTCAATCGGCGCCGGAAGATTCTCGCACACCATTAGAGACGGGAAACGGGATAGCTCGGCCACGGCTCTGCTAAATAAAGCGAAAGACAGGGACAATTTGTACGTCTTGAAAAACGCTTTAGTCGCGAAGATCCTCATAGAACAGAAGAAGGCCTACGGGATCGCAGTTTCGATAGAGAATAAAACCTACCACTACTATGCGAAGAGGGAGGTCGTCTTATCCGCGGGAACGTTCAATTCGGCGAAACTGTTACTGCTCTCCGGGATCGGACCGAAGGAGCACCTCAGGGAAATGCATATAGACGTTGTGGCAAATCTGCCCGTCGGCTACAACCTACACGATCACGTCATGGTACTGAACTTTCTGGCGGCCGAAGAGGGAACCTGTCACTCTGAAGAAAACGAGCGCTACTTAGACATCGTCCAATATCTCTACGACAGACGAGGGTTCTTCAGAAGGACCAGTGATCTAGCGGCCTACATTTCGTATAACAGGTCGACGCCGAACGTCCCCGATTTCGCGTTATATCCTACGTGTATGGGTAAGAACAGCGGTTTCTACGATTCATGCATCAACATGTTAGGCTTCAAACCTTACATTTGCGAGAAAGTGTCCGCTGCGAATCGAGAGCACGAGATACTGGTGGTTCCCGCTGTGAATCTGAAGCCTCTATCCAGGGGTAGGGTGTTGTTGCAGTCCACGGACCCTCTGCGGCCTCCCCTGATATACTCGGGCACTTTCAGCGACGAAACCGACTTGCTGCATTACCCTGCAGCTCTTCGGACGGCGCGATCCGTGGCCGATACGGCATATTTTCGCTCTAAGAAGGCCAGAGTGATCGACCTAGATATTGAGGAATGTAAAGGCTTACGAGGCGTCGAGATGCTGAGGTGTACCGCCATATGTATGGCGACCTCCGCGTGGCACGCCGTCGGCACCGTCGCCATGGGAACGGTGTTGGATGCCAAACTGCGCGTCCGCGGGATTCGCGGTCTCAGGGTCGCCGATGCCAGTGTTATACCCAAGGTGGTTCGAGGGAATACGAACGCCCCTGTCGTGATGATAGCGGAGAAGGCAGCCGACTTCATCAAGCGGAGTCTAAGCACGTGGTAGCCGAACGACATGTTTGTTATTCCAAGATTATCTTATAATTATTATTATGTTTTACTGGGATAAAATAAAATAGCATCATTTTTGTGTAATTAGTTGAGTAAGAATGTTTTATTCCAATTCAGTGTAGCTCCCTACACTGAATTAAGTAAAGAAAGAACATGACATAGTATCCTGTAGGTACAAGGCGACCTAAAATATGTACTAATTATGGAAGAAATAAATAAATGTAGGTGTCCTCGATAGACATTACAATACACATATATACTAGATCAAGTATACTTATGTATATACTAAAATTCCATTTTAGTGTACTCGAATAGGTCTGTCTTGTCTAATTGCGCCTTTTCTTATTGTTTGTGACGAGACAGCAGTTATTTCAATAAAAAGATTTCGGATCGTCTAGCCGCGGGTCATTGAAGACCGTATTCGATTCTTCGTTCAGGCCGGTCGGAATAAGTTCAAGTTCCACTCAAATGTGCAATAGATTTTTTTTATAAGTAATCTAAAAATGATTTGTTGTTTCAACGTGACTTTCGTAATGTATTATACAAGAAACGGCAACGAATTACGATAGATATTGATTTCACCCCAGGAATGGTGCGGTGCGTAACGACACGTAACGTAATCTGATTCGGTGCAACTCTAACGTGATGCCACTGTGCCTATTCTACGCCCAATATCGCAACAGTGCATAATTCACTCTCATCAGGGTCCTAATCATTTTGCCCTCTAGATGGTGTCGCTTTTGGAACACTTTTCATAAGCGTTTCCTAGGAACAGTGCAGGACGGCGTCGAGGCTCGCGGGTGTCGCGACGGCTGCGGGCGCCGAAATTGTGGGATAGCGTTCGTCTTCATTGTTCTACAATTAGCGATACACGTTCCCTAATATAAAAATGTAACCAACAGTTCTTAATTCTTTTCTTTCGATGTTTAAGGACAGACGAGCGCGGGAGTCAGGTCATCACCTACCATCGTAGGTGAAACACCCCTGCCTGCCTGCTGATGTTGTATCATCAAATGTAAAAAGGATTCGCTGTCGACCTACTCTGGCTTTAGATATTCGGACACACAAATTGAAACCGGAAACGCGACGAACTTTTTTATTGGCTATACATAGCTACCATTACACCGACGAGCCAGTCAAATACATCTTAATAATAAAAAAAAAATCTTTATACATAAACGAATTGTGCCCACGCGCAGGTGTTCTGAATGAGGGAGGGGCCGTCTGAGACAGATTTCCGGTTGTGACCGGAAGTGCCTTTACGCGATACGACACAAGGCAAGGAGGTGAATTCAATTTGTAATCTATACTATTATATAAAGCTGAAGAGTGTGTTTGTTTGTACGCGCTAATCGCAGGAACTACTGGTTCGAATTGTTTTTTTTTGTGTTACTTAGAACATTTATCGAGGAAGGCTATAAAACATGGCGCCGTGACAAATAAGCAGCGGGAAATGTGAAAAAAAAACGGGGGAAAATTTTCATCTCTGTGGGTTTCCAATGCGTAATAATAAATAATAAACGCGTACGCTGCGAAAACGATTCAAGTTTCCCAAAAAATAAAGAATGATTCCCTTTTGAATTAAACTAGAAAATGTCCTTTCTAAACTAGAAAATCTTTGAAGATTAACCCGCAAGAACGACGGGTCGCAAGTGACGGGACGCGTCCGATGTCGATGTCGGATAACAGTTAAAATTTATGAAGATGAAGAAGTTTGCAAAAACAAATTTGGATGCCCAAATAACTATTCTACACGCACGAAGTCGCTGACACAGCTAGTGCGCTATGAGATGCAAATGTTTGGCCAGATACGAAAAAATGAAGGCATTACTTGGGAAAGACGAGAATGTGTTTGTCGATCTCCTAAAGCACGGAGATGTCGCTCTTCCGCGTCAGGGCGCTTTCACCTGCGCATGGGTCCGGCCACCGGCGGCCACCTGACCTCAACTATACTCACTTATGTAATGTGTTTTCAGGTGACGACACGAAAGTGTAAAAGGGCCGTCACAATTAACAATCGACAATGCGCAGCGTTTCGTAATAGTGAACAACACTTTCAAAATAATGATTCGGTTGCAATTCGTACTTACATTTTAATCTTACTATTTTATCGATATTTTAGTTTCGACTGTCATTTGCTATTTCGTTCCGACGTCTATACGGCAATATAAATAAATGAATCGATTATCGTTAACGTTTTCTAATCCGGAAACGGGGAATACATCGATGTCGGTAAGTCGCGAGCGAAGGAAAACAAACCGCGATGCGGCGATACTTTCACCTGTGCGCGAGTTGTTCCGTCGTCCGCGCGACCGTCTGACGTGTGGCACGATGCCCGCGAGCCGATCATGAGCGACGAAGCCTCCACGGAGAACGTCACTCTCGTGACGGGGAACTTCCCCACCGTGTCCAGCCTCAAGTCGGAGGACTCCACGGAGCAGCTGATCTGCAAGACCCCGCAGAAGAGCGAGAAGAGAAAGAGCGTCAGCTCTAAGAGTGTGGAGGCCGGTAGCGATGAAGGCCTCGCCGCGAGACGATCGGTCGTGCTGTTGGGGTTGACGCAAGTGGTGCTCGGCGTGCTGCTGGTGGGTGGCGGTGCCCTAGCCGTGGTCAAAGGTGCCGCGCTGTCGAGGGTCGGCGCCGGCCTATGGGCCGGGTGCGTCGCGGTTGTGGCTGGCGTGGTCGGTATCGTCGCCGGGATCAACGACTGTTACGGTTTCGACGGCGCCACGTCGAGGTTTGTTAGCTAGTTACTCAAACTTCTTAATTGCGAGGATGTAGTAGTACGGTAGCCCACCTTTGAGTGCAAGTGTTTAATGAACGCTATTCGTTTGTTCTCGAAAAGTCGTGAAGAAGTGGTGGCAATGGTCAGGCCCACTGTTTGTGTCTGTGTGCATCGTGCATTAGCAAGATAAGTGTTAGTGAGCTATATTAAAGAAAGAGTTAGAAATTTATTTTTATTTTAACTGCGAAGCTCATTTTAACTAAGTGGAAGAATAAATTTCTACATTATATTTAGTCCGCTATCTCACGAGAGTAGCAACAAGTGGTTAATAGTAAAACGCAACGAAGCATGGCATACTACGGCGCGTGCGCAGCGCTGAGATGAATAGTGCAACTACTAACTACTTTATGCACATACTCTTCATAAATGGGCTAACAAGGAAACGTGATTTTAAATATTCTTTCGTAAATCGTGGTCTTTAGCGATCTAGTCTTAATCTTATCCTAACATTTACGCATATTGACAAAATATTATAATATACATCAAAACTTTGGCCGACAGTTGTGATAGTGATTTCGAGTAAATCGCGCCAACGCAAGTGCAGCACACAGGTGCACACGGGCACACCGTGTTGCCGCTCGAGTGTGAACAGTTTTTATGGCGAGCAACGGTTCTTGCGACGATTGTTAACTTGAATTTAACAGTTTCCACACACATACAGACGAATGAATATTTCGCGCAAACCAATTCTGATGTAATGGCAATCAATTTATAATATTGTTGCAGGGCATCCAAAACGTAGGTCGTTTTTAAAAATACGTTTTACGTTTTAAACCGTTAAAGTGTTAGAACAATACTATATTTTTATTACAACATATCTCATGAGTGGTATTTACGTTCCTATTTTATAACTTTGGTGGCCAATAAACGTGTAATTAACTCGATAGCGCTACATCGAGTTATTCTGAGAAGATTCTAACTCGTAGATAACCTTTTAAATCACGATTAGGTGACACACGAGGTCCACGCTATATCCTAGTATTACCTTCGTCAAAGATGTACTTATCAACATCTACAAAGCGGACTCGGCACATCTGGAGACCCAATAGAATTCGGACACGACGTTAAAGCACGTATCAATAACTAGTTGTTGAGTTGAGTTGAATAATAAAGTCTGGAGTTATTCGGTCGTCGTTTCTTTCTTCAGAGCATCCGTCTTCGCAAAGGTCAGCAGCACGAGCGAAATGATGAAGTATTATGTAAAAGTAGCAGGCACTATGGACATATAGGAGCCGTCTATCGCTTTCACCGTTTTCTCTACGACACATTCGTCGAGCTGAAGATCCAATCTCTGCCATTTTCAGTCTTATTCCCTGTATGTCTCAGTCGATTTTCAATCGGTAGACATTTATAATAGTTTATGGAGACGTTGCTAATAAAGTTATAATTAAAGTAAATAACACGCTTATAAGCGATCGGTATCGATACTTTCTAAGATATAGGAGCATGTCGCAAAAAACCTTCTATTCTGTCACGTGTTCTACCTTGTGTTAAAAGAAGGAAGAAGTCAATTTCCGTCGCAGAGCGAAATATTTAGTTCTAAGTGAGACGAAGCGATTTTTGTTGTACTGAATATTTATTCCTGTAAGCAGCGGCCTCTTGACGGCGTTCCTGGCGTTGTCGCTGCTCTGCCTGGCGTGCGGCAACAGCGCCGCGGTGTTGGCTGCCACCGGGCTGCAGCGGGACGCCACGCGAGACCCTTCACCGCTAAACACGTTCCAAGTGAGTCTTTAGCAGTGTGTTTCGATTTTCATTTCTGTCACAATTTCTACCGACATAACTAGCGTGTTTACGCTGCTAAGAAATAAACAAACAAATATTACAGCGGCTATAATCATTTTTGATAACTTACAATTTAAGAGTGAATCCATCAAATTATCAGTGTACTACACCACTATTAGGGATTTACGTTTAAAATGACGTATAATGCTATTCATAGTTTAAGGTACGGCACGGTACAACACGACGGTCATTTCTTAACTGTAATACGCATTATCTTATTGCGAAGAGTAACGTCAAGGGGCCTGAGAACTTGTGGAACTTAAACATTTTCAACCGAAACATCTTGAACTTTTTAATGAGGCAGTCGTTTTCGCAGGATGAGATGCAGGCCTGGACGCCCGTGTTGACCAACATCGGCCTTCTGATAGTCGCGTCGATCCACTGTCTCGTGTGCATCATATCTATCTACCAGCTGTCGAGGAGAGTGTGCTCCTGTTTCCGCCCGAAGCAGCCGTTCGATCACAACCAGTTTGAACCTGGGAAAAAGGTTCCGTGTGTCTTCCACGTAGACGAGATCCGAAAGGCGCAAGAGGCGGAGAGGCTGCGCGGACATCAGTTCTGCAAGGAGTTGGAGGCGAAGTTGCAGAGTGAGACGCTTAACGTGAAGAAGGTTCGGTTCGCTTTATTTTTTTTTCATAAAGACGTCATTTAGGCTTGGCACAAACTGTTTTATAAAGCCTATTTGTGTCTTTCTGTTGAAAGAGTAGATTATTGATGATGATGAATTCATGCTTTTATCAAAACTATACTATTCCCGAAATGCATACATTATATTTCAATGGTTAGATTAAATATATAATACTACAGGAGGACGGCAAGGAGTTCGGCAGCGCAACCAGCAAGGAGTATTTGGTGAGCCGATGGCTCGGCCGCCACGGCAGCACAGTGCCACGGCCCCGGCGGCCCTCGGCCGGAATACGCAAGAACAGGAAACCTCCTGCTGCACCCTTGGTTTTACTTCCGGCGCACCCCGCTTCTACGGTAAGTCTTCTCACCTTAAGGGTTCTCGATTCATTTTCGAGACTCAATGCCTGGGATGTGTATAATGTTCAGGCAGGGCTTTAACAAATATAAATCTTATTCTGTTAATTAAAACGACGCACTCGCGCGCTGCGGAACCGCGGGTGCGTCGCAACAGGAAGAGCTGCGCGTGCGCACGCCGCACTTTTTGCCCGTTCCGCTCTCGTTGCTCCGGATTATTGACGTGATTTCTGATTAACCGTGCCTAGTTATTGTGATATTTGCTTCTGTGTTACTGTGTTTGTGGTTTTTCGGAGAAAGTGTCCCTTGTACGCCTCGCTTATGTATCGGAGCCACACGAGCTCGTTCATCGCGCCCATCCTTGACATACAAACCGAATTCCATTGTACTCTAACCACGTTACATCGTAAACGTTGCTTTTTTTCTCTCTTTTCTGACCGTGATCTTGATTCTTTGCCGTGAATATTTTGACACTATTAGTATTCGTGCCCGGATGAGCCTTCGAATGCGTGTCATTATAAAACAGTATTATTTATTTGTTTCAATAGAGTAACATGTAACGTAACAAGTGCCCGGCTAAAAATCGTTACCAAATGAATTAGACGATAAAATTCCAATTTTCACGGCGCGTCGCTTGTGTAACCATTCACCGGGTTGATACATTTTATATTTTTTAAATGTATAGCAAGTAGTAGTTGTTAATTTATATGTCGGTCATCAAACTGGAGAGCGCGTTGAAGTCTCTGTACGATAAAGTAACAAAGGTTTTAATTTAAATTTCTGCTCGACAAACAAACCTTAAAGTTTATGAATTTAGTGTCGTAAACCAACTTTGCCGAACGTAATAAAATAGCAGGGGTCATAATATCGCACTCTTTGGGAAAGCTCCGTTGAGCAGCGCGGGCGCATCAAATGATTTAAGTCGATTTATTATCATCGATTTTTTTGTAATGGAGAATTAATTTTTAGCAAGCTTAGTTAATTTAAAATGTTTTAAATTAGGCTTTTAATATGTTAAATTTCTTCTCCGCTCCAGTTAGTGGTAATAATAAGTAGTTCTCATTGGGGCAAACGAAAATCAACTTTACAGTGACAAAATAAGTGTAATTTTAAGAACTGTACGCTATAAAAAAGCGAGACGTGAAAGAAAATGGAAAACTTTCTTGTAGACATAATACATTAATATTTGAATGTTTCTCTCAAACAATTAGTGCAACGCTAGATTGCCTTTCTTTAAATTTGTGGAATTAAAAGACAAACCTTCAATTATAACTGTACGAAGTGTACAGTGTTCGACGTACGGCTTGGACGCTACGGCGCACAATATTCTACGGCTATTAAGATAGTTGAACTCGCCATAAGTAGTAGAATGAATAAATTTATGAATGTTATAGTTTGCGACGTCAGTCTAGAAAGGTCGCTCAGGCTAGAAATCGGATTTCTGCGACTTTCTTAGGTTTTCTCGGGATTCGAGATAATTAGCCCCACACGACGCTCCACTTCCACATATGGAAGCGGACGAGAAGTCGCGCTTTTTACTCTTTATCGACTCGGAAAAAAGCTCTGCGACGACGAGTATCGGTGGTAGTCCAGAGATTCAAGAAAAACAAAATGTCAGCGAGACATCATTGTGACGAATTCTAGACGTTTGAGATAAAGAACCGACGACAGCCAATCCAATAGAAACAACATAAACAATGGGAGTGCAAAGACCTCGCTCGCGGCTGGGAAAGTTCGATTGCGTACGCCGAACGACTAATTAATTGATTATCACACATTTTTGCGGTCGATTAGTGAAATATGGTGAAGTAAATTCGTGCGACTCTTATCGAGAGGGGACGAACGACTCTAACGAGCGTTTCGACATTGTTTTGTCCTAGAATATGCGTAACGCGCGACGCGGCGAACGCAGCTCACGCTCTAAGAGCAAAACAAAGGAGATTAACGGTAAGCGCCGAGATCGTTTCCCAGTGTGCACGGGAGCGTAGCACGCAGTCGGGAGAAGGTGGGTCGGCGAAATTCCGAAGCCGACCGTGGGACCCGCGACGCACTTACGCAAGTGTTTTGACAGACGACCTTACGGATCGATCGCTCACCCGTACGTGCGTGCTCGTGCATAGGGCAAGGCGACGTACGAAAATTGCCTAACGCGCGATTTGTTGTGGTTTATTAAGAACGTATTGCAATACAGAGTCCGCTCATAATACTCGGACCATTTATGACGGAGCGGCGAGGAACGGGTCAGATAAGTCACAGCGCCGTGGGACACCGCTTTCTGTTTCTACGAGCGAGAGTGGCCCGACCACCTGACTACGTCGCCACGACCCACCGCACGCTCATCGCGGCATCGCAACACTTTGAGATGCGTTACAATTATAATGTTCGACATTTGCACCCAATTGGGTGTTATTACTCGTTATACAAATACGCGATAAGCGTAAAAACTTTCAGTAAAGATTGAACTTTTGTCACCAAAGAACTAGGTGCGGTCGGTACGTTACAGTTCGGAATATTTCTCACAGACTTTAGTAATGATCATTGCAGTTTGTGTCTTTCGCCGTCTGAGCGACTGAGCAATGAATGTGGTCGTGTTCACCGCTTGCACAAACCGCTAATGGCGAAACTTCACTTATTTTGCGTCTTGCGTATGTCGTGCATAAAAATCAATCTAGAACTGCTTAAGCATTTTCTCCTCGCTGTCCTTTCTCGTATTTCTCTTTTCATAGCTGAGTCCTCACAGTCGCAGCGGAATAACTGCGGAGCCCCTAAAGACTTCACTTCTTAAAGCGTAGTGCGTCTAGAACGCCCTAGATCCGCAGGTGAAAGGGACGGCCCTCGCCGAACGCCGAGAGGTACTGACTACTGACGGACACGCACAAATACGATTTCGCCCTATATAACAATAAAATGTCTGCTGATTTATCAACGAGATGTTTTCAAATTCGATTTATAATAGGCCAATCTCGATCGGGGCGACCCGAGCCAGTATAATGAAATATAGAGAACTTTTACTCGTGGCTTTTTACAAGTTTTTTTAGTTTACAAGTAACGAGTCATGTACGCGCGATGTGACTAAAGAGCATTAGGTGATTTTATTATTTTTATTTTATCTTAATTTAGAATTTATAACTTTTTCTGAAACATGTTGGCCCTCGTCTGGAAATCTGGTGTCACAAATCTGTCGATCTTACATCGTTTAAATGAATCAGCAGAACAATTTTTCAGGTTATATATCATCAGAGGAGCAAGATATTGGTCCTAGATAGGTTCAAATAGATAGATTGTGCAATCAAACGCATCACCAAACTGACATTGGGATTCGGCTTGAAGCGAAATTGCGACACTCGAATGACACTCGTGTACGAACAAAGTTACACATTAGATGGAATACCGTGCGAGCTGTGGCTTTGCTGAGCTAATAATTAACACAATCGAAGCCCTCACGAGCGGCGGTTCGATCTCCAGTCGTGAACAAAAAATAGCACTCGTTCTCGATTGAAATAGCGGTGAACTTTTGGCTCAACGAACCGAAGGGCCAATACCGCAATCGACATGGACCACGTTATTAGTTTGGTGCTCAATTTTGATATGAAGCGGAGAACGGCGACCTTTCGACGTGTTTGTACCGGATCGGACAGCATTTAGGGCAATTCCGAAATTCGCTACAAGAATGCAATCTTACTAAACCGCGTATCGCGTTCAAGTCGAGGTGCGCCCGGCACCTTTTGGGAATTGCAGCAAAGCAAATCGTTATATCTATAAAAAATAAAGCATAAGTATTTGTTAACTTAAAATACATGATTAGGTGTTTATTATTATTGTACTTATACTTTCTGTTAAGCAAAGTAGGATAATATAAAAAACGTAAAAGAAGTTACAGGATGCAAGATATAATTTTTAAAACACAAGTTTTTCAGCGCCACCTAGCGGAACCCAAAGACCAAAACGGCGTAAGTGCGTTCTCAGCGTATCCGAGAGCGAGAAAAGTGAAAGCTTTCGCTGTGTTGCGTCATTTATATGTTAATTTGCATCATTTTAGATAATTTGCGACTTACGACCATCTCAACCGTCAAAGTTACACTAAACTTTCAGTATTTCTTTAACAGTTGTGTAACATTTGACGGTTTAAAACGCGAAATTTATCGTTTAAGAGTATATGTAGTTCTTTTAATAATATAAATATATCCTAGTACTTTTTATTTACAGATTTTATGTCTGTTTGCTGTATGTTTTAGCACGACATCAATAATATAAACGCCACTCACGTCCGGGCGTCGAACAGACGACCTTCTGCCGATCAAGCTACCTGCCAAGTGGGACACACGATCGCAATTGCATACACACTTAACTAGATTTCCTTTAGAATAGCAATTTCGATTTCTGTCTTAAACTAGTTTAACCCGAGAGTTCTCGGCTTTAAAGGTTAACCTTCGAGAAAAGCTTTAGAACCAGAAGAACACGCCACGGAGACGCAGTTGGTCAATTGGTCCCCGCTCGACTTCCGCAATAGCCAGCAGCCGCAGCGGCACGTCCATCGCTGCATCACTTTTTTTGCTTTTTCTAAAAGAATATATAACGCTGCAAAAAAATTATAATACGCGGGTAGCAGGAATATCGGAATTTCGTTAGATTACGAACCGGCGTCCGTTAGACCGAACGGCCGTAAAGAGTAATCACATTTCGGTTAAGGCCAAAGCCAAAGTACGTCGATAGCGCATCACATCTCGGTGTCAAACGGCTGGCTCATGTCACCGAGGCTTTTCTATCCTTCTCTTTCATAAACACCATATGTCACATATATTGGGCCGACCTTCTAACTAAACTAAACGAAGGCGTTCATAAGAGAGTTCCGTACGGCTGCTCTCACCATCTACATTTTTTGTCACTATTTTAGGGTTCCGTAACCAAAGGATAGAAAGAAGCCATACATACGAAGACTCGCCGTCTGCCACCAGTCTATCGCTGCCATAACAAGAAATACTCAAAACAAAATAAAATAAATACATAAATCAATAGTAAGCGCTCTTATGCGATGAACGCGATTGTTTGCCTTTTTATATCAATTTTACGATTAAAGAAATAAGTAAGCATTAAGAAGAATAAGTCGACGTATATATGTTAACTTAATGTTAAGTTGATACATAACAAGGGGTACAAAATGTGAAATTGACGTATCCAATCCAAGTTACGGAACCTTTCGCGCAATCCCAAGTGTGTTTTATACCTAAATCAAAGAATTAATTTTATTGTTAAATTCAAAGTCACGATTGGATCGTTCACGCGAATAACTCTCGCAATTCACAGGTTGTTAGGAAATCGTTTGGATCGCAAGTTCAGTTGCACCTTCGAACGCGCGGGGCGTCAAGTGCGGCAACAGGTTTACGACGAATGCCGAATCGGGACAAGGACTCGTGCGCAGCGCGAGCCGTTCATTTCGAGAGGGGATTCTAAGGGGGAGGGATTCTAAATCATCCAGCGAGGCTTTTGAAACGCGACTCTTTACACGATTCAACAAATAACTCTGTAATATTCGTATTGCTAGTTCGCATTATGTCCTCTCAGCCTTTGAGCGTCGAGCGGCAATTATCTTGAGGTGAACGGCATTCCTAGCAACCTGTCATTGTAGTCAGCGCTTAGATCGACAGATAAATATCGTTACTCAAAAACGTTGTTATTTTAGGCTTGAATCACATTGCTTTTATTGTAAATAATAGAAAAATGACTTGCCTAATACAAGGGAAGATTGCTAGAACAAGTGAAAGTAGGCATAGTCGAGGGCTCACACTGGCGTGGACTCAAAATATAAATATAGATATTGAAGGAGTCGTTTAAGCGCGAACTAGTCAGAAATCAAGGAAGTATTGTTGCCAGCATCTCGCGCGTGACTCGCCGACTGACAAGTCACTCACACCTCTTTTAGGAATGCAATAAGCTAGGCGACATGTTATTCATTCTTTGTTAATGTTGGTTTTGTTACGGATAAACGACAGTAAGACCCAAGAACTAAATTATTTATAGATTAAATTAACTATTTAATATTTAAAGATATTAACTATTATCAAATATTTTTTTTTCATCGAAATTGCCCTGTGTACCTAATGTTTGTTTAAGTTATTATCACTGCAAGGTATAATTAATATCGCTACTATTCGTGGTCCTGTTTCAGCTGGGTCGCATGCCAATAAGCGTGGTGGTACCGCCCAGGCCCTACGCTACGCTACCGCTTCCGCCGGCGCCCTACGCGCCGCCCGCCCAGATCTACTATCCCATACACGACACGGTAAAGTTTTACACGCTAATTTGTTATTTAGGATTTTTTAATTGAGAGCTTAATTTCGAGATGTTTGTTTTTCCAGCGGCTCCGCCGTCGTCGGTCTCCCCGCGAGGCGCGCCACGAACGGCGGCGCCGAGAAACGAGACAGAGAGACTCTCTCACTCGGTCACTCGAGCGCATACACCGCAAGAGACGAGCGGACCGCGATCGCCTCAGCGACGCCGATCTCAAGCGGACGTACACGGGTCTCGACAGGTGAGGTCCTTACCTGCGATAGCCAGTGAGCACGATTCGAATGTCATTTCCAAAGCGCTTATCGAATTACCGACATTGACAGAGCGTACGCGGAGCAGTTCATAGCCGTCTGTGACAGCAGCCGGCATGCAGCCGAGCAGCACGACTCTCTCGCCACCACGGCCACTAGCGGCACCGGTGACTCTTCGGATACACAGAACTCGAGCTAGATCATAGGATGGCGCGTGAATTTAAGTTCTGCCGATCGAAGATTGTATACTTCACATCCATTTACGGATTATAGTCGTACTCTTGTAAGTAGGTTATTTTCCATAGATTTAGGAATAAGAAGTATAGTCTGCATTATTTATTTTGCGTATAGGGTTAGGATTTGTAACAAATACTCATTAATTAGTTAGTATCGTGTACGTTTGATAAAATTAGCAAAATTATTTTTAATCTTGACTGTGTATATGTACTCATTATCTTTCCTGTCTTTGATTTTATCATTGCTAATGCTTAATTTGGCGCACGACACAAGCTATGTTTAATTGGCAACGAAATGCAATGGAAACGGTTAGTTATTGTAAGATTTTTAAAATATACTTATACTAACTGAGCGCCGTTAAACAAAATAAAATTATAAACGTCAAACTTCTGCCTGAAAAATATATGTTTAGCTATAAGCATGTATATAGAGAATATATTAAAACAGTATAATTTAGTTAAATAATCGCCCAACAGATGGCGCAAATTGTATGCTTTAACTTTAATATTGGAATTGTAAAACTAAGACCACTATACTAACAGACATATTTACATCTAACAAAAAGTGAAGGAGATCGCTTTAAGCTCGTCGCTTATAAACTATACCACTAACACCCACTCGTCGCTAACTCCCACCTTACGAATAGAGAAAATGTATACTTGTATATCGTCAAATATCTGTGTTAATTCGTAATCTTAAGTCGAAAATTATTTAGTCTTATGTTTAAAGTGATTTTTTTATTTTGTATAATATTACTTTATCACCTTAATGGTTGTTGATAGATCTAAGAATTTAGGTGTAAGATACTAAATAGATTTGCATCCATTTATTTCAAAGTGCCTTTAAATGTGAGAAAAGACAAAAAATCTGTTAGTAAATCACTGTTTGTTGGTGCGATATATGAGATTTTAATAATATTGGAATTTAAAACAACAATTATAATAAGAAAAGATTAAAGATCGACGACGCAGTCCTAAATATTGTGCATAGTTTATTGCGCGTACGGTCGCGTGGTCAACATGTAAATATGAAACGAATTAGCTTAAAAAAAATCAAGGAATCCACATTTTACGTATTAAACCTAATGTTACGTTGACTGAATGTTTTTTAATGCATTTATAAAGTACACATACATACATAAACGCATCCTGTATCGACCATACAAAATCCCCTTTTTATCCTTAAGAAAATTTGAACTTTACTTTCATTAAATTAAAGAAAAAGTTCTCAAACTAAATGGCGTAGAACAAAATGAGAACTGGCCACAACACACCTAAACATAATGGAAAACTTACGAAATAGTAATGGAAAGCTTTATTCCGATTTTTGTGAATATGTAATTTTAAACGCCCTTCTCAACCGTTCTCGTCGATTAGTCGATTACTATGATTATTACAATTAGACTAAACCTGAGACATGATATTGAAATAACGATTACAGGCTAGTATATTTATACTAGCCTGTAATCGTTATTTCTGTTAGCTGCACACTACCTCGAGCCTCATACGCGAGCTCTCCACTAGAAACCGTCCTACTCGTACGAAATTAGAACTCGTCGTCGCTCAGCGCAGAGTTGCGACCCAGTTTGGGGCTGGACAGCCTCAACTCGCTCTCTGAAGAACTGCCGAGGGAGTCGCCTCCCGGCGCGTCGACACCTAAAAAATGAAATACAATTCAAGTGTCCTTATACCGTGATCGATCGTCATAAACCGTTGCAAAATATTCAAAACTTAATTCGAACTAAACTCGTGCGTTACGCGAAAAGAGAGTCTCACTTGCCTCGTATGAGATCTGCGTAGTGTTCGTCGGCCGCTGCCAGCGTGCGCGTCGCGGGGCGTCTCGACCAGCGCGCTGCGCGACCGTCGCCACCTGCGCGGTTACAAATGAGGCTTTGTTATACATACACACACAACTTCCGACGTTATCGTTGCGGTCCGTCGCGAGCGCCGAGGAGGAAAGCCTCACCGAAGAGTTGGGCGTCGGAGAGGTCCGGCTCCGAGTCGGAGTGCGAGTCGTCCTCGTCGCGGATGTCGAGCGAGTCCCGCGAAGCGGCTCCGCCCGCCAACCATGCGCCCGCACCTCTCACCTCCGAGCCGCCGGTGCCTACAACGGCGGAAACCACTGAGATACTCTTGGTCGGTATGTACAAAATATGTTAAAAATATGATTACTAGTTATGGAGTGCAATAGCCGCATATTATCGCCGTAGCGTTTTAGGCAACCCTTCGTTAAAAACAACATAAATAAGATATATATCAAGGGAACGTGCAGGTCGCACGAAGCTTAAGAATAAAATAATAATAAGTTATATTGTAAACACAGTTAAGTAAGATGTATTAAGTTTGTGTAGCGAAAATTGTCAAAAAAATTAGACTTCTGTACAAAGAAGATGACAAACGATGACAAAAAGGAAGAGAGATTACCCGCAGTCTTGATTCGCAACCTGGTGCGCGGTCTGGTGGCGGGCCGAGGCCGCTTTCTCTCTTCGCCGCTTGACTCCAAGTCATCTGCAAAATCATTTCTGACGTACAAACTAATCACGTACCGGACAGGACCGACTCGAAGAATCGTGACCGACTCACCAGAATCGCTGAGTTTGCCGAGGACATCCTCGGTTTCATACTTCTGGATCAGCTGCATGATGGAAGCTTGTTGCTCCTCGGCCGCCTTCGAACGAGAGAAAGAGCTTTGGATATGAAATATTATCCGTTGCAACCTATAATTCACAGGCTGAGTTCAAATCGTCAAAGTCGCGAATACGAAAGGATGATACGAACTCAGACCCACCTAATTTTCCAATTACAGTAAGTTTAAAAGAAGCTGGCAACAAATCTAAACATTGTGTAACGAACTAGTTACCTCGTTCTGAGCAGTTTCTAACAGGCTGAGCTGATGCTTAAGTGCCTCCACACAGCGGTACCGCAACACGTATTGATCCCACAACTCTTCGATCTCGCCCTCCAAGGCTGACAGTTCAGCTTGGTATGCGGGTCTGAAGTCAAAATTGTATTTGTGAGAATAAAGGCATGTACGGTATTCTTAAAATAGCCCTATAATGCCTTATATACTTATGTGTCGTGGCCATCTTTTTTAGTTTCGTTCTTTAACATTGCAAGCAGTTTTGTACACCGTAGTTTAGATCGCGAAACTGATATATCCAGGATGTGGTACTGAAAACCTCCATAGCCATGTAAACAGAAGTTCTACTTTTGTACCTACTCGATCGTTCAAAATCATGATATTATCGGTTTTTTGGTAAGGGCTAACTTATAGTATAATATAGTCTTCGGAAGTTCTTACTCCCATCGGAGGCAAGACCAGATCTGGCCACTTACTTGATCTTCTGTACCGTGTGCAGTCGTTTTTCAGCCCTCTGCAGCTCTGCTCGGCGTCGTTCTAACTTGGCATCTAACGCGGCTTCACTGGCCGCAACGTTGTCGATCTGTTCCCGCGTTTCAGACACCTGAGCTGCCACCGCGGATACAGCCCGACGTAAAGCAGCCTCTGATGAAGATGTGTCCAGGGGACGAGAGAGAGCGCGTTCGCGAGTTTCCTGAAGCAGGAGACGAATGTTTCAAGTTTAAGTTAGACAGCTCTTTGACTAAGTACTTTGTGTAACAGACACACGTTGTGACCACAGAAAGCCTTTTAATATATTGCATTACGGGTCACGCTTGCAGAAGAGCGTGCTTACCTTATTTTCAGGCTCCTTGGCCAATAGATCGTATAAAAAAGCACCTTGGGCCGTTATATCTGTTGCCAAAGCACGAGCTTGTTTTATTTGACCAATCTGAAACCATCCAAATACAAATAAAAATGACTCATTCATTTGACACAATGAACAGGGTTGGCATAAACTAAGAGAGGTATTAGGAGTTTAACAAAAACAATGAACCATAACTAACTAACTAACATAAGTCACATAAATGTAATTAATAAATTAAACTATGATTTCATTTTTGATATGAAATTGAGCTGTTTATTATTATCTTACCCTATTGCTAATGTCGTATATCAGTGGCGTATGGTCCTGAGGATCTGATGGAGAGGTTTCTAGCGCAGTTCTTAGCAGAGCGGCCACTTTAAGCAATTCCTTAACAGCCCATCCGTCTGCGCCGTATAACTTCTTCCCGTTCAACTTTAAGTTGGCTCGCGTGTGCTGCAATGAGAAAGGTATCTCTAGATATTTTTTTTATGCTAATTATCCCAGAAATTTTGTAAAATCGGGCCAGCATTCTTTTTTCATACTCAACACACTGATGTCAAAAAATAATGCTATATAAAATGTATTTATTAGCTACCACACTGTCACTGACACCTATTCCATCTATTTCCAATAGATGAATATTAAATGTACATACAAACAGCTCTAAAGCATGCGTGATCATAGCAACGCGTTGTTCCACAGTTTCCTTTCCTCCAGCCAAAACAGCATCAGGCTCCACTCTAGCCGCCATCCACCGAAGACAACTCTCCAGAAGATTCCAGTTGGGAGACCGAAAGCTTTCTAAAGATATCGGCTGTGGAAAGCCCAACGCTCGCATGTCTTCGCTGAAATCTAACAGGAAACTTGTACACATAAACACTATTTATATTAAACACTGTCTATAGTTTACGCGAGTAGTACACATTTTAATAAAACACTTTAACGGTATATTAGTTAAACTTATTTGAAAATGATTTTTCTAGTCTCCCTGTGACCACGGCTGCTGCAAAGCTTCCGAAACGTCGGGCCGAAGTTAAAAATCATTTTCAAATAAGTTTAACTAATATATCGCGTTTTAAACGGTTAAAGTGTTCTATAACTATTTTTAATACGCTTGATAAAATTAAATTAAAGGATAATACTTACTTCTGAAATCTCTATACGACATTTTCGATCGTAATAATAACCTATTTTTGCTCTTCGATAACCGCTTTTTGTAAATGAGTGTCAATATTGTTGCTATGGAAACGAATGTTTACCACAGAATATAAAGTAAGTATTATGGCGCCTGTAAAAGTAAGTATCCAGGCCAGATTCAAAATCATTATAGTAACCTGGTCCTCACAACAGTCACTAATATAATAAACTAAATAATATTATTTAATAATGAATTTAAACAAGGGATGCATTACTTCTATATTTTTATTTTCATACTTTTGGGATAATACACAGTTCTATAGTTTGACTAAATTGAGCATACTTAATTTTCTGTAGGGCAGAATAATAATTATTTCTTTGATGAGACTTTTAAATTATCTAATCACAGGTTCTGCCTATACATAAAAATTAACAAGATGTAAATATCCATCTTACAAGAAAAATATGGATATTTGAACATCCCATTGGTATGCCCAATTTAGTGAAAGAATCATAAATCGACAACAGTAGGTGGTCGTTTCAAAGCTCGCTTGTAAGCTTCCTCTCGTTTCATGCTCACGCGCAGCCGCGCCGATTTTAAGTGCCTAGAATCAAAAATTTGACACAATGTATGACGGTCTTTACTACTTAGTGCTAATACTAAAACCAAAATATAATAGTATTTATTTCTATGATGATTAACAGCAGTGTTGATACAATAAACATTGTAACCCAAGCAGTATACTCATTAGGTTACACTGTGTAAGTGTACACCAGTGATTTACTTTACTTGGACATAATTATAATGTTTAAGTGAGGAAGCATATTATATTTGTATTATTTAACACAAAAATTGAAAGTAGATAATTGAGATTGAAAATAGTACGTACCTTTGTCTAATCCTCTCTTCAGTCTCAGGGTCTGGTTTACTTTCAGTAAAAGTTGCATTACGAATCATAACACGAAGCTTTCTCAGACAATCTGCTAAATTAAGTTGTTGCGAGCGAGTGGTGTCAGAGCGTATAATTAGATAGCCCTCTTTTGTTAACTTTTTACCATGCTGTAATAAGATAAGGTTTTGAATAATTCCTCAATTTACTTTAATTTAGTGGAATCATATGAAACAAAAAGCTTACTATTTCTAACATTTTCTGCTTAATATCTGTGGGAATCCAGTCAGCTTCATCCAATTTGAACCTGAGGTCCACTTTTGTGTGCACCTGTTATTAGGACACAGTAACTAAAAGTTCTCAGTTTGAATTTAAAAATATTTTATATTTAATATTTATTTTGAAGTTATATACAAATTTAGCCAACCATTAAGGTTAAGCAACAGTTGCAATTAAACTCACTTTATTGACGTTTTGACCTCCAGGTCCAGAGCTAGCACTGTAATGAATATCAACCTTGTTGAGTGGTATGTGACCTGTGAATTTCTCATCTGGATTAGGAGTCTACAATAAAGAATAAGGAGGTAAATAATGGTAAGTTTAAACGTGTTACATTATATTTATTATAACTACGCTTACAAAAGCTGGAGTTGCGAGCTTCAAGGAACTATTGGGATACAAAGTGTCTAGGGAAATCGCACTTTTATAAGTCATAGATTTCTGTAGTAATATCGAATATTTTGCTTGTTTCGATCCACTTTGCATGACCCGCCGCAAAAGCGGTATTCCGAGAGGCATGAATGCCATTTTTACACAACCTTTTTGTTTCTTATTTTACAATATCGATTTACTGTAACACAAAAACTACTACAATAACATAACCTAAAAAACTGTCATTTGTAAATGATGCAGATTGCAGATGACATTGACAATTTACTGTAGTAAATTGCCAATGTCATCTTAATCATATTACTTAGTCTGTGGTATTTGCTATAGAGTACGATGTATAAAAGTCAGCTGTCACAACTTTGACGACGAATTTGGCGCGTTTAAGCGAGGCATACAGCCATACACCCATGACAGGCACACATGATATATTATTTTAATTTTAGTTTAAAGCAAAGAATATACTACAGAGCTGGGCTTTAAGTATCGATCAATAAAAGGAATAAAGTATTCTTTGGTTTGAAGCAATTTATTTATGGTAAATATAATATCGGTATATACATGTTCAATAATTAATTTTTTCAAACCGTAGTTAATACTTAATACTGAAACAATGTTTTTTCATGTTCAGTTTCCACGGTCCTCTGCTTTTCAAAGCAAATTTTAAGATGCAGTTAGAAGCTAGAAGAATAAAAAATAATCGTTCTGAGCTTAGGCTGCAGTGAGAATGTCTAAAGACAGAAAAATACCAACTGGATATCGCACGAAACAATGTTTGTCCGTTAATGCAATAAAATGTCAGTTTAATAGTGCTTTTTAGCGAGCACAATAACAAATGTCACGCTCTGAAAAACTTAATTAGGCTCCCGTTCCGGCTGGCGCTTTCCCCGTTTCTTCAATACTTTATCAGATTTAAGTCGGTATACGACGGTGACCGTTATTTATATTTCAGGGAGAAATATTATTATTTATAATTTCCATTCCGAATTTCTCCAGTCGTTAGTCATTAGGCTACCTGTAAAAGTTCAGAGCACTCTACGTCGATAATCCTAAAAGTATGTTTACGTTCACATGAGGACATTTTCAGACTTAACTGTTAATAAGATATATATAATTGAATTCCTAAATAGTATAATAAAATGCAGATCACTATGAGGAGTATGAGGTATGAGTAACGGGAGACAGCAGCTATTAATTATATTCATATGAATTCTTATTATAATTATATTCAACAGTTATTTCAAGATGTTGCACTTTCTTAAATTTAATTAATCGGAAATTTTAACTAACGTTATTTATACTGTAAAGTGTATGTATATTAAGTATTTCTTGTGTTCTAAAATATTTAAGATGAGGAAGGTATACATTGGATATTATGTAAAATAATGCGTTCAAAGGAACGCTCGCGAATAATTTCAAGGTAAGGAATCGCCACAAGTTTTTCATGACGCATAAAAAGTAATTCTCAGTTATCGAACGGGGATATGTCTATTTTTTAAATGTGGACAACCGACATAGTATATGCAAAACTAGGCTAAGCCCCTATTGCGGTAGATGCCACCGGTCTGGGAGCGGATTTAAACCATTCGCTTGCTACTAATTACAACTGAATCGCATCCTTTTTCACATTTTTTTCATTTAGTTCATCTATGCAATTATATTTTTGTAACTTGAACACGTTCTCAATATGTCTGAACAACATTTCTTTTCTTCATTAAGACGAAAATGACGCGCGATTTATTCAAAATGTATACTAAAACGATCAAAAGGATCTGTCCGTCCGCACTGTACTGCTGTACTGCGGAGCACGGCGCGTTCAGCTTTCATCAATTATGCTGATGAGAGTTGGGCACGCGAGACGCGACCACTTTCCGAATTCCGCGCGATCATGTCATAATCTCATTAAACTATTCGGAATTTAGAGCGATTCGATGCACATTTCCGCCGTCTGGGTTTTCTTTTGCGGCAGGAGCGAAGTCGTATTATGTATCGCTTCGATATTAAGTTCGAATTTAGAGCTTCGTAAGAGTAAGAAGAAGCTAAGAAACTTATTTTTCGCGTTTAAGAGCTATGGTGAAATAGGTGCGACGAGTAATTACTAGTGGAAAAAGCGCAATGTTCCCGTTTCTATGTATCTTATCTACGGCCATTATTTAAAAGACTTCAGTGTAATCGCAATCGGTAGATCTACAAGCACTCGAGTGTCGCTTCCTCCTGTTCCCCTATCGCCTCAACCTTTAGTGTCGCCGACTCTTGATGTTATAATAGTGGCTACTTTATTTAGCAAATGAACACGGGTCTAGTGTTATTAGCACTCCTCATAGGAGGGGCGGACGGAAGCTTGTCAGTATGTTAAAATATTTGACACAAACACTTGAGGAAAATTGAGGAATATTTGAAAAAATTACAGGACATACAATGCGGTGCAGCCACGATCAATCGGTAATGGAACATGAACGAATGTAATGCTAAGTTGTAATAACTAATAAGAAGTACACGTGTACGGGCGTGTAACAGTTGTTCGCCTAGTGATGCATAGCCAAGTAGCTCGTTCTCAGCCACGCTTTTGTTAGCCGTCAGCGACTCGAATGGATTTATGGAGATTCGGTGTGGTTATAGTTTTTACCGTGTTTCCAAATTGATAACTCCGCCTAAAGACGGTGGACATAGAATAGTAGGCAGGCACCCGAGGGCACATCAGAAATCCGTCCAGCCGTTAAGTGTAAATCTTTTTTTGAAACTGTCTTTTCATCCCGTATACCTCAGTGCCTTAAATTTAAAGTGTTCCAGCAGTGTGGTACGGTACCGAAACATGGTCTCCTACCGCGAGGAATGAGGAGATCCGTATTTCACCATTTTTATCAAATAGGACGTCGTGATCGTCGGTTAGGCTGAAATATTTTCCTCAATTAGTTCAGCTATATTTTAATAATTTCTCTCATTAAGTATGTCTTCTCTTCGGCTCATAAACTTCTAATATCTTCTTATTATTTCCTAACTTTCATTTGCGGGCATCCTATTACACGTACATCTCCGCGAATGTATGAATAACTAAATAGTAAAAGTTAGTTTTATTATCTTAATTAGAAGAACAACTTTGGAGTAAGATTAGGACGAGAAACGTACTCGTGTGCAATCGTCGGTTTTTACTTTTTGGTTCAACGTTTACGCACTGTACAAATACTATACGATATGAAATCGACCTCCTCATCGTTATCCCTATTTGCGGAGCCAAGACAATAATAAGAACTCATGTGTCTTTATGTACTATAATTTAGTTTAGAAAGACAACTGATTAAAAGTTGTCTTACCGAAAAATGTTATTTATAATTAAAGCAAATATTTTAAATATATTTAATAATATAGAACATTTTATGAAAAACACGGTTAAAAAGTACCTGTTTTCATTTAGATATCGCCTTGCACAGTGCGTTGATCTGCGATTAGTGAATAGATTATTATCGTTTGCGAGAAAAGCGTTAAACTCTGTCTCACAGAGCGAGACTGATTTCTAAACTTTAAGTCCCGTTGCTTTCTATGCATTCTCCAACTGCAACACAATAATAATTGAGCCCAAAATCACTAACATTTAGTTACCCAAAACTAACACCCGTCTTCTAATGAGTTGGCTTTGTAATTCAAAAAATAGGACTATGATGCGAAATTTAAGTGGAAAAAGTACTACCATCAGCGTACCCACAGCCTGAGGATTATGTATACCTCACTTCATTATAAACTATTATACTCGAGATACACAAATGCCCAAAGACCACACTATAAAACGCTTAAAGGCAATCACTCCGGAATAAAAAAAAATTCATTGATTCATTCAAATTGAAAACGATATCGATCGAATGATGTAGACAGTGTGCAACAACCACTAGTCTGCACGCGGGAGAGACGCGACGCTGAACCAGACAATCGGCCAGATTTGGCGCACCGCCAAATGCGATCCTCAATGCCGAGCACTTTTCAATTTACCTTCTAGACGAGAAGTATTCATAAGCCTTCATTGTCCTAATTGAAAAATACATTTCGGACTTAAATCATCCACATTTAGGGTTTTGGAAAACCATTAAAAAAGTGTTTCATGTTCAAGTTGTATATGATAATAAATTATTTATTGAGAGTTAGACGAAAGAGAAAAATAAGCAAATTATCAATAACGTAGACTCATAAAACTCAATGCACAAATAATAGTGCTAGGCTAGCCTGGTGATAAATTATAGTATGAGTACTTTTTAGCCTGTAAGAATTCCTGAGATGCCCGTTGTTGTTGTATTGTTATTAAAGAGTTGCATTATCGTGTTACAATTGAAGCGCTAAAAGTCTAAAACTGACAATGCGTGAGTAGGTGTTAGGGACTATTCGATTGTAAAGTGGATACCTTAAGAGCGATGGCCTCAAGTAACCGTTAAATAGAAGCATAATTATAATGGTCAATCTAACGAGCCATGAACATTGTTTTTCACACAAATCGCGTAAATGTATGAATAATATTATTCTTAATCTCTATAATGTTTCAAATAAGATGTCACGGTAACTTGCATTATGATTGGGGTTTTCGGACGTCGAGCGACCACTCGATTGGTCAAAAACGGTTAACTTGAGGCTACATTCACTCGCGTCGACACAACAGGCTGCGCAGTGCGCACTGCGCAGAAGCTCGTCGACACTAAGTTCAATTCGATCAGTCCGCCGTGAACAGTCGTGGGGGACGCGCCGCTACTCTATAAACTTGACAGCAACGCCCGCTTTTTTAAATTGTTATAAAATCGAATGGACATTATTAATTAGATAATTGTGGAACTAGATTAAATAAGTGTAAGGATTTTCTTTCGAGTGCGAGAAGTGTTAACACGCGTTGGTTGCGGTTACTCCATTCGTGAATTCACTGAAGTGCAAAGAGGTAAGTTTTTATGTTTTCGGTGAGAATGCGCGGTAGCCGGGAAGCGGTCTCGGATACGAGACCTAGACATTAGGGGAGCACGAATCGATTGTCTCGGCCGCAGCGTGCGCGAACTGTACCACCTACCTACAACGTGCACTCCACCCTCACTTTTATCGGAGTCTCGCTCGAGGGTTGGGTTTCGGGAAATTTAATTTTAAGTTAAGAATGGGGAAGTAAATAAGTTTTCAGTTTATTTATTTAGAGCTACTTCAAATATTCACGAATTAGGTATTCGTCTGTACTTTATGATGCATTCGTTTGTCAGAACACAAAGTTATTACCGAGTTTTAGCAAAATAAGTGTCGGTAGTTATTATAATTTCCACCGTTTCAAAGTCTCGTAAGGATGAACACGTAGCGAAGTACAGTCGCGAACACGGTTCGGCACACGTTCTATTACTAGACACGTACGGATTTGCATTCCTGTCGTGATGCATTTACCGGGTGAATGTACCCCGCTTAGCGTCAAGGACAACGAAATGCGCCGCACAGCTTTACTCCTCGAAACCTCTGTCTAGTACCTACGTACTCCTTAGCTTTCGTCTACTTAAAAGGTAGGTTAAATACAAGTGCACTACGATTTGAAAGCATGCACCACGGAGTTGACGTCCATGTTGTTTTGATTGCTTAAACAATTATGTTTAATGCTAAAGCTGTTTTCAAGACTACAGGCAATACATTTGGGCATTTTGCAGAGATTACGGATATGACGGTGTTTTTTACCTACCCACATTTCACGATGCGCTTCGTCAGCGCATTACGAAATACACAATTTATATTAAATCCGGATGGTTTGTTTATAACGTACAGGGAAGGGCGTACTGGGTATAAAGCACATGCTTAGGTCAATTATGAGGGGCAGCAATAGTACGGCCTGTCTGAAAAACAAATGGGGTTTCTCTTATAAGGGTTAATGAATGAATGTTTTATTATTTCATGAAAATATGCACTTATGCACTGCTGATAATCGCCCCAGCTGAAGATCAATGTAAGAATCGACACTATCTCCTGTCGTGTCGTTCGGAAGCTTTGCTTTTTGTCTAAACTTGAATATAGTCATGTCATTGCTGGTTTTGGACGATTTTTTATAGATAAGAGACTGACCGACGATTCTTCTGTGATAGTTGTATGTTTTGTTTTAAATGTACTTTAATGTGAAACCTAACGTTTGAATTGAAACGAAAGCTGCGCGAATAAATCGTGCTTTGTGAGTTGTTAAACATTCTAGCTACTGTGATTATACCGAATGAAGTGAAAGGCATAGCTTTCCAAAAGTGCCGCAGAATATCGTAATTAAGAGGCGCCGCGATGCGTGATATTGCGGATAGCGATGCATCACTGTCTTCTAAAGGTGTCTTCAGCGTTTCGTTTCAACCTGCGGTTTCAAACTTTACCTCGTGTCTATTAGGATAGAGAGTTGTAACATTCGGTTATTGTGTCCGTCGAGTGCGTGAGCCTCTCAATTAGACGTTCGAGTGCTGATAACGTATCTCCCATCGCTTAGATACGCCTATTAACGCGACGAGGACTCTTCCCGGCCGTTTAATCCTCTGCCTTCGAGACGAAGATACTTTTCAGTCTCCCTGAACATGTTACACGCGACCGAAGAAGATGTTAGTGATCTTTTGAAAGTCTATCTGATTTATATTTTCGTGGATAATAATTTAGAAAGTGGCAGCGAGAAGCGATTTCACGTAACAGTTTTTCGGCATCACCGTACATTTACGTTCGCTAATTATATTTAGATTATAATTTGTGTGTAACATATGATACGCCTCAATATTGTTACTACACGGCGTACATTTTGAATCTTAATAAAAGCAGCCTTATTCACTATTGATTCAGCCGGTGTAGTCCAGACGCTAACGGAATAGTAATCATTTTGTTAAACTCCATTGTATATTATTAGTATAATGTTACTAAATATTAAATCAGAAACGCCTTATTGAGGCTCTTACAATGTATGTTCAAAAAATATAATGCACTTAAGTTGTTGCCTGTAGTTTTGCCGAGGGGTACATTACAACATTTAACGGCTTAGAATGGGATATAATTTACGAACATGTTCGTTAATCACCCTTCACGTAACACGGCAACCAGCATTTGCCGACTTACTGTAGGAAATGCATAGCTACACATATAATATATACAGTCGGATGTAATCGATTGCAAATAAAGGTAATACAAGGAGCAAAGATTGTGGCACTTCCGCTTAAGTAGACCGAATAGAGCGCAACCTTAGCATCGGTATTCCTTCCATGTTCTGAAGATGGATGTCTTCGATGAATCACGCCGTTTGAGGCTTGTATGGCGCGTCGACCTAGGAATATCAATCGGATCGCTCTCCCGCCTTTGAATTATTTATTTAGTCGCATAATTATCTATTTTAATAGTCTAACAATGTTAACGTTAAAGCGTTCGCTTTGACCCTTTTGACACATGTACGAACCGCGACAAATAAGTCCTTTGTATTATCTATTTAAAATATAATCGTCTGGGACAAAATGTTCTTCGTGGGGTAAACATAAGTGAGCGACCCAAAAATTTTCAGTGTGCGTCGAGACAGATGGCGTTGTTTTTCTTTTTTGGTGTAATGGCGAGACGAAACTGTATCTGGTATAGTTCGTGCCCCTCTTTTACAGAATAATGCTTGCTACGTAGCGTTAATGCGATGCCTGGAAGCTGTAAAAATATCCACTTGGAACAGAAACTGTAGATGAGGTGACATATATTATATAGCTTTAATTATTTAGAACAGCGTCCCTTTCCAAATAATGGATTTTTACGCGATCTTCTAAGAGTTGTCTTCTCCCACACTCTGCTTTGATTTGTTGCGCAAGTAAATGGCATTAGAGGGCCTCGCCCGCCGCCATGTCCTCTATATGAATGCACTTCATTTACGATGCGCCACTCGTCGCTTAGTGCCTTCAAAAGGCCACGTAGGGCTACGATATTAGAACATCATTTCATCTTTAAAACGTAGTATCGACTACTGGGTCAGAGGTCGGACTGGTACTGTTTTTTTTTATTTGTTTTCCACTTAAACAATAGTATCTTAAACTGTTTTATTAAATCGTCCGCAGACGACGATACGATGTCGACATCGAGTCCTTAGGTACTAGGTTACTCAAGTTTAGAAATAAATAAAATTCCAATATTAAAAAAGTTTAAATGAACCCTTTTATGAAACACGTCCTATTTTATATTTAAACCGCGGGTGTCGGCCCTAGCGCTCCAATGACTCTCAGTTAATGCCATTTTAAATGCTGCTCTCGGTCTTCTGTCGTTTGTTTTGATTTACTCGTGCCGTCGTAGACGACGCCCCGTTGACTAGCAACATCCCACGACGCGCCCGTAACCTCATGTCAATTTCGAGTTGAGCTTCCGAATGCAGCGGAGGCTCTCGGGCGATGGGAGCGACGGCGGCCGCGCGCAGGCGTCAGGGTCAAGGCCGCGTCGGCCGTCGCGCTCGTTGCCTTTTTTACATTTAGCCACGAAGCGGGCCACTCTCGAATCCGATCTCGATGCAATTTCGATCTCTTCAGGGTGCATTGTCCACCCAAAGGTATAAAGAAACACTATCTATTGAATAGACGCTGTATGTGTATTATTAGCGTACCGAGCTACCGAGCTTTGTATGTTTAAAATTTTAATAATTATTAGAAATACTAACAGGGAGGTGGATTTTGTTCGCTTCGTGAGTGTGTTCTCTGTCTGTGAATAGACAATGGCCGTATTTTAACGTAACAAATGGCAGTGCCATTCAGGGAGGCAAAGCAAACAGACATTTTATAAATAACCCGAGATGCGGAGAGCAAAACGTCCCTTAAATATAAACAAAGCGGTTCGTTTCCATTGTTTAACTTGGTTAGGAGCGCAGCACTGTAGCCTTAATTTGAAATACGCGCTCCACTTGCGAGTTTATTCTTTCTATTCTTCATACATATTATGTACTCGGGTGTGTACCTACTTGTGGTGCTCGCGCTTAAGAAAGAAAAAAGTTATTATTTATTCATATTCATGCTTAGGGCTAACATAATGTACTATTGCTCACAAATTGCGGTATATACAATATTGCGCTTTTGAGCGAACGTCTGCACGGTTCAGTGCGCCGAACGCCTCCCGTCCGTGAACCAAACGAATAAACTCGGAAATGTCTTCCGTGCCCCTACTTTACTGCCAGCTTATCGCCAGATAGAGATGTGTTAGTTAAATTTCGGTAAATAAAATAGCGGTAATTGTGCGGCCATTAGCGCTTTTTCTGAGATGCGGCCGTGTGCATCCAGGCGATTTCTTCATGGCCCGCTTGCCCTGCCGTTCGGTGTTCCTGCGAAATCAGCTGCCGCCCGGACTCCTGGGGCAACCTGATGCCTGATTCACAGGCGTGTGCCATTTATGCCCCTTTTCCGATAGTCCTTACCGGTGCTATATTGACAATAATCAATCAGTGTATATCAAACGCGTACCTTTTGGTCTATTATAAGCGTCTTCCGACACGCGTTCTTGAACGATATTAGGCGCGATACAAAGCACAAAGCGTCGATACGTTATCAGAGAGACGTCTGCAGATGCGGTCGATGACCCCGCTGTCTAACGGCGTTTGTTTTGCGTGAGTCGACACAACAACACGGCGCTGGCGCACGCGATCTCACAGCGCGGGGTTCCAGTGCAACGTGCCGTGATATTATATGTTTTAGAAGCGAATTAACATCCGTATATAATGAATTAATCTAACGGCCTCCAGTCTGTTTTGAATTTGGAAAACTTCTCATTTGCATAATATCAGGCATTATGTGCCCAGTAAGTAGTGGACCTCTGAGTGGAGTCTGCGAGACCGGTTTTGCGAGAAATGGGCATGAATTGAGATATATGACAACACGATAAATCATAGGAAACTAATGTTTCATTCTAAATTTAACGCGAGACTTATTTACTCAATTCATTAAATCTAAAATTGGACGATTAATTAAAATCTTTACCAATTCATCGGATTTGTTTTGTATAAAATATTTGTATTCATGTAATGTTCTTTTACCGAAATCATAATCAAACCTATGACATTTAATTGAGAATAGCTTAGCGTAGTGTTGTGTTAACAACATTCGAAAATAATGTTCTCGGCGTCAAAGACCTCAAAAGCGATCTAAGCGCACTCGATAGAGTTATAAATAACTTATCTTTACGGCTCTGAATCAGCCGGTTGTTGTAACCTCGTCGTCGGCTTGGCGATATGGAAGCAGTACGCGCGAGCTCACAAGCTCGCACGTAAGTCCTAACTGTATCTCGGGTTAAAAGTGGAATTCACCTCTTAACTTCAACTTAAAGATCGCTATTGGGGTTTCTATACAACCTTTACACTTGTATACCGTAGGTAAGATCGGGACTGTTATCCCCGATGTGCGCCAGTGGGGGCTTGTCGTGGGGGGTCAACGCGCCGATGATCTCCGGCGGCGCCGACACGAACGTAATCCCAGATGTCGAGAGCATGTGGCAATTCATCCTGGGTTATTTAAAACTTGCGAATTTGCACCGAAAATTGCACATTGCCGAAAACTTATTTTGAGTCGAATCAAGTTTGAAATAATTGTCTTTTTAGCGATGCACTAGCTTGTTTGTGTCGGTTAATGGGCGTTCCGCTGAACTTATCGCGACCAGCGCAATTAATAGTGTATCGTAGCGAGCAAATACCTTTTTTTAGAATAGGATTGTAGGCCCGAATACTAACCGGACGTTAGTCGGTACTTATATGAGCTCGCCCTTCTTCTAGTTGGCTCTAATAAGACTTTAAAGGTTACAAAAAATCCCATACAGGTTGAAATTGGTCTTCCTATTCTGCTAACTTTATTTTAAGGACTAATTTGACTCTGCTAGGTTGTCCGATGTCCACCAAAAGGAATGGTGCACATCGGACAACCTAGGAGTTAAGCCTAATCGTATTCGAACTGTGTGAGGAGGTGTCCCAAATGTCAAAGTCAAAACTGCGCCATCTATAGTGTAGTAAAGCATCCGAAACGCCGGGCTGTTATTAAAAGTAATAATTAAATAAATTGGAAAATAAGTGAAAAATATATTTCGTGTGTATTTTTCATGATTTGCGACACAACAAAGACAAATAGAAATCAACAGATTAGTAGTGAGCAGACCCAGTTTCGCCAAACAATTACCCAGCGCGGCCGAAGCGAGGGCTGCCTTTGAGCCTCCTTCTCAGATTTGCACAGCATCGATTTTAGCAAATACTTAAAAAGTAGTCCCAAATTAGCAGCTTTGGTTAGCAACACAAACAATAGCAGACACGGTACGTGGCCATGCTAGGACAAAGGCATTGCCTTTGTATTTGTGTTATTCGCCAAACGTGCATGATACGCACGTTTGACATACTTCCATTTGCCTCACTTTGAAAATTCATAATTATGCGTTATATTTTTGCAATCGATAAAAAAAAACAAAGTTGAACCATGTGTTACCGATCACAGGAAATTATAAAGGAATAATAATACAAATGGGATCTTCTATTAATGTCGAACAATAAAATGGCGGATGCTAGGTGCGTCTAGGCCGCGGAGATGACAAAGGTAGACCTTCGAATCTCCAGCCTGGCCTAATGTTTTATTTTTCGGTCGCTAACGTAGTGAATATGGTCGGTAATTGGAATAAACAAGAAAAGAGAGCCGTCTTTGTATCTTGACATTGATGAACCATTATTATTTGTATTCTGCGTGATGGAATAATATTAATTATGTCGTCATACAAGAAGATACAATGTTATGATCGGATGTCGTTAATTAGAATTGTCTCAGTTCTATTTATACGGTTATCGATTTGAACAAGACGATACACGAGCATTAGGAGTAAACGTATTTCGTTAGAGATTGTACTCTAATAAAAAAGTTTTATTTTGTACGTTGATCTTGTTCAGAGCAGAAAGATTCCACATTGCTTTGAAACGAACAACACGAAAGACAGTAAGGCCACCGATCTGTTATTTGAAAGTAGCGAAGCGGTCCCGTTAGGAGTCGGGATGACGAATCATTTTGCTCACCTTTAGACGCTTTCCGGCTTCGAAAGTTTATTCTCGATACGAGACGAACTACCGTTAACCAGACTAGAATTTAAATCTGACAAATTGTACATTCTAAGGTTTGACTCGGAAGGTGGCCTGAGTACTTAGTGGAGGCTCTCAAAAGTTTTCGCAAAATGATGACAACACGTGAACCACAGCGAAGTGACAGTAACGAGAATTTCCGGTTTACAATTTAAATGCAATCGAAACGGCTATTAGCCTTAACGATCCTAGGCTTCCGCGTGCGCCGGCGCCGATTAACTTAAACGCTAGTCACGGAGTCCTCGTACCGGTTGCTGTGACCGTTACGAGCCAGTCGTTACATCAATTTTGCGGTTTGTATATCTAATATCGGATGGAAGATGGAACGTCGGATGACAATATGCGACGTGATCGAGTGACCGTTAATTGCCTTCTTAAGTTCGTTCTTGTAGCGAACTTCGATCAAATCGATTGACCTATTTTAATTAGATAGTGAAATTTAGACTGCGTAGTGCCTAAGAACAAGCACACGTCATGTATATATAATATGTGTAAGTAAAATAGGCTAGGTAGGCTTTAGTCGCGTATACTATAATTATTTATTATATTATATTTGTGTATTATTTTGTGTGTATCTGGATTAGACGATTTGATTTGATTTGTTATATGTTAGCAATCAAAGTGTCGCCAGTTTTGAAATAGAATAATCTCGTTCGCAGACAGGATGAACGGCCTAAACGGACACACGAACGGGGACATGAACGGCGCTGGGGATATAATCACGCAGAACCAGCAGCGGGGCTGGTGGACCATCGGCCTGATCAACTCGCGTTACCGCTACCTCACCGCGGAGACCTTTGGCTTCAAGATCAACGCCAACGGGACTAGTCTCAAGAAGAAGCAGATCTGGACCCTCGAGCCGGCCTCGGGCAACCCCAACGACAGTCAGTATACCTTCACCTTTATTTCTCCTGTTCACTTGTGTCGGTGCGCTGGCCGACTCTGGTATGCTCGGTTGAACAGGGTTCCCATATGATTATATAAAGAAATCGTTTGTTATCGTCAATTGCGATCTGTCGCCTCCACGTGCGCTTATTGGGACAAAAACTCGTTCCGCGACTCACCCTTTCGAGCGACGGTAATTGTATTATTTCGATTATTTTACGCGTCACATTTTCGAGATGCATTCACGTCAGCAATTTGTCGCAAATTGAATCATCATTAAATCATTCGAATTATTACGCCAGGTGTAGTTTTCGATACCGTTCAAAAGTAAATTAATATTGAACACCGACAACTTGTTGAGATGATAAGTGGAACTCCTTTTGCAAATATTCGAGTACCAAATATTCCCTCGGTTCTGATTGCGCATACCGTACACGTATGTATAACAAAAACAAAACCGAACTCATATTTAAACAAGTACTAACAGTAAGATAAAGTCGAGGCAAGTTGCGAAAAGGACACATAGACATGGACACGTGGTTAATGGAAGTCAGGACCAGAGGCGAAAATTGAAAGAGTCAACTCCGATAATATGATTACGACGTGCGTTGAGGGCTGCACCCCATTGCCAAGGTCTAGCCCCACTCAGACCCTCGCCTAATCGATACGGACCTCCCCGCCTCTCCCGCCTCACCCCTATTCCCGAAACCTCTATCTGTTGGTTCATTCCGACGCAAAAAGAGTTTAGAAACTGGATTTTGAACAGTAACTTGCGCTCACTAGTGATCGTCTCTTTCGTAATGTCCAGGGGATGTGGATGTGTAATAGAAATGATTTTTGGCTAACTCGCTCAAAAGAAATCGCTTCCCAATATACGTATAAGTCGGACGTTTTGCTACTCGATGGCTCTGTTACGAATACCCGCAACACATCGGCGCGCGGGCAAATGGAAAACGAGCGGTTCCCACGCGAAAGTATTGCGCGCACAATCGTGGGATTCGCGTTTGCCTACAATACCACAATGTGCACGACGTTTTCGCATTTTCACTGAGCCGTTCTTGCTGCGAGCGACTGTTGCCGCCGTCTGGGTCACATCACTACGATTCCAGATCGAGTGGGACTAACGTGATGGACGACGATTACTCTTATGCTGAGCTCATTCAAAAGACATTTTAGTGTTACCTTATCGAAAACAAAAAACGAGTTACGCTCCTATTTGGTAACATTGTTTTAACTACTTCGAGAATAATGAATAGCAATAAATGCGAATGGGAATTCCTACCCTCGGCAGTGTCCCAGAGGCAAAGTGAACATGACTCATTTCACGTTCTTCGTGGAAGACCTATCTTTGTAATCGGCATTGCTTGCTTTCGTTATGAAGAATATTACAGACTGAAAATCTTTTCAGGCATGATCTACTTGCGGTCTCACTTGGACAAGTATTTGGCGGTGGATTCGTTCGGCAACGTGACCTGCGAGGCTGACGAGAAGGAGCCGGGCAGCAAGTTCCAGATCAGGTATGCATTCGTTCATTCGCTTCTTAAGATTATTTTAAGTCGGTCCTCTATTGAATGTACTACATATGATCTGCAATACCAAGATTATCGGCTGAACTTTTTCATTCATCTTAAATTCGCACCGCATGCGTTAAATCCACAGTTTGCGGCATTCAAGATTAAATTACGAAGTGGTGAAAAAGGGAAAAGACCGTAATAGTCAGTTCAGGAAAATTGCATTCGAAACACTATAATTCGTTCGCAAAGCACGTTACACAAACGTCTAAATTTGTCTGGTGCTTTGAATGCCGCGATCACGGCTGAACAAAATAGTGCGAGTGAACTGAAACAGACGCTTAAAAAGCACTGCAAGCTCAGCGTTATTTTTAAACTATTAACCAAATTAAATAGGAAACTTAACGCCAGAAGTCCGCGGGTGTAACTAATAGATCTACCGTGTCAAGTCAACTCGTTAATCGTTGCTTAAACTTCGAAGAGAGACGTCAAGAGTCAGGATACAGGGAATAAATGTTTGTTTCGAGTTTGACGGGCGCGTTGGTGTAATGGCAAATAGCAAGTGTGGCTAATAATCTGTCTGTTCGATCCCCAACATTTTTCTAATTGTTTTATTGTTTTTTTTAAACATGCGGGACTCCGTTTTGAAATCTGGATATTAAATGGGTTATAACAATATCGAAATTCCGCCGAAAAAGTTCTCGTTTCGGTTGCGAATATCCAAAGCCGAAATAGGCGGACAGCGCATCTCGTTTAGATGTTATGTGGCTGGAGTGTTTCACCTACTCTATCCTCTTCTATCTCAAAAAATGACATCAGAGCTACGCGAATACTTCGCATTAAATATCACTGTCTCTCTTTTACCGTCACATCGAGATCGGGAACAATCGATCGTTGTTTAAGAGATTCGTAAGATATTTTGTCAACAAAATAGCTGAGATCGCGTTTCAATTGTCTTCATAATGTAATATTTGTATTGTTCGGACGTCGTTGGGACAGATTTAATTGGAACAGGCCATCGCGGAAAATACGAACAGGAAATTCGATGCAATCATCTTATCCATTGTTTGTTCCACATACAGTGTATAAAGTGTGGTAGGTAGTGTGTTAACGCAGCCGGGTCTTATAGCTGACTTATATTTTACTTTCTTTTATGTTAAGCACGGCTCGAATATACGACTGCTGAAAAACACCCCTAAGACAATCGGTTCATGCTCGTTATAATTCTGTTTTGATTGTGGGACGAGAACCTTCGGTGTGCGAGTCACTGACCTCGATACAAAAGGGATTGTTTCTTAATGTTGGGAGCTGGGAGCCCTCGCTCGTCGCTTTGCTTCGCCCGCTCTGGGGCTATGGTTGTTCTTCGAGTTTGGCGTGTGACATTGATTGACAAAACTACGATAGTACGAGATGTGATATTGCGTACATCTCTTTTCTTAATGCATAAGTATTATAATGATATTTCTTCGGTAATAATTTTCGCAAGAGTCACTCGATGGGAGATGAGTCAAAAGCGGCCCTCGGCTGAGTCCGAGACGTGCGTCGGGTCGATATTTGCCGACGATTCGCTTCGGCACTTTTTACATAAACCTATTCTAACAATTTATTATTACAACCGGTAAACCTTTAATCTCTTTTGATTCGAAAGCTCATTTGGACACATGTAAGAGGGTAAAAACCTTGCGATTTGTGTGATTTACGTGAAATTGAATCTTTATTGAGCCAAATCGACCGTTAAGCCTCTCGTCGTGAGAGAATCGTGGAAATGCGAATCGCTCAGTGGTGGTAGCTACAAGCGATTCTGCGAAGCCCAGGTGGCGGAGTCCGAGTGGACGTAGAAACGAGTTCCGGTTGAACGGCCGCGGCGGGCGGGACTAATCTATCGGAACGGGTAATAATTAGCCGTCGCCCGATCGTATACGTTTCCCGCTTAAGATGCGGTTTGTATCGATTCCCTCTTCTTCGCAGCTATTAAAGATCGAGGTCGGAGAGGGCGCTGAAGTGCGAGCGACTACTTGCCCATTAATAAAAGCGATCAGTGAAACGGACATTTCAATGTACCCGGCCTTAGCCCCGCGTACACTCATCTATAACTACTATAGCACTGAAGCGAACGTGTGTTGCGTCGGGATGACATCGAAGCGAATAAGAGGAGTGAGCAGTAATTAAAACGCCCCTCTTCGTAATTGCGGGTATCGGGAGAGCTTTGTCAGCACGATTGCCTAGAAGTTGTTATCTAATCATACAAGCTGTTATGTGTATGTAGTATATCAATATTGTTTTTTGACATATTAAGATTTAATGTTGTCGATTATAATTACTTGCGATGTTGCCGATCTCCAAGTGTAAACTACTGTAACGCGGTAAATAGCATCGTAGTAGGGTTGTAGTATGTTTAATGACATTTAAAAGCGAAAATTTTCCACAGAGTATTGTACAATGATTTCTTTGTTGCAGCGTGTCCGACGATTCGTCTGGGCGATGGGCGCTCCGCAACGTGGAGAGGGGCTACTTCTTGGGGTCCAGCTCGGATAAACTGACCTGCACGGCCAAGGTCCCGGGAGATGCCGAGTTGTGGCACGTGCATTTGGCCGCTCGGCCGCAGGTGCGTCCTTATTCCAGTCTCAAAAAGTTTAAGAGAGAAAGTCCTTTATCGGCTTATCTAATCGGTTATCGGCTTATAGCCGACACGTCGATAGATGCATCTGAATTCTTATCGATGATATGCCGAGACGCCCATCTCGTCAAATTCCACGGTGTACATGCGTGTCTATATTGATCCCAAGTGTGAGGAACACACTTGGGATCAATATAGAGCAATTCCTGTACTAACCCTTAATCAGTAAAACGGCTTTTCTATATTCCGGAACCGTTTTAAATTCAGGTCAACCTAAGGTCCATCGGACGCAAGCGATTCGCGCACCTCTCGGAGAGTTTGGACGAGATCCACGTCGATGCGAACGTGCCCTGGGGCGAGGACACGCTGTTCACCCTGGAGTTCAGAGCCGACGAGGGCGGGAAGTACGCCCTGCACACGTGCAACAACAAGTACCTCAGCGCGCCGGGCAAACTCCTCGACACCTGCACTCCGGCGTGCCTCTTCAGCGCCGAGTACCACGCCGGAGCGCTCGCGCTGCGGGACAGCGCGGGAGCCTACCTCGCTCCGATCGGCTCCAAGGCGGTCCTAAAGACGCGCTCCACGGCCGTCACTCGAGATGAGCTGTTCTCTTTGGAGGACAGTCTCCCCCAGGCCGCCTTCGTTGCGGCGCTCAATGACAAATACGTTTCTGTCAAGCAAGGTTAGTCGTGTCGAAAAATATTCACCTTTCTTAGATAGAAACGGAGAGCTATGCAGTATGCAGTCAAAAAATGTTAAAATTGGAGTGGGATTAGCGTGGAAGCGGAGGCTATTTTAGAGATCCATATCATTTAACCTAACGTGTGTTTGTTCTTTCGTTTGCGACGTCCGCATTGAAAAATATAAAATATAACGTAAGCGGACTATTACTATCATTAAGGTTGTTATTTGCTTTGCGCGTGAATTCACAGGAAGCACAGGCTCACCTGTCGCTTATCGCGCTGTAATTGCCCATAGAATGCTCCGCGTGCATCTCCCTTCCTCCGTTAGATGTTAACACTTTTCTTTATTTGACGGATCGAGGCCGGGTTCATCTACTAAAAACAATTAAACAATTGTTTATTTTAGTTGTCCAATAGTTAGACTCCATCGCAACTTGAGCTTACATTGTGTGAAATGGTTGTTGTGACACAAGAAGCACAACGTCGTAGCGACAGATCGGAAGTGAGTCAGCGATTATATGCATGCGCACGCACTGTTCGAGCAGTCCCCATTGTTCCACACATTTTGTTTATGTCGAACGATTCAGTTTTACAAGGGAGATGTCAAGAATATTTAAAATAACCCACCGGTGCCTTATATACACGTACAATTAATTCACGATATGATAAATGCGTTTTGAGCACACACGTCATAAATATCAAAACTACATTACGTAATTTTGCAAGCGTTTTTGAAGTTGTCAAATTTCTCAAGTTCTTCATAAATTTATTTGTGTTCCGCCTAAGCTTTAAACTAAAAATCTAAAACTTTCGGGTTGTTGCCTACGAACGTCCTACACACAGTTCTTCGTTTTGAATGCGTGCATCTTGAAAACTTTTTACTGTAACGTTTCAAAAATTTGATGCCGTATCACTCTCTGGGAGAGTCGGTAGTTATTTGTTCGTTCGTCCGGGCGAGAAGTGAAATCGACAAGGTTATAATGAGATGCAATCGTGGCCAAGAAAACTGACACAGTGATTGAATATTCGAATCTATAATTAGGAATAACTTTTTTAACGCTCGCGGAACTCTTGTATCCAATTAACGTATCTATTTTTAAAGGAATTGAAGTGAACGGAAAGCAACGCGACATACATTTGGTGTTCTGAACCGTTAAAGGTGTATTTACAATAGTTTTCTAAATAGTATGACAACCGCTCCGAGTTTTAAAAGTTAATAATTTTTATAAGTGTTGCTAACGTCGAGTCGCTCGCTTATCGCATCGAAATGTGGCAATTAGCGAGTCTGTCTGTCAGTGCGTCTTGATTGGATCCACCTGCGCTCACGCATCCGTGCAGAGAAACCGTAGAAAGCCGCCGACACAATAGTGATGTTTTTTTGCGAGCGCAGACGCCGATGGGCTGCATGACGACGCAATGCGAGTTTGACAAATAACCTAACATCATTAAAAAAGGAACATTTTCACCGAGTGCCACTTAAAGTTGGTTCTTTAGCTTTATGTGAAAAATACTTTGAACAGCTTCTTACGCGTCATGCAGTAATAGGCAAAAGCTCTTGTGAAAATAAAAAAAAAAACTCCTAAAAAAGGCTTAGAATTATGTAATTTTAAAAAGTGTTTATAGTCAAGGAAGGGTTCCTTCTTACAAATAATTATATATCGATGGAATTACATTATGTTTCACATGGCGCGTTCGTCAGTCACGATGGAGTCTCGCTCGAGTGAATCGCTAATAGAAAACTATTACCGCTTCTCACGGCCACTGAATGCGATCTGGACGCGCTGTATCACACATAATATCATGTGAGGTTTAATACATATTTTTGAGCGAAGACTAAGTTCAGTGCCGACCTGCCCTAAACATAAGAAATATGTAGTTTCGGATTTTTTGAGATATTCCTTTTAATATGAAGCCTCGCGTCGTCTTTCAGGCGTTGATGTGACGGCGAACCAGGACGAGATCTCGTCCCACGAAACGTTCCAGCTGGAGTTCGACTGGGCCACGCGCAGGTGGTACATCCGCACCATGCAGGACCGCTACTGGACTCTCGAGACCGGAGGCGGCATCCAGGCCAGCGGAGACAACAAGTTCGTAGTCACGAGGGCATCACGTATCTATTCTATCCTAATAACTGTCTTACAACTGATAATAATCGCGGTGACGCTTCGCAGATCGTCAAACGCCCTATTCGAGCTGGAGTGGCAGGGGAGCGGCTCGGTGGCGTTCCGCGCCAACAACGGCAAGTACCTCATGACGAAGCGATCCGGACACCTTTACGCCAACGCGGACTCCGTCGATGACAATTGCAAATATTACTTCTATCTTATCAACAGGTGCGCGGAACTCTCCCATTTGTTTCTATCTGCGATTATGTGTTGACTCGGCTATTCTCACACGTCTTTACGGAGCTTTTGAGAAAAGTCGAAAAATAGTGTTCCTAGTTCCAGTCGTTCTAGATATGTTTTTAGAATACCAGCTTGTTCGTAATTTTCTCAGAAGGCATAATAATAATGATATGGCGTGCGTTTCAGGCCTATCTTAGTGCTGAAATGCGAGCAAGGTTTCGTGGGCCCCAAAGGCGTTCGGCTCGAGTGCAACAAGGCCAATTACGAAACTATCCAAGTGGTGCGGGGACCCAAAGGCGCAGTTTACTTTAAAGGTGTGTATTTTTTATTTTGCTTCTCAATGTGACAACTAAATGGGTGTCTATAGGCGCCATCTAGGATACAGTCGCGCAATTGTTACTATACACTAATACCTGTTGTGATTTTACATTCTCAGGATCAAACAACAGATACTGGCACGCAGATAGCGAAGCTGTCACATGTGATTCCGAAACTCCACAGGTCAGTTCTCTATTCGCAAATGCGTTAAAAGGTGGCTGAAAATAATATAGAACATATAAATTGCATTTTTATTCAGAACCAAAAAAGATATAGATTATTGAAAGAAATGATCTCTGCGCAGGGCTTCCACTTGGAGTTGAGAGAACCGACCAGGCTGGCCATCAGGTCGGCGGAGGACGGACACTACCTCTCCGCGGCCAAGAACGGCAACTTCCGTCTCGCCACTGCAGACCTCTCCTCCGGCACGCAATGGGAGTATTAAATCCCGGGATAACGTTCGACATACGGCGGGCCTAAAGTTGCAAAGAACAACATACTTACGGCTAGCCTTACTTATTATATTCTTTTTCCTTTGCAAGTTCCGGGAATCAGTCTTGACATTATTATTTTTACGTGCACAGCCTCGAATCGCTTACGGCTGACGTCGCAACATTTTACCCTCACTATGGGAACATTTTATTTTGTTATCTAAGTTCGAGTCAACGGAATCGTAAAATTAAGTATATATATCATATCGTTCACTATTCGATGCATAAGTTTATTTGGACTGTTCCCGACACAGAGGCTGAAATGTGTGATTCGTCGAAACACTACGGAAATACTCTTCCAATTGCTATTTATTGACTATTTGATTTAAATTTAGGCGCAAAACTTAATTTGTATAATGTTATAACGGGTGCACGCTGCAGAATGACAATAACACTATCCGCCATTTCGCGTCAAGGCGACGACAAGATGGCGGCCGAACGAGCCAAACGGTCGATTTGGAAAGAATCCACTGTCCACCGTCCACCGTCTCCGGGGAAGGTGAAAGCGGCAAAAGGAATGTCTACAATGCTTTAGCCATTGTCGTGTCGCATTTCGCGGATACGAAGTCAGCTGCGCGTGGCCCGGCTCGCATTTAGTACGGTTAAGGCGTATTTATCGCAAGTTGCGAATGTGATCGTATGGGAATATAGCTTGTCTAATAATTATAATCATAGAATAATGTATCGCTAGATCTGCCGCCACGACGCATCTCTTTGCTTATTTATTTTCGTGGAGATAGTTTATCGGATGCGGCCTCTAGTCGCAGGGCTTGACGCAATACCAGACGTGCGACGGAACCGCCTCCGCTTCCGGTCTCGCCGCGCACTCTGGCTCGTATACGTGTATAAGCTAGGTAAGTTAACATAAGCGACATCTGTCTAGAATTAAGCGAACCGCCGCGTGGATGTCCATTCCGAATTTTTACATTTTTACGAGTTTTTACACGTGGCTATATCCGGTGCGCGCCTCTGCGCGACGACAGGTAATATTGAACGCGATGTGAATGACGCGCATCCTACATTTTTAATATTTGTACGATAATGTCTTTGTAAACTATTAATTAATAAATTATAATCATATTGTATTCGGTGTCTTTTATTGATCCCCATCTTTGCAGCACAAGTAAAACGGCGGTTACTGAAAAACTTATATATTTTAATTAAATAGTTACAGTAATCTTTACAGTTCTCCCTAGCTAAATGACATTGGATTAGCATCGATGCATTTTATTGGTCAAAATTAATATATTAAAAAATAATAATTTATCTACATAACTGATAAAGAAATATTAACCGTTACACCGCTAAATATAAATTCATAGTAAAAAGCGAAAAAAATAATAACAAATAAAAGTTAGATAAGCCTTTAGCTGAATATCGGTCGCCGCCGAACTGTCGACGTGATAAGATTTGACATAAGCTAGTGACACGACTCTTAGAATGTAGACACATGTTCACACACACGACGAAGATACTTAAAAAAACCACTATTAATTGCGGATTTCGACGAGTTTGACTACGATATAAATACTGAACGTCGTAATTGTCGTAGAGGCAAGATTTGGACCGATGTCCATTTGCTTCCGACGAGTACAATGTGTAAAAAGGAGCAACAAACGAGAGAATTTACGTAGAAACTAGGATTTCAATGAAAATAAAGCATCAGAGGTGTTTTGGGGTAGAATCGTGGATAGTAGATAGTGGTAGGCCTGCACCACAAAAGTATCCCTTTAACAGAAGACGCATTACGCTTTATGTGTAAGGCACGATAGTTTCTCCCTCGCCCGAGACGCGTCTGTCTCTGTCTGCAGCCACACTGCAACCTATAACCGTTAAATATATTTCTTCGCCCGATTACCATTGCTGCAAATATTGTCACAATGCGTTCAGGTGAGACGGCGTGTTTTGGCGACTCTTACTAAAATACAAAACCTATTACAACCCCCGTTCGGTACTGCGCAATAATTGTTATCTGCGCAGCGCCTAGCGCACTGCGTCGAACCACATAATACCTTTAAAACGATCGCAGTCGGTTACATTATTCTGGACTTGTATATTATTGCTATACGTAATTGCTAGGATTAATCGATTTAATAATACGAGTCACCGTTGAGGTCGCGGCGCCATCTAATCGAAGCGGGCGCACGACGTAGACAAAAGATCTGGAATTCGTGGCCTCAACGGCAGAAGACTCACGAGCACAATATTAAATAGTTTAATGTAAATTGGTGTCACATCAGTGAACTATAAGTATTCGCGCGAAGATCATTTCGCTAACCGAGATACAGCCATATCATATGGCCAGTGCACTTGTGTAAATGACAATTTCTGACAAACATCGAGGAGCACTTTGCATCTTTTGCGATATATCAACGATAACGATTAACGAGACATTTCACAAACAAGCCGTCGTTAGATACCTAGCTCTCGGGGGTATATTTTTTTTAGGACAATAATTTACTCGCTTACTCCTACTAAATTAAGGAAGGCGATTTGATCGAAAACTTAAACGTAAAATAAATAAAACTCGAGGCCCATAAGGACTGTGAGGGTGAGTTACAAAAATATCGTTCGCTCCTACAGTTAAACGGATGAATATGATATAAAAATATATAATCTACTATAATAATAGGGGGTGAGCGGTGGCTGCGGCCAGGGGCGGGGTCCGGTCGCTGAGCGCCTCTCTGCAACATTTTCGAATAACGCTTTCACTTAAGTTCATAGAGAAAATACAAAGTAGACTCTAATATTTTCAGAAAGAGTACGACTCTAGGATAACGAGCGTTATAATACCTGTAGCTAGGAGAGGAAGGGGTTAGGCGTGTGGCGCGCGGGGGGCGGAGACCAGGGCGACGAAGAGCGGGCCGCGGCCGAGGGGACAGAGGCCGGGGCCCAAGGGTCCGCCGAAGGCAAAGGCACGCCGCTACCTGCAACGTTATAAAATGTAATGTAGTAGATGGGCGACGCTTCTTTCTCCATTGAGAGTGCACTTCAAGCTCCAAATAGGTATTGGAAATAATTACATACCGACTAGAGACTATATTAAAACACGAAAATCGCAAGTTAAATTACCTAAGGGCACTCCGGACAAAGGAGCCCCGAGTGGCGGCATCGGGCTTCCAACGAGCGGGGGCATAGTACTTCCGAGGGGGGGCATCGCAGTTCCCATGGTGCTCCCCAAGGTGGGCATCGTGGACCCCACGGCGAGGGGCGGCGCGTTGAAGGCCGGGGACGAGCTCGGGAAGGGCAGGTTCGGAGCGAGGCCCATCTGCTGCTGCTTTATCTCGTTTATTGATAATTTTGCCTGAAACGTTTTCGATTCATCGATAAGCAGTCTATTAATATATATATATATAAATTGAACAATTCCTTCTTATGTCTGTTGTAATAATAATAGGAACGACAATAATAGCCCGGCCGATTGCCATATAGGTATAGCATTTCAAAAAGGTGCGCTGTCGACCTACTTCCGCTCGAGATATCAGAAAATCCGTTTGTCTGAATATCCCGATTTCAAATACAAAAATGTTTTTGAAAGAGGTTATGAATTTAATGTAAAAATGTTGGCGCCGGTGGGGATCGAACCCGCGACCCGTTCAGTCGTACCTCGCTACCGTTATACTAAACAGTCCGTCAAAACTTCCTTTGGAAGTTGTGCCGCTTGCTTGTCTTTGAGCTTTGTGAGACAGAGTGACAACCACACCGATTTCAATATCTATCTATATTACATAGTTTTTATAAGGTTTCGACACAAACAAAAATATGTGGTACCGGTTGGGGGCTAGCGAACATCTGGCGAGGGGGTTCAGGGGCGAAAGGGTTGGGGGCAGCCGGGGCGGCGGGAGGGGGCTGAAGCAGCCTCTCGAGGTTCACGAGCGACGAATTCTCCCCGAGGAACGCAGACGGCGACTTCTTTATGGCACCCGTGCTGTTCGACACGGGGGCGCCTGAAAGGCATTCGAACAGTAATAAGTTACTTACAATATCCAGTGAGGTTCCAACTTAAGTTTATTGAAATTCAAAATTTACCTAATCCAGAGATGTCGAAGGGGTCGGAGTCGTTGTTGTTATTCTGGTGGCCCTTCGGCCGCTGCGAGAGCGCGTCGAACTGCTCCAGCTCGCTCGACGGGGACGATATCACCGACACGGGGCTCTTGCTCTGCCAAGTTACAAGTCGAATAGTCAACTCTATAATTTTTATTAAAAAAGAAAAAATGTACGATTCGTGATAATTACATGCGAGAGCGGCGCCCACGGGTCCGGGTTGGCGAGAGCGGCTGCGGCGGGAGCCCACGGGTCGCGGGCGGGGCTGTTCACGCCCGACCACGCCTCCGAACTCGTGTCCTGAAGTCATAATGGGAACTAATTAAGTAAGATTCCGTACATTACACGTCAGTGTCACAGTGTCACCGACGAATCTATGGAAGGTTCTTCGTATCCTGATGGGTATATAGAAATGGCAACGACGTGAACGTCAATATTACTATGCATATGAGGTGGTTCGCTGGTATTCCTATATCGGTGCATTTTATTTTAGACTGGTTAAAACTAATAGTTAGATGTAGCCTTAGCCAACGTAATGCGATTAGCGACCGAGTAATCTCGTTATGATGACGTGAGGAGCGCTGGCCTACTCGCTCTAGCCAACGCACTCTCTTACCATGGAGTCCGAAAATATACTAATGTCCAGGGTATCAGGCTAGAAGAAAATTTATTTTGTTTAATAATTCATTATGCTAGCTCGTGTCTAGATGATCGCGGTCGGGCGAAGCACACGTCTCAACTGCAAAGTTTACAAGGCGAAGACATTTTTTGTCAAATGAATAGAGTCGAACTTTTTTAGAAGTACAATGGTTCCTAGGAACCTTCGGCCGAATCTTCGCAAACAAAATAATTAATATTCTTATGTCTATGTTTGTGCGATAAAGAGTTTTTATTATTATTAATTATTTTCAAGAGTTACTCTTAAAGTACTTTTTCGTACCGGTTTAGGTTTGTCTCCGGGGAGACCCCACGGATCAAGTTGAGCAGGTTGCGCGGGGCTGAGTGACACGTCGAGCAGGTCGAGCAGGTGAGATTGCCCATTGCTCTCTGCCTTCTTCTCCCCAACAGGACCGGTCGCGCCTGGCGATCTGGAATAATTGTACACTTCCATGAGAGCATACATTTAAATAAAAACATATACTTAAAATGGCACAAAACAACTACTAGTTCAAATAATAATTTTAATTAGTATTACCAATGGTTACAAGATGCTTACGGCTTCTCAATAAACGAGTCGTAATCCTCTTAACTAAAATTAATGTACCACTAATTTTCTCTACACGTCTACAATTCACGTGTCCCACTAACTGAATTACTTTCGGTAAATCCTGTCGGTCCGGCAAATAACTGCAGGGGTGCAGCCCGTCCCAGAACGATGGACGGCATCGCGATACGAGGTACCGGTCTGGGCTAGGGAAAGGGGATGGTGAGTAGGAATTATGAATGCGGTGAGAAAATAGCGGGATTCAAAAGTCAGAGGCCCACCCACCCCAGGAGAAACACCCACCGGCACCCGAAATGATGTTCGCTAGGTGTCATTTGGCTTTAAAGAAAATGAATAATCGAAGGTTTTTATTAATTCAGTGGACAACCGCTGACCGACAAGTCCAAATAGAAACAAGTACTAACTGGAAGTCGTTCTGCGATTGGCTGATGGCGAGCTGCAGCCGTACGTCGTCGGAGCGCCGACGCCTCTCCTCCCTCTCGGCCTCCTCGCGAGACATGGCCAGCGCCAGCTGCAGCTGCAGCTCCTCCTCTCCGGCCGTCAGGGGCCGAGCCAGCTCCGTCTCCCGCCCGCCCCCGCCCCCGCTCCACTCGCCGCCGCTGCCGCTGCCGCCGCCCGACCCGCCGCCGCTCAGCTGAAGATAAATCGTCATAGATCAGAATCGATCGTTACGATAGTTAGGTAGACGTACGAACTTAGGTGAATCAAAGTTCTAGCTCACCGCCGGGTAGGTGGGACTGGAGGGCGTGTCGAGCGCGCCGTCGCTGCCGAAGGCGCTGGCGCTTTGCGCGAATCTCTGCTTCGCTTTCAGCGCGCGCGCTCGCTCGTTCTTCAGCCGCTCCTCGTCCTTCAGCAGGTGCACCAGCTGCTTCGCTTTCTCACGCACGTTTAAACCTGCGACATTAAAAATCATACGAGTTATGTCTAGCGAGGGAGAAGAAATAATTAGTGGAGCGTAAGAAGGGCATCATCGTTAAGTTTTCGGTGACGGCGACCGACTTCCAAATCGAGTTTTATCTCTAACAGAATACTAATTAGTCATTTGGCCAATGAGCAAGGCGAGAGACGATATGGCCGTAATCGATAGCTAAACTTGATTAATTGAAGTCGTACATGTGCTAATGGAACTACTCGGAATTCGACTGTCGATGGGGTGTCACGTGTCGCCTAATGAGTCGTACAGTCCGAAGCGACTAAGCCTCAGAGACGTTTTACTACGTTATGTTGAACTATCGATCCTTAGTCCGTTGCGAAGTCGAGAGCTCAATACCTTGGTCCTTGCCCTCCTCCATGTACTGGAAGTCCTTGAGGGTGTGGATGGCGAAGATGTTCTCCTTGCACTGCATGGCCACCTTCTCACTCCCCGTCTTGATGAGGTACTCCATGAGCACGAGCGCCTTGTACACGTGGCGCCAGTTCTTGCCGTGGTCGTTGAGCCGCTTCCAGATCATCTGCATGATCTCGGTGAAGGCCATCACGTTGTAGGTGAGGTCGGCGATCTCCGCCATCAGCGTGCTGGACGGGCCCCATGGGTCGTTCGATGTGGCTTCACGCACTTTTACCTGCAAAGACAAGGGTCACTCGATGCCCGCTCGATGCGTACGGGTGAATCGAAAGCGGTGCTTCCAAATTACCTGAGCATCAGAGTAGTTGTGCGCGAGGTTCTTGATATTTCTCCTGAGCCCCGCCACGTTTACTTGCATTTCGTCCCCGCGAAGGGAGCCCTGGAACGATTAGTTTGCATACAAACGTGATAGTTCCCGGACATTTGTGCACTTTTTTGATAAATACAATCCCGGCCGATTAAGCTCGACTGACTTTTTTTGTTTCGTTATAATGAAAGTCGTAGGAGCATTTATTTGGCGTACATTACGACAAAGAACGTTTGCGTTTGTGAGCTGCGTTTAGATAAAATTCAGTTTTACAGGACTATTGACCCGCGCGCCAAACTCATTCCGATAAACTACGTCTTTCGGCCGTTTATCAAACAAAGAGGTGATTACGATCATTTTCATATTTTTTTTTGTAAACAAAAGCGACCTACACATACTGTGTCACGACTAAGGTCATTAAAATCATATTTTCTTTCCCTTTTCTTTTTTTTTAAATACTTTTTTCTTATAAGCTCTCTTAATGTCAAAAAAATGCAATAGATTGTGGTTTGCAACGGGTTTACTTGTAGATATGAAAAGCGAACATCGTACAAATAAAATATATGTAATATTGGCAGCCTTTACATAATTGTCACGATTCACTTTTCTAAAAATACGGCCGTTATCAGTGAAATGTGATCGCTACAGTCATGTCGATACAGTATGTTTCATTGTTTTGCTCCAACGGCGAAGGCGAGACCGCGACGCAACTACTAATTTCGATGAAGCGATGTCTGAATGGGAGCCCAAGGGGAGATGTATAAAACCAGCCAAGGCTATCGCGGATCTCGAGATGCACGTGCTTCTCTTGGTGATAGACGGTCTGACTTAGTAATAGCTCCATAGCTAGTGGTCATAGTAGCATGGTCACGATATTGCATAATGAGTGTTGCGTAAGCGGCTTAATATGCTCACCCCCACGGTGGGTGGAAACCTCAGCTGGCTAAGCGCACTCTTATGGCACACGTAATTGTTACGTAAGCGCCGGTCGGCCATAAGTACTGGCAGTCGGCTAATTGGGCACATCCATCGCTAAACTCACTACTTTTGCCTTATTTTGTTTTTATTTAAATCGCGGTTCGTACACGATGACGTCAACGCGGGCGGAAATCACCTTCGCGGAACAACTGAAGCAAAAATACCTTCTCGGTACATCCGAGCAGCCTTTCGGCCGAGGAAGCCGAGCATTACGAGCTACGTCACACTTAACGAGGACTTTAATTATTAGAGGTTTAACTATTTATTAGAGGAATACTGTCTATAGTTTACGCGAGTAGTACACATTTAAATAAAACACTTTAACGGTTTAAAACGCGATATATTAGTTAAACTTATTTGGTCTCCCCGTGACCACGGCTGCTGCAAAGCATCCGAAACGTCGGGCCGAAGTTAAAAATCATTTTCAAATAAGTTTAACTAATATATCGCGTTTTAAACCGTTAAAGTGTTTTATTTAAATATTTATTAGAGGTTTTTTTCTTAACGACGATCGGTTCTTCAGATAGCAGATTCAGCCTGGTGTCGGACATTCGAACAGCTCGATTAATATGATTCCCTTTTACCCTTAGGACATCGGATCTTAAGAACGAACGGATACTAAATAAACAGCTATATTGTAGCACGCAGAATATGTGCACTTTTTCTTTAATATGAGTGAAAACGCAAAAAGGCAGAACGCGTAAAGCACAGTGACGCGGATTCGGCGCAACAAATCAGGTAGACGTGCGCGCGGGCGTTCACCTCGCGGTAGAGGTGGAGCGCTCGGAAGACAGGCTGTTGAACCGGCCGTTACCAACACGACAGCGTCCGGTCCTATTGTCAATGTATCTTCTAACTATCCGTTGACTTACCGTACAATGTTTCATGCCAATTTTCAGTCGCATGAATTTGCCCGTTCTAAGCGCGAGAGGCCTCGGCTTTGACATCGGAAGCCTCGATTCCCCGAGACCAAAGGCCGATGAAGTTAAGAATGTTAAGATGGTAGTGTAAGTTTTTAAAATATTCCAGCAGAATGAGAACGAAAGACCAATAACATATTTATTTGAATATTAAGTATAAAATCAAAATAAAAAAACAAATTAATATATGTATATATTTTCTATACGTTGTCTCTGTAAGTGATAGATATCTTTATTATGCGACAGTAGCTTAGTTAAACAGAAAGGCAAAATCTAGTCTAATCTAGATTGAATTGACACAATAACCTCCAGTTTACCGACGTTTAAAGTGACGCTTCATAAAACTTGAAATAACCTTCGTAGCGACTTATTTTAAAACTTATTTAAACGGAATATATAGAAAGACTTAAAGGTTGTTTTTCATTTTAGTTCTGTTAGATCTTTAGATAAAATCATAACTTATTAACCTCTTACGACTAAACACAATCTCGCGATTGTGTCCTCACCGTAATGGCAGGAAGTGCGGCCTCGTCGCAGGAGGAAAACACCTTTAGTCGCACGAAGCAGAGCGAGATGACACTGAATTACTATTACTATTCGAAATAACTAATTTCGAAATAAACGCCATATGGTACCTTTTCTATACGAAAACATAGTTTACATTGATTAACTGTACGTGTGACGACCTCCGCAAGGATGTCGCTGCGTCAGCTCGTAAAGAGGCTTGAAAAGGTCCAATGTCACCACGCCGAGTTGTGAGGCTTATCTTATTATACTAAGGGCACATTAGCATTATGCTAATTTTACTTCATGGCTCTTTTATCGCCCTATCCGATACTGGAGAAGTGGGACAAAAGAAGGTAGACTCTAATGTAATATTCGAATTCGTCAAGTTTTACAATATTAAATATTACACACGATTATACCTCCTATCTCAAAGGTACAAAAAGGCATTCGCCGGTTGGATTCGTCGATGAAATGACGTCAACGTGAATGATTTGTTTCCGAGATGTTCACTCGGTTTCTCCATAAAGTTGTACAAGTCACCGCACGGAAAGTCGGAAACTACTATTAATTAGTTTGTATAGGATAGGATAAAACACAATAGTGGCAAGTTCAGAAGCGCTTCATTATGCATATATGTACATATATATTTCCAGCACTTGGAACTTCAATTTTAACGATTTAGACCAAGTACTGCGATTTTGTGCAAACCGTGGGATTTTGGCGGAAATGACTTGCAACGAAGTTGCATATCCTTAGCCTAGCCCCTACCTCAACAGCCTTGCACGTAAACGTCGACCTTCGGCGGCTTCGAGTGACGGTAGCACGTGGTTACGGAAGGAAAACAAACTAAATATAGTAGGGATCGATCGTCCCAATGAGGGTTATAGGGGTTAACCTTGCGTACTAATTTTATGACTAAAATCATTGCCCACCGTTGACATGACGGCACATACATTAACAGGAATCTAGATAAGAGAAAGAAGAAAATGGGAAAACACAGATAATCCTCTAGTAACTCTCAATGCAATGGATTTCTGCAATGCAACATATTAAGGTTAACAACAACAAGTATTTCTTTTTTGGGAACAACAATTTTAATGCTAAGATTAGTATGTACTCTTTGTTGACCATTTCTGCACTCCCACTTGGAGACTTTTGGGTGATTCAATTTATAGAAGATAAATAAAGTAACATACAAAAACAAAACTACTTCTAGAGCCAGAGTGTGGCTAATTTGATATATGATCAACGACGCAAGTTAACTTACAAATAATATCACATTTCTTACAATCCTTAATTCCTGTAATACTTTAATTTATCTTTTTTGAGTAACTGTTTTTGCTTCCTCCATAAAAGATTACACCCCAATGTTTATTGAAAAGGGGGCATTTTAAATTGTTACTGACAATACAGATATGTGGTCTACACCCTATATTAAAATTATTACAAATTTTATATATAACAAATTATTTTTTATTTTCTTGAATTAATACATTTTTCATATTTTTAATACATATATTCTTAGCAAACACTCATTATATTAGTATAGTAAGGCATGTAAGAAAAAATTATAGTTATATATGTATATTATAGGGGTGAAGTAAAAATGTTTAAGTCATATTATGTTGAAAATTATGTTTTGTTTCAATTACTAATATTTATTATATTATTAAGCTTAATACTGACTACTTAAAACATTAAATAAAAAATTCTTTCAACCTATTAATGTTCCTCTGTACAGAGTCCCTCTTTTGTCTTATTTTTCGTAGCTTTTAAAATCACCATACTACATGGATCATGGCAAAGCATCCAAAGGATAAAAATCCTCATTAGTATGATTAATCCATTTCCTAAGCAATGATAAGGCCTGATAATATTTATAAAGGTATATAAATATATATTTTTTTCCTTATTTGGCACCTTTTCCCAATTTTTAACAATACAGGAATTTTGGCCAAGATCTACATAATCTTCATCTTCATAATATTTGCAAAAGGAACATATGCATTGACAAGGATTTTAGAAGAAATGTGTTTAAACCTTCAAGCACTTTCTGAGATTATCACTAGCATTGCTAATCTTAGAAATTGTCTTGTAGTAACTACAAAGTTAAGAATATTTTTGTATACTTACTTATTATTGAACTAATAAGAAAATATATGACAAATAACTCTAACACTAAGTTGAATGGTAACACATAGCATTCACTTTAAAGTCTGACTGTCTGAATATCTATAGGATAGCTATCAGGTGTAAAAGATAATGCTTTATCATATCGCAAACTGTGAATACCAAGATTCTTCACCTCACACGGCTGACGTCACAATAAGATACACTTCGTAAATACATAAACAAATAACTACAGTTAAAGACTAATCATGGCCTACATGTAGTTTCCTCGCATGTTTACCGCTATGTCGAAGAAGTGCAAGGATGAAGTAAATTCATTATAAAATATATAGGTGGGGCACATTTTCTACAAACAGTGCCTCAGCAAAACTGTGCCTCTGGTCTAATTGGTACTTAAAAAGAATGACAAGAAATATAAACGCAACTCACCAAATAACTACGAAGGTCCTAAAAAAGTTTTCTTCTTATCAAATCTAATACAGTAAATATATATCAAACATTATACTATTATCACGGTACACAGCACGTTATCACTAAGCTTAAACTATATAATTTTGTACAAATCTTCCTAAACAAAACACTTTTGACGAATTGACAAAATCGCCTCCTTCATGACAAATCAACATGTCTTCCAACAGAACTTCCGGTCAAGTGATGTCTACCACTACTACTATACTTTGTACAGTATAGGATACACATTTGACAATTGACAGTAGGGATGTTTATATTGTCTAACAATTGTCTGTGAAGCTAATATTTTTTCATTTCTTAACAGTTAAAATTGTAAGCAAATAGGATTACAGGACATAAGACCGAAAAATAATGAAAACTGATAATTTATTAAATTGTGTGATAGGATATAATTTTATGACGCTGCCGATAGACCTAGTAAGTCGATAATCTCCTAAATAAATGCATAAGTATTATCTTAAAAATACTAATAATGAAATACAGTTGTTGGTTTGGGGGTAAAGTTGAAGGTTTGGGGTTTTATTGAATTATAAAGATTTTAGTACAAGTTTAATAATACTTAAAGGCTTATATATATATATTATATACGTATCTGTAATTTGACATTTGTATTTTACTTTTGGTCATAGAGTACAATAGGTTTTGGTTTCGTTCATTACAATTCATTGCTACAGCTGTTCTTTAACGGTTTTATGGTGTTAATAATATAGGAAGTTAAGTATATCCTATCTGAGATATTAAAAACTCGACCGAGAACAGAATAATGGATTTCTCATATGGCCTAAAGTTACAGCAGTCTCAAACTTTGAAAAAAGTTAAAACATTTGTAAGTAGATTTCAAGTGTATAGGTTATGCTTTAAAAAGTAACTTATTAACTTAATTCATACCTTCGCTTTTCAGAAATTGCCAGGTAAATGTTTTGAAAAGAGTGTCGCGTGTACGTGGCGAAGAGGCAATAAGTTTACGATATATCCTCGCAGTCAATCAACGGAGAAGTCGTTCGAAAAGTTAGATTCGAAAATTCTCGATATTCGCCAGGAAATATTACTTTTCTCGCCTATTTTACGAAAACTTGTCAACGAGGCAAACGCCGTTTTTCTTTCTCTGCAAAAAGCAGGGGAAGTTGCGAAGACATCAGATAGCCATGTTGAATTTTTAAAATTATCACGACATTACCGTTCCATTGTGAGAGTGTGTGTTGAGAGTTTTCAAGAAGCCGCCGAGAAGGAGACTGACGGTTTGGAGAGAAATAGTCTCCAGTCATATATTACAATCTTTTATTCTATTGAATGCATTTGGCACTTGTGTGAGATATTATACATTGATGTGATTCCTGGTGAGATTGTGTTACCTTTTATATTGGAATGGGTGAGATTCCACTTTCCATGTCATGAGCAAACTGCAGCTATATTGTTAGAGGCCTGTGAGAGGGGTTCGGAAGTATCCCCTGAGTATTGGGACACAGTTATTGGTATGGTTGTGCAAGGGAGGATAGATGTCGCTAGGGCTCTGTTAAAACTTCATTCAGCTGCAGACAGCAATGAATTTAAATTGCTTGATGGTTCACTAAGAACTATGCCAATGTATAGTGTAAGTATATTTTATTCAATTATATCGCGAGACAGTAATAATTTAATTATGTATGGTATTTGTATTTGTAATGCTGAAAAGTAAAATAAAGGAGTAATTATGAATTGGGATGAAGCAATAGGTTTGTGCATCACTACCCAAAAATGTACTGGTAAAGCACTGGTTTTTAGTGCCTCCTGGGCTGTAAGAAGTGACTGCAAGTAAGCAACTAACTAAACAAAAAACCCAAATAATGTAAATGTATAAAACATAAACTTAATAAGTAAAGCTTGCACACTTGCAACTACATTTGATGTGAATATTCAAACTACTTGTGTAGTAAATGTGTGTGTACTCTTACTACCAATTAATTTATTATAAATTAACAAACCTTTTCTACTATTGAAATAGTTTATGGGCTAGATTTTGTTTTAGGTGTATGGAGGTATATCAAGTGGAGAGTTTACAATATCTTGGAAACATTGGCAAGCTGAATGCAGATCTAAGTACAGCAGTGGGGCTTTGGCCCAAGAACCGCACCTGGAACTCATTTTGAGGGTGTGATTTTGTCAATTATGTACTTCTACAATGTTTTGCTTATATTTTAATTTTAAGCTGCAAAATATACCCTTTGAGATAGTAAAGAAAATTTGTTAATTGTGATTACATACAATGTTTATAGATTTTTATTTTTTATGTATTTAATTTTACCTTTGAAAGTTATTAGAATTGGTTTAAAGCAAGAAAATAAATAAATATTTTTAATTTTGCAGATCATGATTGGAGAATACTCAGCCTTTGAATCAATCAGAAATAAATACACTTCGTGGTTTGACATGCTTGGAGGCTGGATACTGTTCACGATGCCATGGGCGAAGCGCCGGGAACTGGCGGCGGCGGCGTCGGCCTGTGCCGCTTTGGCTCCGGGAGGTCGCACCCATTTGGATATTATTGTTCAGGCATTACTCGAAGGAGACCTGCACCAGGTAAACCTTATGCAAATATTAATATTATTTTTTATGAGGACACCATCAGTAGGCCTGTTTTCAATATGGAATATTGTTGTACTTGTAGGTGATACATGAGATTCAACAAATATCAGACAACGGGTGGTTTGCAACTCATCTCACAGACATGCTATATCACAGTGGGAAGCTTCAGATATTGGACAAACAAATTGAGTAAGTTTTATTGTTTCAATTTTTATTTACACTAATATTATAAAGAGATATATTTATATTTTTGTGTGTGTATATGTTTGTATTGAATAAACTCAAAAAGTATTACATTGATTATATAACTTATAAATTTTTGTAGGGATGGGAAGGAAATTTTGTAACCGCTTTGGGAAGTGTGAAGCGGAATTTTTTTTTTGCTTAACTGTTTCCGATGAGGATGCCAGGACAGATTTTCGTCAATAATTAGACCCAAACTTTTGACTTACTTGTTATATATAACTTGCCTCACCACTAGAAAATGGGACATCTTTTATAGAATACAGAGTAACTCAAAATCTATTATTTCAGTGTTACAGCACGCCTTCGGGATAGTCTAATTTTGGAATTTGGGTCACTTCCCAAGGAACACAACCCCCTTTGGTGCGGCGGCTTTTTTTTTCCCGGGGGGGTTTCCCATGGGGGGTTTGGGGGGGGGGGGGTGGGGGGGGGGGGGGGCCCCCTCTCAGGAGAAGGGGGGGGGGGGGAGAAGGATGAAGAAATAAAATATATAATAAGGTGGGGGGGTGTTTTGTATTATTATTATTTTTTTTTTTTTCTCGGCCCGGGGGGGGGGGGGGGGGGGAAACAACCCCCCCCCCCCCCCCCCCCCCCCCCCCCCCCCCCTTTCCACCTTGTGGAGGTTTTGGGTCATCCAACTCTCCCCGTGTCCCCTTCAAACCTTCCGGTTTGCTTGCAGAATCTTATAATTTTTTCCATCTGTAATTCTTTGATCTCATCTTCTGTAATTTCGTCCGAACCCATATGTGTTTGTCTCAGCCTCGAGTATGCAGAGCATTCAGTGAGTAGATGGATGCTTGTTTCCTCACTTTCTCTGCACTCCGGACATAGGGGGTCGCTGCCTATTCCTATCATTGTAAGATGTCTGTTTAGACGGCAATGTCCTGTTATGATCTCTACGATGAGTCGGATGTTCGCTCTCGTTAATCTCATCAGGTTTTTGGTCTTCTTTTTGTCTAGGCTATGTATGAATATCTTCGACTGTCTCATTCCCGTCGAAGATTTCCATCTTTGGTTTGTTTCTTCTATGATTCTGCGCTCGATTATTCCCTTGGTTACTTTATGGGCTATCGGAAGTCTCGGTTCCGGCCCAATCAAGCTTTCATCGGCTCCTTCGCGAGCGAGTTCGTCCGCTCTCTCATTGCCAATATTTCCTTGGTGTCCGGGGACCCAGGCAATTGCCACTTCTACCTGATCAGTTAGTTTGTGCAGTGCTTTCTTGCATTCTTTGACAATAGCAGATGTTGTCTCTTCTTTGCATAGCGCTTTAAGTGCCGCCTGACTGTCACTGTAAATAGTAACACTTGACAGGGGTCTTAAGTGCCTGGCAATCTCTGCACATTCCATGATGGCGAATAACTCCGCCTGGAATACGCTAACAAGTTTCCCCAGAGGGATTGATCTTGTTATCTCTGTTCCGTCCTCGCATCTCATATATATGCCTGACCCAGAGAGCTTTGTCGTTTCTTTCCTGGAACCATCTGTGTAGCACACCGTGCCCACATTTTCCAAGTCTATTCTCCACTTCTGCCTTTCCCCAATGTGGATTCTGTATCTCTTGTCAAAAATCCTTTCCTTACGTATGAGATCATTGTTTGCAAGGATCATTGACATGTTCTTGTCATTTACTTTACCTATGCTAGCATGACCTGTGTCCATGATATTTCCTTTCCATAGGTCTGCGCTTTTTAACCTGAACCACGTTTCCGTAGCTTTCCTTTTTATTTCTAGATCTAATGGCATTAGTCCAAGGATGATCTCAAGTGCCGCTGTTGGAGTCGTCCTCATTGCACCCGTGATCATCAATGCGGCCAATCGCTGCACTTTGTCTAGTTCTATTTTATTGGACTTTAGCGAGGCCTTATGCCACCATACTATTGCGCCATGGGTGATTCTGGGTAATATTATCGCCTTGTATATCCAGGCGACAACATTTGGCTTCAATCCCCATGTTCGACCTATAGCACTTTTGCATTGTAGCATTGCGGCCTTTGCCTTTGCGCAACTGCTTCTGATATGAGTGCTGAAACTGAGTTTGCTATCCAGTGTTACACCAAGATACTTTATCTCTTTTACTAGTTCTAGTTCTGAGTTATCTATGCGAACTGGTTCTCTATTTCCTAGCTTCCTTTTGTTCGTAAAAAGTACTAATTTGGTTTTATCAGGATTAAGGTTCAGTCCCTTACTCCTGCACCATTTAACTATTTCCCTTAGTCCTTTATTCATGATCGTGCATATGGTGCCTAGGACCTTCCCTGTCACCATTATCGCTCCGTCATCTGAATAGACTTGTGTGTAGATATGCATCGAGTTGATGCGATTGACTAGCTCGTCTATAAGGAGACACCACAATAGTGGAGATAAACATCCACCCTGTGGAAATCCCCTCCTAGCCTTCACTGTGTACTTAACTCCTGCAATGTCTGATTGTATCAGCCGGTGCTTGAGCATGTTTCTTATCCATTTGCCAATGTCCGTACCTATTCCTTCTCTGCTCAAGGTTGCCTCGATTGCGTCCGGGTTTGCTCTGTCGAAAGCACCCTCAACGTCAAAGAAGCAGCCTAATGCATATTCCTTCCCCTCTATGGCTCTTTGTGCTCTTACTACAATATTGTGCAGAGCCGTCTCCGTTGACTTCCCTTCCATATATGCATGTTGATTATTATGTAGGGGAAATCTGCTCTTATCTAGTTTTGTTCTTATCGTTCTATCTATTATCTTTTCTAAGGCTTTCAGAATGAAGGACGACAGACTGATACACCTGAATGCCTTAGCGTCTTGATACGATCCCTTCCCTGGTTTTGGTAAGAATGCAGCCCTAACTTCTCTCCACTTGCTTGGAATATAGCTTAGAAGTAGGCTGCTGTTGAACAATACCAGAAGGTCCTTGTTAATTATTTTATATGCTTCTTGAAGCATCTTTGGAAATATTCCATCTGGTCCCGGAGCCTTGTATGGCTGGAAAGACCTAATGCTCCACTCTAGTTTTTCCTCTGTGATGATAGTCTCCTGTGCCTGATTACTATTTCCGTTTTCATCTTCAGGGCTATCATCTCCTATGTGTTCTTCACAATCCGGGAAATGTACTTCCATCATTTCCATGAGGATTTCTTTGGGATCAGTTATTAGCATCCCGTCTTTCTTTATGCTTTCAAGCCTACACGATTTTACTGCGGAGAGGGTTTTTACCATTCGTGCTGCGTCCGGATATTTCTCAATCCCTTCGCAGTACGCCCTCCATCCGCTTGTGTTTTCTTTCCTGCATTGACTTTTGAATAGATTTCTCTGTTCTCTATATTTCATCCAGCTCTCCTCGTCTCCTTTCTGTAGGGCAGTCCGAAGAGCTCGGCGTGTTCTTTTCCTGGATTTTCCCAGTGCTTTTGTCCACCATATTTGTCCTTTCCCAGACTTTATTTCTCTTATCGGGCAAGCTTTGTGGAGTGCCTCTCTTAGAGTTAAATCAAGTCTTGATGCTTCTGTCTCTAAGGCTAACTTACTAGTGAGTATGTCTGTCGGAATTGGGCTCCACTTCTTCTGCATGTAGTCATTAAAGGTTGCCCAGTTCGTCTTTCTTGCATTTCTCACCATGACTTTGTCAACCTTGCTTTCCAGGTCGAAGGTAATGCGTCTATGGTCTGAGAATGCGTCACTTTCGTCAACCCTCCAGTTCTGAATGTGTCGGATAAGTTTGTCTGTGGCGACTGTTATATCCAAAACTTCTGCTCTGGTTCGAGTAACAAACGTTGGTGTTGTACCTTCGTTTATTACTCCAAGGCCTGCGCTACCTAGAAAATCTAGTAATAAGTCACCCTTTTTATTGCAGTCAGTGCTGCCCCATGCTACGTGGTGGGCATTGGCATCACATCCTATAATAATCGGAATGTTCTTACCTTGATATTTCCTTGTTACTTCCTCAAGCTCCCTTGTTGGCGGCTCGAAGTCTATTTCACTCGGAAGATAGGCACAGACTATGAGTATTCTCTCCTTATCTCCGTTGCAGGCTTGAATGGTCAGTTCTACACTCGCTAAGTCTCTGTAACAGTCAGACTTTATGAGTTCTAGCGATCTCACCCTGTTGCTCACGTAGATGCACGCTCTGGGATTAGACTCACCATCATAGTAGATTAGATCACCTCCCAGAGCGCCCATCCCGACCACTCGCCTGTTTATGACGTATGGCTCTTGCAACAGGGCGATATCTATATTTTCTTTCCCAATGAATCGACATAATTCCGTCATGGCTTCACGACAGTGATGCAGATTTAGTTGGACTATTTTTATTTTGTTTTGTTTTTGTTGTGTGTTCATTGTATTGATTGTGTTTATGTTAAGTGTACGATGAATGAGTGTTTAGAGTGTAGTGTGTACTTGCTTAGTATGTGTATGTGTATGTTTCCTCACTTCCCCTTGCCGCTATTCAGCCAAGACGGACTTAACTTTTCCGCCGTCTGGGAACCGCTACTGGGTTTGTGAGGAGGGTGTGTGTCGTGATGTGGTGTGTTGGTTGTTGGTGTTTTGGTGGTTGTGGTGCAGGGTACCCATCTGTCGGCCGACCCGTCTTTCGACGTGCCTTGCTGGTTGATGTCCATCCTGCTCTCATTCTCCTCAGTGCGGCACTGATCCCGACCACCCTCTACAGCGGTCGTCCCCTCCACCGCGCTTCCGGCAGATGCACTAGTCGAGGCCACGACCCCCTCCGTTAGGCGGTCGGTCTCATTGCCAGACTTGTGTACTGGGCACGTCTTGCACGTACATACTTCCTGCTTCCCCGCTTCTGTCTGGGCTCCTCCTTTCTTCACCGCCCTAGCCAGGACCTGCGTGGCTTGGTAGTTCAGCCACACGTTTCCTGTAACCAACTCTTGAGGGACACCCACTACAAGTCGAACTCCTAGCGGCAGAGTCTCCTTGTAGATGAGTGTCCACTCCGCTATACCTAAATCTGTCCTATAATTATTCTGGCCCCTTATCAGCGTGAGAGGGTCACATCTTAGACCCTCTAAGCTTCCCGGGAGCCAGATGCTCACCCTGCGTCTGTCTAGTCTTAAGACCCCCAATGGAATGCCCTCCCGGTCGCCAAAGTCGCAGCCCAACAGCCATGTCATTGCCTCCTCGGTGTTGGGGGTCACTAAGAAGAAACCTTCCGTAACCAACCCCGAGGCCGCAAAGGACAGGCACCGACCGTCAACTCCGTCCAGGACAGCCTTCTCAATGAGAGCCGTAAGCCTTTGTCTTACTAACGCAGCAACCTCCTCAGTCATAGCTTCTCCGTTCCCGAGCCTCACCGCCACAGATAGTTCACTTTGACCCGTACCGGGTCTCCGTGTTCCCTCCTGGCGCCCAGCCGGGGACTGAAGACAGTTTTGTCTTTTAAAAGGGCGTTGCTGCGTTTGCTCGTCCGGATCAGTTCCTTGCCTTTTAAGCTTCTGCGCTCTCGAGACGCCTCCGAGATCCCTCATCCCAGCCACAGGAGCAGCTGGTTCCGGGACTCCATCGGTGCATTTCGAGAGCCTAGATGCTGCTCTCTTTTCCTTTGCCTTCCTACGCCTACGCTTTGTTCTGGAGATCCACTCCCCGTCTCCAGATTCTCTCACTGGTCTCAGGTCTGTGGTCTCCTCGTTGATTTTTAATTTATCTATACTGTCCCGAAGGGTCTCAGATGTGGACCTTCCAGGACGTGCTCCCTTCTCCTCACCCTTAGCAATGTTGCTCCCCACATAGTACGCGGAGCAGGTGGTGTTACCAGTGGTGAGACTCTCACGTCTCTCCGCTGGTGACACCACGGAGGATTCCCCAGCTGAGCTGGGACCTCCCTGTGGACCATATTGCATTGCACTTTGCTTCATTATTATTTTACCGGGGCTGCCGGTGAGAGTTGGGGGTTGGGGGATTGATGGAATGTTGATGTTCTGCATCCTCGGCTCGTCCCCGCATCTGCTGCTAGAACGGCCTCGGTCGCAGCGTCACTCTTGGATGGGGCAGGATGGGTTGGGGGGGATGGAGTTTCCGGCTTGAATATTCTGTTGCGTCTGTTTCTTATGGAATCAGACCAATAACAGGCGGCACCACGTGAAGGATATATCCAAGCCTTGCCTTGTAGATCATCACGACCTGCGCTACCTACGAGGCCATTCACCAGACTCAACACCGGGCAGGTGTGAGAATAGAGATTTGCCCACCTCCCTAGTTATAAGCTAGGTCATGGAGATGGCCAAACCTCCGCCCATGTACAAAATGATAGTTAAAAAACCTTGATTACATCGAAATTGGCACCTGAATTGTAAGTTGTTAAAGATTTTCTTGTTGAAATTATAAACCCAAAATAACAAAACATCGGAACTCTGGGACATTACATTCTCTGTTGTTATTTAAATAGTGCAGTGTTGATCTTTTCTATTTTGTTTCAGCTTTGGGAGACACGACCTCTTCTCCTTGACACATTGCCATTGTTAGAAACAGAAGCACCTGTGCTATCGGCAGAGGACACCTATGAGGTCATGTTATGTTTAGAATTACACTCTGGAGAGTTAGCCGGTGAGAAAGCAGACCTTTTACGGTTGGCATTAGCTAGAAACCTTGCTAGAACAGCTCTATTAGATCAACCTGATGATTAAGTGAATATCAATGCCTAAAGAAATCCTTTGTTAAGTGGACTAGCCCTTAATTGTGTTTACACAGGGCATGTACAATTGCAGTTGTATTATTTTTGTAATGGACTGGACCGCCTTTTAGTTGTAATCGCGTGTGACACGTTCTGTTTAGCACTGGAATCCAAATCCTTAGGAAACAATCATTGTTTCAATTACATGCTACATGGAACAACTCCCTCACTAGTCTAAGAGACTACTGAATTAACCCAGTGAATAAGTGATATAATAAGTAAAACACATAGCATACAGTGTAATAAGTGTATTTGAATAAATTTTGGTGATTACTAATGTTATGATGACAATATATATCTTAAATTTTTAAACCTAATTACTTTAATTTCATTTGCGGATTTTAAGTGTGCCTTCTAAATGAATACATTTTTGTACCAAACAATTTTTTTTATATGTTTATAATACGTATTTAAATAAGTATCTTGTAATTTAATTGGATAAAATACTGTGCTCCCATTTTGCATTTATAAATATTACTTTTTATATAGTTTTTTTATTTCCCTTTTCATAGAAATATGACTTGAAGAATGCTCCTACATAATAGGGATTTATATTCTGCATGGTTTTTCACTAACGAAGCTTCTTAGCTAATTAAAAAAGAAGTGTTTCTTAAAAATATTTACATAGGTATATTATTTATTTATTTAATCATTGTCATTACAATGTAATGACAGGTGGGAGCCCAATTCAACACTAAAACTGAACTAAAGAACTAACACAGAAATATACAATAGTTATAACAGTAATTATCAGCTTATTATTTTATAATCCATATGAAATCGTAAACTGTAAACACTTGACGAGCTCACTCCATGGATCATAGAAAATGTCTTTCTGCCTATGAAGTAAGTTTACTACCTCTATTGCTCTTGTCCAGGAGGCTTTTCCTAACAAATTCGTTTCAGAAAAGAGTACTTTTATAAGACTTGGGCGATGCCTTTTATGTATGTACTGATCAGGTACTAACAAACTAATTCTTTCCAGCATTAGCATATTGGTTTCTTTTCCCTCCAATACCCTTATAACATATGCTGCAAGAGACAACTCCCTTCTCACTCAAAGCTCCGTATAACCCACCATACCCAGTAGGAACAGTGATGCGTACAATGGATAATACGGATATACACCATACATTTTCATGTAAAGAATACATGTAACTTATTTTGTACCTTTTCCAACATTAACCGGTACTCGTCCTCGTGAGGAGACCAAACCGTAGCGTTGTATTCTAAATGGTTTCTCACTAAGGTGTCGTATAAAATTCGAACTGTAGAAGCTAGTGAAGTTGGTGCTTTGCCGTAAAACAAATCCTAAACACCTTAAAGCTGTTTTGCAAATATGATGACCTGAGCCCGAAAATGTAAGTCCGATGTGAATAACACTCCTAGATCCGTGATTCAATTCATACGTTTCAGTGGTACCGGGCCTAATTGATAGTTGACTGCCTTAGGTGCCGTTGTTCTAGTAAAGCTCACTATCGAGCATTTTTCGACATTAAAGGACAATTTATTATTAATGCTCCAGTCTCAGACATTCACTAAATCATTTTGCAAGTGTTCACAATCAGCCATCTCCTTAAACTTCAAAAAAACCTTGAGGTCATCAGCAAACATAGGCATTGACTGGACCTGATGACCTTCGGTAAATCGTTTATAATTATAAGAAATTCTAAACATCCTAAGGTGAAATAAGGGTCCGATTCGCAACCATTGTACTCCACATAGCTGTCTTTCCCTTGTATAGAAAAATTATGTACTATCATAGGAACAACAACTAAGAAAGATTATTTCAATCAACTTTTATTTTGTTAAAAACACAACATTAACATGTTCTTCTTTACTGTCCTTAATATTTATTAATACAAATTCCCTCAGTAAACAATCACACAAGTGACTAATGGTTCTTATAAAGATCTTGTACTGAGTGTAATTCCACAATATTGTATTTTAAAATGGAATCAAATCCTTTGTAATGAAACTGTGCAAAAAATAGTTTGCTATTCAACATATAAGGGAACCAAATACGGTCATCGGGCCACATTTCTTCAAATGGTAATGCATCGATATTGAACCACCGAGGCCGCATTTCATCTGTTTCCTGTGGTTCTCCATTAAAAATCTTTGAAGTGAACACTTTCACATCCATCAGGGTGGACTCTCCTTCGAATGTGAATTCCAAGTTTCCGATATGCTTTAAATCACTCGCTTTAGCGTTTATACAACACTCTTCTTTTAACTCGCGAGCTGCAGCATCTATTACGGTTTCCTCTGGCTCTAGCTTCCCGCCGAAACCATTCCACTTGTTTATACCAAAGCCACGTTTCTTTAAGCCCAATAATAGTCTACTGTCTTCACGTAAAAAGACCAGAGTGTACACCTTTCTTACATACATTTTGTGGAGTTTGAATCTAAGAGTGGTTAATATGAAGCGGGAATCTTTCGGGAATATAACATATTATGTTTCGGTAAACAATTTTTTCTCAAACATTGTACTAATTCCCTCAATTACAAAGCTCCATTATCGTACATAAGAAAAAGCTGAAGAAAATAGGACTGAGGTATTTTTTACATTTATAAAAAAGACTGTAGTAAAGGATAATATGGTTCGTTAGTTGTTATTTGAAAGTGAATTGACTCTTGACAGTGACAACTTAAACGGATCAACCACAGACGTCAGCGACGCAAAGCAGCGTGGCGTTGCTGAACTAGTTGTCGGGCGTATAATCTATACTAATATATTACAGCTGAAGAGTTTCTTTCTTTGTTCGAACGCGCTAATCTCAGGAACTACTTGGTTCGAATTGAATTTTTTTTATTGTGTTGGTTAAAGCATTTACATAGAAAGGCTATAAAAAATCGCGCCGTGACTAATAGGAACGAAGATAGGAAATGTGGAAAAAACGGGGGAAATTATTCATCTCTGTGGGTTGCCGATGCGTTCGCTGCGAAAACGGATTAAGACACCAACACAATATGTATGAAAGAATTATTTCTCTTTAAATGATCTAAAAAGATGTTCCCAACACTATACGGCTATCTTTTAAGAATAACTTGCAAGAACGACGGGTCGCGAGCGACGGAACGCGACCGATGTCATGCTTAACAGCTTAAATTTACAAAGATGAAGAGGAGATTTGCAAAATTAAATGTGGATGCCCAAAGTATTCTACGCCGACTAGTCATTGTATAACTTCTGTGCGTATTACATGTACGTTTACGTTGGTGTGAATAAATTATTTAAATTTGAATTGATAAAATATATTTTGAAGTGGTTTTAATTTAGCAAGAAACATTTTAAGGAAAAAACTTGTTTGCGGGTATTTTTTTCACGACACCAGAAGTATTATTCAAAGCAATAAAGATTTATTTGTCATTATATTAAGAAACATTACAGAAATCAGTGGATGCAAGTCCGGCATCGATAAATCAACACGTCTATTAGACTCAGATCAGCTCAATCTGTGCTCACTGAACCAATCTGATTTATATTGGTGCTGTATCACTGTCACAATCTGAACTTCACCTTGCTGCATACGTTTCTATAGCCCATAAACGGACGAAACATTGAACATGAACTCAGTTGTAGGTATATTAGGTACTAGCTGTGTCAGCGATTTAGTCCGCGTAAAATAGTTATTTTGTACATCTACATTTGTTTTTAGTAAATTTGTTGCAAGCTTTATACTTTTAAACTATATTATATATAAGTATATAATATTGAACCATTTTCACAGCGTACACATCGGAAACCCACATAGTGGAATAATTTTCACTATTATTTCCGCTGTTTTTCCGCTTTTATTTGCACAGCGCAATCTTTTATCGCCTTCCTCGATATAGGTATGCTCTAACCAACGCAAAAATAATTATCTGCAGTTGTTTTTGAGATTAGCGCGTTCAAACGAACAAACTCTTTATGTATTAGTAAAGATTAGTTAAAAAAAATGCAAATTATCTTGAGCGGATATGTGTTCACGTATTATCTATTGACATATCCAGCGCCCACTCAGCAAAAATAAAAGAATCAAATACCAAAAAAGATTACAACTATTATTCCCGTTTGGGTTTAGATGTCTGGTGCATCATGTTATTTGTTTATTTTATTAATTTTTTGCTACTACTATTGGGTGTTGCCGGTGAGTTTTATATTTACTAGATCTTGCATATTTTATAGTTACAAAAACATTTTTATTAGAAAAACGTTCTACTTTTTTTTTTCATATTGAGAAATATACAGCTAACGTACGAAGTGTGTTTTATCGATTTAAGGTTTCCTGTAATGAATTTCTTCATAACTCTCCACCTAATTATTTTTACGTGAATCATCACAACTTTGTCTATGCCATTTCAGGCCACACGGGAAGACGCTCGACTGAGATGCTTCTATGAGGGTATACTCTGTCTATTACTATTAACACGATCGACTTTTACGGCATAAGCCCTTCGAGAGATGTTAACCATTAAATGAGAAGGCAGCTTATTTAAATGTTTATAAAAATCCAACTACCAACTAGCTCAAGTAAACGCGATAAACCTTTCTTACATAGCGAGAAGGGATATCTCAACACAATTTTTTCCCACAGGAGCCATCTTAGCGTCACTACAAACGACCAAATTTCTGTCAACCATGACAATGATGCTGAAGGGCACTCACGCTGAGCTGATTGGAATTTATACGGGAATCCATGCAAAATTCTCCAAAGGAGATTTTTACTCCATTGGTGGTACGTACCCGAGGGCCTTAATGATTGAGATAACTTCAAGTGTTTATATTAATTTTAAATAGTTAGTTTCAGTTTATTTGTGAAATCATCTTATCGTAGAAAGATGTCTTAATACGTAAGTAATAATGCGCCTTATTTAGGTCTAGCCCCCGGCAAAATGCCTCTTCAATGGCATCTATTGATATACGAGCCTGACAACGAGCAGAATGACGAGCAGTGTATCGCGATGCACTCCAACGAGACAATAGCAGACGTCAACTGAAAAGAGGTCTTTCCTTTCATCTGCTACAGGAAGAAGAGCAAGTCTGAAGTGCTGACCGAGTGTGGCACCGTTGATAGAGGTAAGACTGTCGTTACGACTTAGATGAGATTGACTGACGTCGCAAAGAAAACATCAATCGGGGAAAAACAAATGAATCGCGATTTTCAAATCACAAACTACTAAAATAGTTGCATTAGTTATAAATTGGAATTCTAACCTAAGTGGAGAGGACACTAATTTCGCACTGAGAAACGTAATATTATGACCGTGTGCGATATCAAAATGTGAGTTTACTTTTAGACTATCAGCTGGACGTACGAACTGGTAGCTGTTACAACTTACAAGTTCCACAATATCGCGCTCAACTATAGCCGCGCTTTTATGGCGTGTTCGGCGGAGGGCTTGGACTTGGCCATCATAAACAGCGAAGTTGAAGGCCACGTGCTGTAGGAATTGTTCGCGAAGTACCCACCGGAAACTTTGAAATACACTCCTCAAGGTGGAGTAGCTTTCTTAGGATTCCACGATTGGGGTGAAAGTTTTGTCTGGACTATTATACATGGTATGATCTTTTTGATTTTTAAGAAAGGTTATTGATTGCAGATGAAAATTTAACGTTATGTACGTCAGTAAGCTTACCTTAAATCGTTGTCTTCAGGTCAGCCGTTAGAAGAAGCCGGAACGGGCAGCTGGAAGACAGGTCATGCTCCGAGCGAGCGAGCTTCGTCTGCGAAAAGTCAGTGGACAGTCTATTGATTGATTAGTGTTACTTTTTTAAAAATAAAAACCAATTTTTAGAGTTTCATTGTTTTACTTATCTAATCAACATAATTAAAATTTACTAAAATTGACGTAATATGATTATTTTTTTACTGACGCAAATTGTTGCTCTGTAAGTTCTGGGCGACATAATATGTATTTTTAGGAATCAGAAGCGGATTTACTAAAATAAAAACAAAATAACACAACAACTAAATAAATTAAAATTCAACAAAATCCTATCGACCGGCAGCACGTCCGTTCCGTACAACGAACGGCGACCAAGTGTGCGAGCCGTTGCTGGAGGCTTGTTTATATAGCCTTCAGTGTGGCGGGTAGTTGAGCTTTTCTGATTTCCAACACGGCCTCTCCTGACCGTGTCCGTCCTCGGGCACCTCCTCTGTCGCGACCCACTCGCGTGAGTCTGTGCGCGGCTGGGGACGGCTACCTGCAGCCGCGTGCACACGTGACCACGCGTTGTGCTAAGCTGTCTTTTTATGGAAAAAAAATACGGTTGGCCGAAGTATGGAGAGCTACATCCCGTAGCTACCGCAGTCGTCCTCGAACCGATCGCCTCGAGCCGGGTCGCCTGCAGGCCCCCCGTACTTCAGCTGAGCGCGTGACCGCGCAACCCGAAGCACCGTTTCTTCGCACCACAACATTGACGAGAGGACGCACGAGCGCACATCCACGATGCGCGGGTATGTCGGCGGACCTCGCCGCTCGCGCCCTGCTTCTGCCGAATCATCCTGATCGTCATCACCTATAATGGATGATTACAATTGTCTGTATTAGTTTAGCGCTAACCCAGCAAAGTTGCCTGTACGATCATTCATCTCGCTTTCAAGGCCCCTTTCAAACCAAGTTCTTAAAAATGAACTATCACAGTCACATAAATTATTGGTATCACTCATCTCTTACATTCATCATTCTGTACGGCCGTACCAAACCAATTTTACCTATATTAATTAACATGTTTCCACATGTCAATTAATATGTCTACTCTTGAAATGCACCATGGTACATTTCTTGAACTTGCGCTAACCGTTCCACACCTAGCTAACGCAAATTCCCCGAGCTCGCACTGCGGTTTGAGCCCAGTTACATCAGTTACCGCAGAACTGACATCCAGGATGTGCACACAGCTAAACATCCCTACAAAACTCCAGGATGTGCACACAGCTAAACATCCATACAAAACTCCAGGATGTGCACACAGCTAAACATCCATACAAAACTCCAGGATGTGCACACAGCTAAACATCCATACAAAACTCCAGGATGTGCACACAGCTAAACATCCATAGAAAACTCCAGGATGTGCACACAGCTAAACATCCATAGAAAACTCCAGGATGTGCACACAGCTAAACATCCATGGGAACAGGTCGCATCTCCAGGGTTCCCCCAGAACTTCATATACAGCCACGCTGCACGACCACCACACCAGCGAAGTCAATCGCCGATGCTCACATTCTCAACTGCAACATTAAGTAAAAACATTACTGACATTCAAAGAAAAGATGCACACGTATCTGGGCACCACTCTCCTTTCCAGGGAACCATATATTGGGCAGCAGCCTGTGTTGCTCAACTTCATTTTGTGTCAACCGTTCGGCCGTCCTTCTTTTTTACTACAAGTACTGGGCTTGAATAAGGAGACGATTCGTGAATAATCCCCTTATGTAAAAGATCTGTTACTATTTCGCGAACTTTCAATTTTCATTGTTCGACATTTTATAAGGACGATAATAAACCTACTTCGAAGGAGATCTCCTCAAGTTCAATTGTAAGGGTTACATAAGAACTAACATGAATAATTGAATCACTTATTCCTTTTAACTGACTATTGACATGATTCCGGTTACACGAAAAATAGTTAACTACCGACGAAGAAACAATGAAACTCCCAATGCGCCACTATCCATGAGTATGTCTAGTGGATAACACCGACCACTATGTCATTTTTGTTAATGTTAAAGTTAGAACAGAAATTTACGTTACTTTTTTTTTCGTGTTTCAGATCGTTGCTTTGCAAAACAATCTTTAATATCAGCCCCCTTTCTTACAATATTACAATTACAACAGTACAACTTAACTATTACTACTATAGTTAGATACTGAAGGCAACGCAAGTTGTGACGGGGTCATACTATGCTCTAGCCGTTTGGGGCAATTAGACTGTTTGTGCCCCCACCTTACTACAAACAAAACATTTCGGACCTAAGGTCCTCCTAGACTATTTGAACGCGAGTTTTGAATTATCTTTAATTGTAAAATTTGGTCGAAAATGAGAGTACGATCGATTTGATCCAGTGGAAGGTTTGACAAAAGTAAACAAATATCCTACTAAACTATCTGGAGCAAGGTTAGAATTAGTAGCAGATGCTTTAACGAGTTGACCTTTAATGCCCCGTATAATGATTGCAATAATTAATTCATCAGACAGACCCTTAACCATACGTAAACGCAATATAGATTTCCGCGCGTACTCCGCGAATGTGATGTAATCGTTAGAGTCCGTACTCATAACCTTGGCTAACGTCATGATTATTTGGATCAAAGTTTGAAATGTAATAACTCTGCGAGTTAACCGATTTTGACGATTGAATAGCGTCAACAATTCTTTCCGTACCCCGAGTTGATAAAACCTCAACGTTCGACCCGCTAGGAGTTTCGACTTGTCGCGAACTATTCTCTAATGCAGCTAAACGCGAAACTATAGTCTCTAAAGACTGAGAACACGCACGTTGTAACGATATACTCCTAGACCTAGAACGATCACGATCACGTAATTGGCTAACGTTTCGATGGCGATAGTCTCTCCTATGATAATTACGGGACGTGCTGCGTGATCGCCTACTTCGTGAGCGTTCTAAGGCGTATACGTTTCCCTTTCGATCGGGACAGACTTGATCTACCCATAACGGTCAAAACTATCTCGATATAAAAAGCAAAAATGATAATTATCTGAGGGCGTGAAAATCTTTATCCCACTTCTGATTTTAGGAATCAGAAGCGGATTTACTAAAATAAAAACAAAATAACACAACAACTAAATAAATTAAAATTCAACAAAATCCTATCGACCGGCAGCACGTCCGTTCCGTACAACGAACGGCGACCAAGTGTGCGAGCCGTTGCTTGAGGCTTGTTTATATAGCCTTCAGTGTGGCGGGTAGTTGAGCTTTTCTGATTTCCAACAGTATATTTTGTAAGGTTTATCTTCCCGTGAAGATTATTTGAATTTCCCGGCTCTGATCAGGTAAAAGAATATACGTATAGAACAATTTATTCTCGCTTAATATGTTTTTTCGAATAATTTGAATACTTATACAGAGAATCATCAAATCGACATATTACGATATCCTTGCTCTCTTTTATATTCTCCTATTAACAAGAATTGTGGCACAGAAAATCATCGGGCGCAGCTGTTCACGAAGTTGCAGCTCGATAATATTTAAGTTTTAAAAATATTATTTGGTTTTTTATATCTACGTAAAAACTTTATTCGACGAAATTTCAAACAGAGGCGTAGTACGATAGTTTATTTTTAGCGGCATTTCTCAAGTCCCAATAAATATTATTAGACGCAGTACAAATTAATATACGTCATGTCGAGCGAATATTGTTTGCGCGTGTTTTCTACCGAAATATCTGACACCCACTCGGGAGGTGGACTAAAGCTCGAGTAAAAATAATCAGTTCCCAATGTGCATCTCGGGTGAGCCATCATGGCGAATTTCGGATTTCTATTGTTCACATTTTTCGTTTCACTATTAGTCTTAATAGCCGGTAAGTCACCGAGCCGAGGCAAAGCTTTGTCTTGTACATCGGCTTCATAAGATTGAATTATTTAATAGTTTGAAACAATTTAATGCAATTAGAACAACCTTGACGCAGAGTGTCGCCAGTTTCGCTACGATTACAAATTCAACCCGGACACGCAGAGTTGGGTGAAGCTGCACCAAGTGCCGGCGACATGGGAGGACGCTCGGCTCAGATGCTTCTACGAGGGTTAACCAAAATTGTTTATTTGTTGAACTTTTAACTTTTCGCTTTTATCATTAAACCGACCAGTAAGCGAGTAACCTTGGTTTTCGAAGCACGAATCAACACAACAAAGGCAAAACTGAAATAATGCTTCCCCAGGAGGCACCTTGGCTTCGCCGCAATCGAACAAGCTTCTGTCGACCATGAAAATGATGCTGAAGGGCACTCACGCTGAGCTCACCGGCATCTATACGGGAGTCCACGCAAAATTCTCTAAGGGAGACTTCTACTCGATCGATGGTGAGATACGGACAAATAACGATATTATACTTCGGTGCCGACTGCCACATCCATAACTATGAATAGTTGAAGTTGAATTAAAAAAGAAAACACAAATTTAACTTATAAGAATGTTTGTTTATACAAACAATATAATGGAAAGTATTCCTAAATTGCTTTTGCGCCCGGCCACTATCCGGTAGTTATTTATACTTTTTACCAGTTAGTAATTCGGGATCGTAAATGTACATCTAAGGCTAATAATAATTAGAGTAATGCTGTACTTGAGTTCATCCGTGGATCCTTAGGTAAGCCTATCGACAGAATGCCTGTTCAATGGATGCCGTACGAACCTGACAACGAGCAGAACGATGAGGATTGCATCGTGATGCACTCAAATGGGACCATCGCCGACGTCAACTGCCTCGAGGTCTTTCCCTACATCTGCTCGCGGAAGGGCCGGGCAGAAGTGCTGACCGAGTGTGGCACCGTCGATAAAGGTAAACCCTTCATCCGATATACGAGATGACCGTTGATACTAAGATATATATACGTGTTTCTATTTCACGATAGTTATATTAAATAGAAGAAAGTCAAATGCGAGATCGCTTTCAGAGTACCATTTGGACGCGCGAACCGGGAGCTGTTACAAGTTCCACAACATAGCGCGTAATTTTACTCGTGCGTTTATGGCTTGCGCCGCCGAGGGCGGGTACCTGGCCATCATCAACAGCGAGACCGAAGCGCAAATATTGAAAGAACTTTTCGAGAAAAACCAGCCTGATACCCTGAGATTCACTTCTCACAGCGGAATTGCTTTTGTTGGGTTCCACGATTGGGGAGAACGTTTCGTCTGGACGACCATTCACGGTAAGACCTGTTCGGCGTCGTGGCATTGTTAACGTGCTATATTACATTCACACGAGTAAAGTGTCTTCTCAGGTCAGTCAATAGAAGAAGCGGGTTACAACAAGTTCTCGGGTGGTCAGCCCGACGGCGCTCAGCCGGGCGAGTACTGCGGCGGAATCTTCAGAAACGGACTGCTGGACGACGCTTGGTGTCACGAGAGAATGGCCTTCATCTGCGAGAAGTCGGTGGACAGTCTCCTGGATGATATTATAGAATAAAATATTTGTAAATGAAGCTTGAGCGTAGTGTTAGTCTTTAGATAGTCCATACGTGGCATCGGCATAAGGCCTTCGGGCAATACTTTATGGATGTCTGAGATGCTTTGTTGTTACCAGCTTTTATAATTTTACTACTCCCTACTAAGTGACTTTTGTAAACATTTATTGGATGATCATGATTTTGTTTCATTCTCAAAGTTTATAATTATTATTACATGAAACATCCGTATTTCGATGATGTGTTTACTTTCTAATGGGGCATTATTTGATTACAGTTGGCTTTGCTAATTAATTGTTGTGACTTTGTAATTAGGTTCTCAGTTTTATTAACGTTATTTATTCCGATTAAATTCGTGTAGCTCATAAAAATAGCCATAAAACTGTTCGGCTAGCTGTAATTTGTTGCTCTTCGGCAGGCGAGAAGATTCTTCGAGAGGAAGTATAGTTTTAGGCGGTAACGCTGCCGTTTAATTCGTATTATAGACGGCGCTCAGTAAATGCAAATTTATTCGTCCTATCCACACGCGGTGCGGTCGAGGTCGCGGAACAAAACTAGTCACGTATAAGTATATGTCTAGGTGCTGTATTACGTTGGGGTCGTAATTAGGCCGGAGCAACAATACATCGTGATTACTCGCCCCCGGTTTGAATAACTGAATTAGCGTAGCGTGACCCGGTCGAAGCATATCTTAGCGTATTTTGAACAATAATAATATGAGAGCAATCGTTGAGTTGTGTACGTTGAAATCGAATGTGTGGGCGTGAGAGAATAAACAAACGTGCAATTATGATATCGTAATGCCTGTGGCCATTCGTTCTAGGCAAAGCTAACTGGAAATTCTTTATTTTTGTCACATAAGAGAAATCGATTACAACTTCATTAAACAAAACGTGTACATAAAAATCGTGGATTGTTTTTATCAAAATAATCTAAGAAAGTAAGTATTCTAGAGAAATGAAACTGCGCAGGTGCATACAGTATCGTAAGTCACATTTATTAAGCAGACATCTGATTAAGATCTGACAACCCTAAGTTGAGGAGCGATTCAATTATCCCATCTTTGTTTGCAGAGGTCTGAAGACGTGTGCGAGCTAAATAAGTCCAACAAATAGCATTTACTTAAAAGATGTGCCTCTTAAATGGAGCTTGAATTTATTCGCTTCCCGTGCACGAATAAGATACAAAGCTTCTAATTAAATATTATAAAACTTTTATCATTATTTCGTATTATTTCTAAAAAAATCTTCAAGAATCACAAACTTAATAACTAAATTAAGGAATGATTATGTAAATGAAAAGTAGTGCAGAATAATACATACTCCCAACTACATCTTAAATATATATAGATGATAGGAATATGCAAATTTATTCAATATCTTAGACAAAATCGCTCGATAGAGATTGGATTGAGTCACATCTGCGCTAAATTTAGATCGAGCGCGTATCTTTTACGAAACTTATATTTTCTAGCATTTTAAAATAAAAACTTTACATACCTACTCTACTTCTTGCGGTTCCTAGTGCGTACGTTCATACAGTGTATAGAAAATTGCGTAATTCCTAAGTTATAAATAAAATATTTTACCAATGATACTACAAAAACGATTGCCGTTTATGAATAGGCTGTGAACAAAATTGACCATAAAGCCTTTTATAATCATTTGCGCAAATTGTAAATGAATAAAAGTGCTTTAGTTTCAAGAGATAACCTGTTACTATTTATTCATATCAAGCTTAAAACGATACGAGTATGATTATACTCGTAAATAACAACTGAGTGCTTAGGAATGTATCCTACTGCCTACATGTGGGCATTAATATTATCGAGCGAAAAGGACAAAAAATAAATCGGACGTTTGGTACGAAACACTAAAAATAATCTTTTTTTCCGGAATAAGTCAATTAATTTAAATAAAACACTTTAAACTCGTGACCACGGCTGCCGCAAAGCATCCGAAACGTCGGGCCGAAGTTAAAAATCATTTTCAAATAAGTTTAACTAATATATCGCGTTTTAAACCGTTAAAGTGTTTTATTTAAATGTGTACTACTCGCGTAAACTATAGACAGTATTTAAGTCAATTAATGTCACTCAAAGATAAAAGGATACGTTATTACCCAACCCGTGCATTATTACAAAAGTATATTAGAAGTGTTATGTTGTGAAGTCATTTTGACCGTGACTATTGCACTGTTTATTCTTAAGGTAATACTTCTTTAATACGCGACGAAGGCTCAAAGGACGCCCCTCCGTAATAAAACGAAGCTGACAAGTGCACGACAAGTGTGATCACTCTTTTCAACTTTATTACTGGCTCCTCTCTACAGGGAATTTTATATTACCGCCTGACACTCTGACCTTCGAAATAACTACTTATTATTACAATGCCTTTGCTCACACGCGAAATAATCTTTCGGCGATGATTGCAATTTGTCTATTATAAAATATTAGTAGTTACCAAGAGACAGTTTAGGCATAAAAATCTTACACAAAACATACATTAAGATATTTTAGACGACAGTTCTTTTATTGATTGATTGATTTCGAATGCTTTGCAGTGGTCACGGCTTCAACAGGAGTGCTTCTTATGTGACTATAACTTTATATACTACTTATCACACAATAAAAATGTAATGACAAAGTTGCGCTCGATGTACAAATTAAAGGCCTTTCTGATTGACAAGGCTTAAGCCCGTCAGCGCTCCGAGTTAAAAGGCAAGCTTTCGCTTCAAACTTTACATATTGGAATCCTACAAAGTTAAGCTAAGACGAATTACTCTGAATGGGTAAGTCTAATTTTTCCCGACTTTTAATGGCACTGTTTCGCAGATATTAAGTAGGTGACATTACTTGTGTCTGGAAAATAATTTCCCGCGAGGCGAACGTGAACCGCTGTCAATTCTTCACGTCTTGTTGTTGGGCAAAAATTTAAATTTCGGGAGAGATTTCGTAATAACGGTGGTTAACGCACTAGTAAACCTTTTGGTAGTCAATAACTTTCGTTCGTCGTAGCGCCTACGACGTAGCTGCGCGTAGGCAAGACACCGACGACTCTAAAGGATCATCAGAGAGAGACGGAGATCGGATCGCGAAAACGTTTCGGTTTCAGTCTGTATATTTTCAAATGTCCAAATCGAAAATAGTCGTCAGCGCATCCTCATTAGATGTTAAAGTTTGACTGAGATAAAATCCATGAAAAACAAATAGAGTGGGTTCTTAAATAGGCTGAGTCTGTGCTACGTTGTTAGTCTTAACAAATACATTTTGACGGTTTTATCCGCTCGACTCCAGCTGAACGATGGCCGGGCTTTGCGTCTCACTTATTTATTCAACGCGTAAATCATGCAACAAACCGCATGTTTAATAACGAGAAGAAAGATCTAACTCTCATCTGCGATTTTATATTTTTATAATGCCCCTAACAGCATTTCTCGGTGGTAATTATTATTTATTGTTTTATCACAGTTTCATGCACTAGTAAAACCGGGTAAAACTATCAGTAGATCACAGATATAGGCCTGTGCTGAGGAACAAATAATAAAAAAATATTATTAGATTAAAAATATGAAAACATAATGCCTAGATACGACATTATTGAATACCAGTAAAAATCTCAATATTAACCCTTGTCAATACAACGCCAGAAGGTCCTAACGAATAAAGTATGTGGTCGGTTACATCTACAAGCCTTCTCATCGAATAAAATAAATAAGGATTTGCTAAATATATGGCTCGCTACTTAAATGGTCTTACATTGTCTCTAACTTGTTTAGCTCCGCAGCCCCTTAATCGAAACAGGCCTTAAATATATAGATATAGTTTACTTTACGAGGCTTTTACTTTTAATATGAAGTTGTATTTATGAACTGAATTGTATTTTCTAAATCTCTGTATTTAGATAAAAATGTAAGAACCGATTCAGTGCGTAACGCTTATCTCGGCTGGCAAACTGAAAGAAGCAGTTGTCACAATTTTTAGTGCTGAAGTGCGAAACCGAAAACGTAATTATACGGAGAAATTTATCGCCACTAAAGAAGATTGCGAATGAAAAACGTGACAAAGCGGTTTAGAGAATATCTAGATTTTTACGGCTTGCCCTCTCCACGTTGTTGAAATTACAGTGTGCGTGTGTTAAGATTATAACGCACACGAACATTATAGTGAAAATTGTTACTGTACAAGCTATCTTTAGTACGCAGCGGACGAACGTTTTGCGGTTTAGATTATGCTAAGGTTGGGACTATTTAACGTTGCCTCTGAACGAGTGACAGTTCGTTCCAGTACAAGCCAGAGGTTGTTTTACTGAGAGCGAGTATTACTATTATCTGATATACGAGAAAGGCCCGGGCGCCCCACTGTGTGTGTGAAAGCGTTTTCATTCGAAGTGTTTTGAGTGTTATTTTATTCTGCCACATCTTCATGCAGACAAAATTGCGACCAAACACTTAGTTGAATAAGGTAATATTAGTCTGTTTCAGCTTTGTAAAGTTTGCGTATAACACATACCATATGTTTCAGGTCCTATGAAGTTCAAAAGTTTTAATGAAACATACACGCTCCTAACACTGCTCCTCACTATGTGTATGATGTATCCGAACCCTCAGAATGATAGGAAGCGGGCTCTCGGCATCGGTAAGGGCAGAAAGACAGACGAGATGGCAGTTTTGTTTTCGGAATATGTTTACGTCGCCTTTACCCAAATATTATCACTTTTATTCTTCTCAGTGTTGTTGTCCGTCTTGTTGATCCCACAGTTGGTTATAATAGTGTGGGACATTTATATGCGAATTCTGCTCACGGATTTAAATAATGGGATTCGTCAGCTCGTCATGATTTTGTGTTTGTCGTTCATCATCTTTAAGGTACGAAAAAAAATTCGAAGGCTAAAAAATGATTTAAAAAAAAAGATATTTACAGCTACGTATATACGTATTTCTATGTCGTTTTCCGATTAATATATCGTATTCATGGTTTCTTAGATGGTCATCACGTTAATTTGGAGTGGCAAATTCAAACGCTTGCTGGACAAGTTGAACACAGATCTGAATAGTTTCAACGACCTACCAAAAGACTACCAGCGAATAGCCGCACGAGGCGTCGCGAGGTCTCAGAAGCTGGAAAAGATGTGGACGGTAGTACTCATCATAGCCGTGTCCACCTTTCCCTTTGTGGCTCTGGGCCTCACGATATATTCGCAGTTTACCAAGGAGCCCAGAAAGTATATGATCCACGAGGCGTTCATACCGATGATCGAAGATGTCAAATATGAATCACCTTACTTTGAGATTTACACCGTTTATAATATTTTTATGGTTTGGATAGTATGTTGTGGATACGCCGGTAAGGTCACAGCTCAGTTCTGCTTTATTTGAATTATATTGTATAAGTTGGAACTCTACAACAAGACTATTACGAACATAACTAATTATAAAAAGCATGACCACAGCAGACAATAAGAGGAACGAGTCTTATTTTTCCAATACGATGTAATTTGAAGTAACAGTGATAGCAATACATAAAATAAATTTACATAATCTACCAAGTATTATAGTATTCAAATGCCTAACATTAATTTTATACGAATCTGTACTATTTGGCGTCTAATGGACTGTATATAAAAGTACAAATTGTAATATGTACTGTGAGTAGTTCGATCACCGCCACACCGAACAACACTTCAATCGTTCCACCCTGCAGCCAGCACACTTTGACTGTGTACGCCCTGACACCTGTTCTTTGGAAGCATCTCATCTGGCCATATCTTTAAGGTTACGACGCGACGTTTTACGTAATCGTACTCCACGTTTCGTTGAAGATAAAACTGTTTGTACCCAAAATAACAAATTTAATGGCCGACTCAGACGTACTAACTATGAGAGCAAAGATTGGCGAAATTGTGCGCGACCAGTGTAGTGTGTACGAGTAAGTGTAAGTTAATAGTTTTCGTTTAGCCTAAAACTAATGTCTTAATTTGCAATTAGTAGATTGAACTTATGAAAGACCGTAACAATCTATAATGCTACGGTCGGGCCGAGGACTCCGTGTCTGCGGCTAGAATAAGGGCGCTGGTGTAAGCCAGAAGACCTGGAGTTAGTCCAGGTCTCCTGGCTCACCCGACACGTAGTTACCATGTAACCTTTTTATGTCTAGTGTCGGAGACGGAAGGGTTTTATTCTCGGCTGTTTGTCGATTTTTCAATCTTTCTAATATTTTATGTTAAAAAAATATGTATTGAAGCATTCATTCCAGCTTCCTTAAGGAGATTCAGTCTTGCTTTGAGCTATGGTTGGCGAGTATGTTCTTTATACTGATGTGCCAAATCGCTATGGGCCTGTGTCAACTTAACGTGGTTAGTATTTGAAACAGAAAATGTCCCATAAGTCATGATTTAATTAAGTACGATTTTATTCTCAGGCTGGTGAAAACAGACTGTCGTACTTCATGTTTGCAGCCGCTGTGTCTATAAACCTATTCTTGCCTTGCTATGTGGTGTCAGATCTCACATCCACCGTGAGTTATTACTGAACTAAAGCGTTTTTTCGCTATTGGTCGCTTGAATTTTTTTTAATTGCTTAATGCTTTTCGTCAAACACATAAGTACCTGGACACATTGTTCGTTGTCTGTTGAAGATCCGTTATTTGCTGTTTGCTTACCGTTGCTTAACGTCAAACAATTACATCTATCCATTATATTTTCAATGATTTTTCTACGTACATCGCAGGTTCAGGACTGTCTTTAACAATAGTTACACAAGTGAGTTATGATGAAGCATGAAACGATAATTGCTTATAAACGATTAAGTCCTTAAATGCTTATTATAAATGGCACCGTTTAGTTTTCTTTTTATTTTTTATTACATTTAGCTGTTTTTTTTATATTACTGTTAACGAGTATTATGTTATATTTACCACTATTTGTATGGACGCACATTTCTTGTGTTCTGTCAGTTCTGTCGTTCCGTCTTAAAACCGGTTTGGCGATTTCTGTACAGTATGTTAAAAATTGAGATCTTATTTTTGCATTGCTTGGCACCATTTAGTTATATGCTTATCGCTTAACGTTTAAACGCTCACTACTACACATGTCATCTGTATAAATAGTCTTTGTAACTATATTATTATTTATAACCACAATAAAATTACTACCAAAAGCTCTCTTATTACTTGTCACTTGTGCAGGCGGCGTCTGTAAGCGATTATATTTATGGATGTGGATGGGACCTAGTCCCAAACCCCGGAGTGCGCAAAAGTGTCGCCTTCATGATTGCGCGTGCGCAGATACCCTTAAACATCACTCCGTACGATATGTTTACATGTAACATGGAGACATTTGTATCTGTATGTATAGAATATTCTTAGCTATTATCCATTACAAAATTAAAAAGTCAAGAAAATTCTCGAACGTTAATTTAGATTAAAAACAAATTAACAAACTGAAACATATCTTTATCGTTTTCAGATCATGCAAACAGCGTACTCTATGTATACTCTACTTAGAAGTTAAGGAACGCTACCTCTTCACTCAATAATCACACCTTGAAATAGAGACGCCACAAATGACACGCATGTGCTTTTAAACGTAATCGAAAATAATAAATAAAATATTATTGTTGCACCAGTAGAGAAATAAAAATATTTATCTTACAAAAATCGATGTATAATTATTTGCTCACTATAAATACGATTAAGTTAAATATAGAAGTTTGTCTCAAGAGACGTAAATAAATAAATAATGAAGAGATTAGAGGAAAAGTGTAATTGTTGAGGAGTCGCTTTCAAATTCAATTAAAACTAAAACGCTTAAGTCGAAACTCTTGTACAACAGATGTATTAAGAAACATTTGACGCTCTTTCATCTTAACTTCAAACACAAGGATTTAATTTCATAATTCGTTAGAATTAGTTTAAGAAGAGAGCTATCCATGATAATTTAAAATATATATAATGAAAGTTACGCCATTTTATGCAGATATCAGTTTGCCTAGCACATAGGTAAGTTCAGGGCTAAAGCTCCGAACACTCTTTAAGTTTTGCTTACTTTACATTAACTTTATTGACAGGTCGTCTCTTTTAGTAACGTCTGTGGTTTATGCGAGTAGTAAACTTTAATAAAACACGACTGAAAACGGCGAATGTATTCTAACAATTCCAGGAAACCGATAGCGTAGGAGCTTTTACTCGTATCTTTATTCCCCTCGTTAACCGAAACGTCAGGTCACAAATAATGAAAAAAAAAATCTAGGATAGACGTTTGTTAAAATCATCAGTTTCTTTTAGCAAAGGTGCCGTAAAACAGTAAGAACAAAAATCATTGCCTATTTTTTCAATAAAAAAACAGTTTTCTTAGACTTATATTGCGCTAGTAATTATTAAGGAACAAATAACACACGCGATACATAACATCAGATCCATCTATTCGTCTCTATCTGACACTGACGTTGAACTGATACTGCCCTTGTCCCGGATTAAACTTATTTGACTGCCGACATCCGCATCTCTGTATCTCCTTCTCTTTCCTACGTCCTTCTCCATCCTATCGCAGATCGTCACGACGCTATCTCTCAGCTCTATCGGTATGTCTTTGACAATGACATCTTTTAACAGTGCGTTTCTGACCTCTCTGTCGGTTTGCGTTCGCTCCCTGTGTACTTCTTTACTTTTCAAACAAGTGTTAATACGTCTCCACACCTCTTCAATTCTTCCCTCTGACCACGTTCGGTACAGCCAAACTGAAGTATTCACGCAGCAAACGAAAGAGAAAAGTACCGCGGTTATACTAATTATGCACAAGATTATCGTAATAATTGCTGATTTACAGCATCCACTGAAATCGACAGCCCCATCCTTCGAACAGGGGCAAAGCTTACCGATCATTATATCTCTAAGGAAATTCATGTTTTGTGAAATCGTGCTGCAGTTAGACGTGACTTCAAAGTAATCGTTTACCTCGGTCGTCGCCTGCGTTACGATTCCCAAGCCCGACGAAATGCCGTAAATATCTTCGAGCGTAATCGGCATGTCTAAATCTCTACACGAATTTGCTTCAGGAATATATATTACATCAGGTAACTCTTTATCGACCCGGCCGAAACACGTAGCTACATCGGTGCATCTATTGGCATTATCGTAGTACAATTTGTAACCTAGATATTTCAAGTCGCAGAAAACGGGCGAACAATTATCTAAAGAGTCCTGATCAATTGTTTCGCAGACGGATGCCTTTTCACCAATTAGGTATTCTTTAAATAGTTTCTTTGATTTTGAGTTTAACGTAGTATCGAACGGAAGAATTACCTTCAGTACGTCTCGCGTTGTCTGACATGAATACTTTATTTGAAACGTGCAGTGCCCTTTTAGATCGTGTTGGTGTATGGACGGAAAGATATATAACAGTGTCCTACGATCTCTGGGCTTGATTATGTCATTTATTTTACCATACACTTCCATAAGACCACAGTCATCTTTGTCGGGTCCAGCTAAGCAGCACTTATGATTTGTAGCCCGCACCGTGCAAGGTTTTAGGCGATTTTCATTTTCTAAATCAATGTAAAATTGTATGGCTACTGATCTTTTTGTAAGTGGCAGTATGCCTTTATCTATTACTGATAGTGTCGCTACGTTATTAAAAATTAACACGAGAAAAACTTGGGAAGAGGTATTTTGATGTCTCATTGTCAAAATTGAAAAACGATAGTTTGAAAAAAGCATTGCCACAGAGAAAAAGGAACATGTGTAGATAAGAAATATATTTTTATACAATAGTGTGTTATTTAGAGGTGCGGTAGGATTAAAGGATTACATGTATTTAACGATATTTTTAATTGTTCTTCCAATTCATAACTCATCCTTATTATAGTAATTAAAGTAGTCATCCTTAATAAAATCGGCTCCTCTCTCCGCTATCATCATAGTTGCCGCGTTAGTGTTAACACTCGTTATCGTTGGCATTATGCTTGCATCTATTACTCTCAGTCCACTAACTCCAAAAACCCGCAGTTTACTATTTACAACGGCAGTGGCGTCCGCCCTGAAACCCATTTTTGCTGTACCTACTGGATGGTAAACGTTATATGTTATAGCTCGTGCCATACATTCCCAGTATAAATCACTACTTATCGCGTAATCGTCACAGCCTTTAAAATATATCCGTTTTAAATCTGCTTTAGCAGCTTTGAAGGTATCCGTATTAACAATTTGTGCTACTCGTTTTAAACTTTTCACAAAGATGTCCATATCTCTGTTATCGCTAAAGTATTTCGCGAAAATTTTAGGATGATCAGTAGGGTTGGTAGATCGTAGCATAATTTTTCCTCTGGAATGCGGTCTGCATAATGAAACAAAAAATATAATAAGTTCACTTTTTGAGTTCATATCCCTAAACTGTTCACAAATTTCTTTCTTGAATGACATTATGTTGTTACACATTGAGTAAACGTATGTGGTGTTCGGAACGAAGTAGTTATGATCTATCTGTACATCAGGAAGGGTTTTACCATCTGGAACCGATAGAAAAGCATTTATATTGGGCTGATCGTAGTTTGTGGCATGAGGACCAGTTTGATCAAATAAATATTGTGCGGCAGCTTTGAGCCAGTAAATTTCGTTCTTTGGCTTTTCCCCAGTATGTAATGCAACGGGTATAGGTATTCGCACGTGATCTTGTAAATTCTCACCTACCGGTAAGTCAGAAATAACATTAATATTCAGATCTTTTAAATGCTTCCCAGGTCCAATTCCAGATAGCATGAGTAGCTGAGGTGTGTTTACTGAGCCTGCACTAATGATGATTTCTTTACTTGTAAAGAAAGTTTTTTCTTTCCCATCGGCAATAACTGTTACACCTTTTGCTATCTTATCTTTAAATATGACTTTTGTAGCGAAAGTGTTTTTTACAATGTAAAGATTTTTACGTTCTCTTATAGAATTAAGGAAAGCAGTCGCGGTACTGACACGTTTTCCTCTGTAGTTGCTTCCGTGAATTTTCCCAAAACCCATTTGCGTGGATCCGTTTAGATCATCCAGATATTTCAACCCTAATTCTTTATAACCTGCGGTAAGTTTATCCACAATGTGAGTATGCGTAAAATTTAACTGATCCACGGTGTATTCGCCGTCTGTGCCATGAGATTTCCTTAGTTCGGGATTATTCAGTATGAACGGATCAATATTTTTTTCACTTTTCATGAAATATTTCTTTATTGTGTTCCAGTCCCAACCGTCGTTCTCTCTTAAATGCCACGGTTCATAGTCACCTGGGCTACCTTTCATGTGAAGAAGACCATTTATAGATCCAGTGCCGCCCAGAACTTTGCCTCTGGGCCAAAAGGATTTGCCATCGACACAGCCCCTGTTTGTTGTTTCATCTTTTTCTGTGTAATATTGCCACGCGTGTTTACTATTGTGAGTTGCTCCCGAGAAGTTTGGAATCTACCGGAAAATATAAATAGATCAGCAAGCCGAAGCGTTACCTCCTAATGAACTTTACAAAGCGTTGAGATTAGGCGCAATAATAAAAGTTTTTCAGTGAAAATCCGTTTACTTACGATAGATTCAATAGGTGGATTATCACCAGCCTCAATAAGAAGCACTTTCCAATCTTGTATTTGCGTCAGTCTGTTTGCCACTATGGAACCCGCTGTGCCTGAGCCGACTACGATGAAGTCGAACGTGTCGGCGTCTAGTATTAAGTAAGGAAGACATTAAACAATAATTTTAATTTCATCTTTGAACGTTTACTTCAAGTCTTTTTGTCTTTCAAACTTTGTTGTATGTCATAAATTGTTAAACTTTTGTTGTATGAAATATTTCACTGATTATGTGCCTTAATGTTGAAATTTAAAATAAAGATAAGCGATTCCTTAAACTTACCTGATACTCTGTCGCTGTGATCCTCCGGCCACGGTTCGGTTATAAGACATTGAGCTGCTAGCAAGTACGTCAGAAGATTGTTGAATGTGCTACCCGCGGCTCCTTGCAGTATTTGCGGGCAGGACATATTTGTTTCTACAACAATTTCCATAGAAAGACATAGCCATGACACGTTGTCGAGTTCATATTCTGCAGTTAATTTGAAATTTGAAAAAGAGAATACGTAAGCACCACAATTCTTGTTAATTTAAAACCCCAATCATGATAGTAGATGCCACAACTAAGCGCTCACCTTAATAATTATATAACTCTCGAAACGAACACGTCTGCAAGTAACACGAATGGATTCCAAACGTCAACTAAATATTAAAGTTATCAATAAATTATAACGCGAGCGCTCCCTCTATCTTATCGCGAATTAAACAAAATATTGACATCTTTACATTTAAGCATTCCTTATATCCAAACAATATAGTAGTTGTACATTTTGTGAATTTGTAAGATTGCGCTAGCGATTCCTACTAGTTCTAAACGATGTATGTCATCGTTTTTTTTAATAATAGAGGAGGATAGACAAGCTCGGGGATCATTGGATGAACATGGAAGATGAAATACCTCATACGATAACAACGGAACAAAATGCGTGAGAATAGGTCGACAACTCACAACCTTTGAATAAGTCGGAAATTCACAAAATGAAACCGAAACGCGATTAAACTTCTGGGCCCTTTCATCTGAATTTAATATTGTTTAACATTTAATATCCAGAATTGTAAAAAAGTCCAACATGTGGCAGGAACATAATTAATTGATAAGAAATACGTTGGACCCGGTGGGAATCGAACCCAAATCGCGTTGATTAGTAGCCATACATTGCTACGACTAAAACAAAATAAACAAAGTAATTAGAAATATTTTCAATAATATATGTACATACTATGCTTTTGTATATATCGTCTTTTGATTTGATCGATTGTCGCCTTGAAATAAACCTGCCAATAAAATATATATGTAAATGTACCCATGGCCCACAACGGGCCAATGGGGATTTAATTTTTCCCTTTCATGGTCTGTACCGCGTAACATTAAAATTTCATTACGAACATTGACAACACCCGCCCAAGGCGGTGTGTAGATAAGTTTGCTTTCAAAGAGTGATTTATTGAAGCCCACATAATAGGTCGCATCTTGTCACGAGCGCTGAGGTAGAACTTTGAACCAGGGAAAGGACAGAATATTGAACAAACTAGAATCCGTCGTGCGCTTTAAACTGACTACTCCAATTTGGAGTTATTTGATAACGACTTACTTACGGAGTCAAGCGAATATTTATTATTCCTACTGACGTGGGTCGCGAAACGTTTGAGGCTAAGCGCGTTGCGTACCCTTGACATCGAAATTGCTTCTCGTTTATAATAGGGATATGATGTGCAAACATAAGAAAAATATTAAAGTTTCCTTCTGATTTATTCAGTATTCTGCGCTTAGAAGGATCTCACCTCTTTCTTTGTTAGTATTGATGGAAAAGCTTTCAAACTTGCGAAACCATTTACGTTGATTACCCTGAGCTATTTGGAGTTTTACACAAATTTTACTAAATACGCAATTGTTTTTTTGAAACAACTTCAGTGACCTATGAAAATAATTCAATAAAACGTGGCTTTCGAATGATATAAATTCCTGTATAAACAATACAAATCGAAGCCAAATTATCTCGCATCCCTTTAAAGAATACAAGCATTGTTTAGGTATTTCTTTAGAAAGCTCAAAGTAATTGAATTGTATCTTTTCGGGTAAAAGTACTTTACATACGCGATGGGAGTTGTTTGTGTACGTAATCGCATTTGTTCTGGGTCTGATGGGATGAAAGAGGATTCTATATATCTATACGGACCTTACTTAGCCTTTCCGATTACGGATTAGTCAGGTATTTTTTCGTTTGCGGCGTCATTCCGCGAGTAGATCCAATGATGATTTTCATATTTACGAAAAATACTGACCGCCCACGATGCCTCGCGATTGGTCTGAAATTGTTAGTAATACATTTTATATTAAGAGAACGGTTAATAAATGTGCAACAATCTAAGCAAATTAAACAACAGTAAAATTTTGTTGAAAGCGATTTAAATTCATTTCTTAAATACCTGTGTCTATTACGGCAATATACAATTAATTCTAGATAAATAATGCCTACTCTTATAAAAATACAAGTTTTTGACATAAGTTGATGAAAGTGGGAATAGGACCACAGACTCAATTATCTTTGGTAATGAATATAACCTAAACTTTAAATATAACAATTCCGCGGGAAAACAGTCGCGTCAACAGTCGTTAGCGTGCTTTGGCGGTTGAAGATTTGACAATGACAACTGTTCGACGGAAATGAATTATTTATTATTATATAATCGATTCTTTAGTAAAAATATATATTATTTGTTTCAATACCAATGGTTAAATAATAAATTTTCAAAAAAAGGAAAATTGTTATTAATTATAAATTTTATCTACGAAATTAGTGGTCTGTGCACGGAATCATTTAGCGTCATTATACGTCATAGAATAAAAAAAAAATGCGGCATTATTAGAATTGTCTATTGAGCCAATTATTAATTAAGGACCGCCGGTATTTAGAAACGCAGTAAAATTTGACTTTTAAATTAAGTTTAATTATAATATATAACTATCTGTATAGGATATCTTTATCTGTTTTGTTTCTAATCCGAGTTTAAGTGTTAACCTTTTAACCCGCTACGAGTCTTTTAACTATGTGATCGTGATTAATAGAATAATGATGGCGTCATAACGAAAAGACAATAGTCTTCGGACAACGTGAATCTTCGTGGTTGCTGCTCTTACACAGGGCAGTGAAATTAATAATAACTCTGACCAGTTTGTTACCGCTTTTGTCAAATGTATCTTGTCCAATTCTCTTATTTTATCATCGATAGAAATTTAAGCACATAACTGGGAATCCATTAAAATTATCCATAGAAACAATGTAATGTACGATATTTTATATCGAAACGGGAATATTATTCAAAGCGGAATTGTTATTAAAAACGGTTATAGCCGAGAGTTAAAGTGCTATGTGTTAACTAAAGCCTAATTAACTCTGTGTTTATGGCTTCAATTAACGGGGCGGGCGTTTTAAATTGTTCGTAAAATGTGGCTGAAATGTTAGTTAGCGTGAAACACCTGGTTTTAGGGGAAAAACGCTTCATATAGCTTGAAAATAAATGATACTTAGTAGTATATTTATCACGAAGTTTTTTCTGTTAGAAGGTAGGACATTTGTACCCTCCATCGGTGGAATATTTTTTTTGTCAAAGCGGAGTTCGACTATTAACAGGGACGATAGTTATTAGGTATAATCGTACTTTCTACTCTACATGTAAACCCCTTCTATTGAATCTATGTGAGGTGCATAGCCAAAAATTTTTACCTTAACGTCTTTACCCACATAGCTCATACGTATTGTTAATAAATAGGTTTAATAATTTGTTGTCTTTTGCCGTCTGTACGCGATCATATTTCATTGGTGTCGTAAATTAAAATTATAAATTATACTCGAACTGGGTATGTTTGCAGTGTATTAGTTGAATTATAACTAAATATCGACTTTGAATTTACAAGTTAGAGTGATTATAGTGAGTTAAAAGTGCATAAGAACAGTGCTGAGTTGACGAATTGAATAATTTGTCCATGCGAAAACCGTCCATCATACCGTCGATTAAATATATAGACATTTTAGAAGAAGTGCAGAACGGACTGGATATTATCGAGAAAAATAATTAGTGATTTCGTGCAATTTTTTATATAATGCGTATTGTGAATAAATTTGCAATATTTGCATATAAATAAACATCATTGGGCAAAGCGACATCTAGCGACCTTGTTTATTAACTACTTTGTTCTTTCAATATTAACTATGTCGAAAGTAAAGTGTTCTTCCTGTGGAAGATTCACTTCGGCAACAGATAGCGTTAAATGTACCAAATGCGTAGGAGTTTTCGATGTCCTAAGCTATCCAAAGGAGAAAGAACAACCCCAAATTGGTTCTGTGTCGAGTGTAAGGGCAATAAGACCAGGGACTATCCGTTATCGGATACTATAATTTCATTGCGATTGTTACGTACAGAACTGGCAAATGAAATGGGTGCTATCAGGGAGGATATTGTGTGCTTTTTCACTCGAATAAATAAACTATTTGAGTCAGTGCAGAATTTGGGAGATAGACTCGATAATGCAGCAGCAGGATTTCGGTTTCTACAAGGAAAAAAATACAATAATTTCAATTTACAATTAGAAAAAGGTTATTTTAGTACAAATTAAATCTTCAAATCAATTATCTTAAACATCTTTGGAAAAACCTTAAGCAAAATTAAAACCATTAATTTCAAAAAACAAAATAAGATATTTTCCTAGTTTAATGACCCAGATCTAATTAACGCTCATTTCACAGATATTCCTGGTGACAATGCAGTAAATGACTTTACTTTAGATTATTTCAAGTCAAATAGAGCCTTCCTTTAAACTTTCTCCTGTTTCATCATCGACAATTGCGAAAATAATCAAGTCCTTTCACTCTAAAGCTTTAGGGTATGATGGCGTTTCCCTGGATATGCTCTTGTTAACTCTACCTTCTGGGAGTCCTTACTGCTGTAGTTAATAGATCAATTGAAGCGCATACGTACCTTATAACGAGGAAAACCGCTATAGTTAAGCCATTAGCAAAGCTTAGTAATCCTGAGGCGATAAGCGATCTTCCCATTAACATTTTGCCATGTATGTCAAAGATTATTGAGAAAGTAATAATATTTAGAAAAAAATCACATCCATCCCGGTAATCAATCTGGAAAACCAGATTCACAGTCTCATAGTACGTCGACATTGCTCATTGATGTAGTTGATGATGCATTACAGGATCAAGGTTGGTGTTACTTGATTTTTCGAGGGCTTTTGAAACAATCTGAACCTTATGCTTACTAAAATGCCTTTTTACGGCTTTGAAGCTGGAACGGTCGCATAGTTTGAAAGCTACCTAAGGGAACGAACACAAATCGTGGAACTAACGAATACCGTAAATGTTGAGGCCATTCGGTCTCGACCGAGGACGCTATTAGAGGA